TGCACCCTAACAAAGGGAAAGCCCAGCACCCCTGGTTTGGTCTCTTGGTACCATTCCATGTAACAAGGAACCACTTAAAAAATTATTCTAAAACTGTATCAGAAGAGATTGGGGTCATTTTTGTGCCAGAACAAAATATTCTACAGGAATCAGGGCAATGTGTCCAAAAACCCCATGACCAAGGGGTTCAGAATTCTCAGTGCCCAGACTTCTCTGCTGACAGACGGGCACCACCCATGTGCTGCACTCTGCAGCCCTGAGGCCCACACTGATGCCAGGCACAAACCGCACAAGATCAAAACGAGCACAAAAACCACTTTCCTACCAGCTCAGAGGTGCCCGACTTTCCGGAAAAGGTGGAAACACACAGAGGTCCTAAGCTGAGCTGGGAGGGCCTGTGGGAGAATGCTGCCCATTTGCTACACGACTTTAGAAACAGTAACTGTGTTCCCGAAGGGGTGAAAAACAGACAGACCCCGCTGGAAAGATGCTCCCGGGGCTGGCCCCTAAGGCCCCATCCCTTCTCCTCCCTGCCCTTTGACTGGGACTGGGACAGAGCTTTGTCCTCAGCTTCAAGGACACTTTCTTTTTTCTTGTCACCTGTTATTAAATCCGACTTTTACATTTTCATTTCATTTATTACACTGTTCACTTCTACAATTTCCATTTTTTTATGATTCCCATTTCTTTGCTGAAGTGCCCTGTCTGCTCAGGTTGCTGAGGGAGACCTCTTCCATGCCTTCCATCCCTGGACAAAGTTCCAGGCTCCCACTCAGGCTGAGCTCCTCTCTCAGGAACTTGCCTACTGTGCTGCCTGGCAGCGAACCCTGCATGAATCAACGCGTGCCTTCCCTACAATCCTTGGCTGCTAGTAAACTCTTGTACCACCTGAGTCACTGGCCCTCCATCTGGCACAGCATAACATCCATAAGCAGCATCTTGAATCAAGAAGATCAGATGGATCTGATCATCAAAATAAATGACAAGAGGAAGTGGAAGCCCCCAAAAGGAGCTGAGAATTCCTGAATCCATGCTAATATGAATGAACAGCTGAGCGGAAGGGAGGGAGATGCGATCTTTCAAGACCCATTCGGCCACCGTTTCTGGGGTACAGTTCCACATTCTGTACACCTGAGCTCCCACCTGCTACCATCTCTGGCCTGAAGAACAACCCGATGTTCACCAATTGCACCAAAGATGTGCTAGAGACCAACACTCTCTGCTTTTGTTATCTAAAACTATCTTAAGGGGCTGGGATGGAGCTCAGGGAAAAAGCATAGGGCCTTGGGTTTGATCCAAGCATCTCAGATAAATAAATAAATCTGCATTTTACTCTCATTGTTGAAGATTTTTTCTCTAGAAATAGAAATGTAAGCTGATTGTTTTTCTTCCAGCAAGTTAAGCTGTCCTTCTACAATCTCCCGGCTCCCACCACCTGCCAGGAGCAGTCAGCCGCCTGTCCCTATTTGCAGTGTGTGTCTAATCTACAGAGCCCTTAAATTGTCCCCAAATCATGGCCTTGTAGTACGTTGACAGTTATGTCCCTGGATGTGGTTTCCCTGGGTTCTATCCTTTGTTTTATCCCAATACATTTCTGTGACCCTCTGGAGTCTCTAAGTTAGCATTTTTCTCTGAGTTTGGGATGTTTTGTGGAGCAGAGAGACAATAACAATGAAACTAGAACGAACGGGCCACACTGACTCCTGAAGTTCATATTGCCGAAGTCCTAACCCCCATTTCGGAAGAGGACCTTGGAGGAGAGGGCAGTCAGAAAAGTCAGAGGCTGGGTGCTCCCTCATGGGGTGGACCAGAAACCCCACCGAGCATCTCAGCACCGAGGTCCCACCCTGACTCCATGTTCAGATGTGAAGGCCCTGTCAGTGGTGCTCTGTGCTGGCAGCCAGAGCAGAAATCCAGTCACAGGCTGAGACCCATGAGCTTGAGTTTGAAGCCAGTACGGTGACCCCATGAGACTCAGTTGCTCCCCAAGACCCCCGTAGGGCAGAACTGAGCCCCTAAAGCTCTGTCCCCAGGCACCCTGTGCAGCACGGTACCAGATCAAAGGTGCGCCTGAGGTGTGGGCTTACTCCTAGTAGGCATTTCAGGGGCCCTGGTGCATCCTGGGGGTCAGCGGGGCCTCTCTGTCCTGCAGGACTGGACTCCACTGCCCAGCTCAACCCCAAGCACTGCCCTCCTGCCTCCTTTGTGAGGCTGCTGTCCCTGCACATGAGGTGACACACTGACCCCCAGAGGCCTGCAGCGAGATCACCACTCTCCAGCCTCAGCCCCGATTGGTGGGCAAACCAGGCAACCAGAGGGTGACAGTGCATGGGGTGAGAGGGTGTGACAGGGCCCAGGCTCTGCATCAGGGCAGGCAGAGCAGCCGGGCTGGGCAGGAGGGGCCTGTAGGAGGGCCATGGACAGGGCTGTGGGTCTGAGCCCTGGGCGACAGCAACCATGGGAGAGCCTGGAGAAGCAGGTGGTGCCCATTCATTTGTAAGGCTGTGGAGCCCGCACAGAGCTGGAGGCCTGTACTGGAGCTACCTTGGCACCTGGCACAGGACAGCAGCCGCCAGGAGTGAGGATGGCACTGGGGTCTCACAGACCAGACGGAGCAGGGCATAGGGGAAGCAGTGGAGACAGGAGCCCAGGGTGGCTGTCCTGCAGGCGAACAGATCCTCCATGGACCCATCACAGCCGATATCTCCTTCTGGGGCAGACAGGTCGCCTGACACCCACCTACCACCCTCCCCTGCCCCAGGAAGGACACTTAGGCATAAGCGTGACAGTGGGTTTTATTGGAGGCGGGTACAGGTGGCCCCCAGTTGGGGCAGGAGCTGCTCTAAACCGGGCCCTGCATGCAGAAGGGTAGTGCTCAGGGTTCTGCCTGGCCTCAGGGCCCAAGGACAGTGGGCTTCCCCTCCAGCTGAGTCCCCATGGTCCCTGAGACCCTGCTTGGCGGCCTAAGTCACCACCTTGCAGGCTCCAGCTCTTTCCACAGCATGAAAAGACACACTTCTGGAGCCACCCTTGGGGCTACCAGCATCCTGATCAGAGGACAGGGACAGCCCACCACTCAGGGAGGGCCCAGAGCCCTGGTGATTCTCAACACTGTGCAGGACAGGTGCCGTGGGCAGAGGGCACTGCGGGCAGAGGACACTCCTCACCTCCTTCAGAAGCTCAGTGCAGCTCCCTGCGGACAGGGCAATGTGAGGGGTGGGCAGGAGTGTCACACCCAGCAGGGAGCCTAGCCAGCTCCTGTGCCCAAAGGAGCAGCTGGCCCCAAGAGGACGCTACAGCCCTCCTGACTGAACAGCCCCAAAGCCACTTGGTCCTGAGCTCGGATCTGACTGTCCAGGCAGTGTGGCTGCCCAGCTGCCTGGCAGACCCCCAAGCCCCTGGGCTTAGCTCTTTCCTATCTGACGGGAAGAGTAGCATGGACAGGGCTACTCTCCCAGGTCACTTATGCTCTCAGGAATCAGGGACTCATCTGCAACACTACCACACAGGCCGCTGGGGACAAAACACAGTGGCAACATGCAGTGAGGGGGGGCAACCCAAGGGTCCCCTTCCCTGGAGGGCTGGACCTGGGTGAGGGCCACTCACTGTCACGCTTGAGCAGGTGGAAGTCCGGCTCCTTGAACCCGTGTTCCTGGGCCACCTTACGGAACTTCTCCAGGGCGCTCTCACCGGGTTCTAGGCTCCAGCCTGGGATGAGAGTCAGGCTTGGGCTTTGGGGACAGCCACAGAGGCCCAGCCACACATCCTCCAGGCATTCCCTGCCCCCACAGCCTGGGGTCCCCACAGCAGGGCTCACAATCCCCCAGATGAGCCCAGCCTGGCCTCACTGTAAAGTTTTATGACCCAATGGCTGACACTGTTCTTTGTGAAATGGACATCCAGGAGAGCATAGGTCTTGTAGTCGGTACTCAGGACCTGGACCTCTTTGGTTTCCGGTGGTTGAGCCAAATACCAAATACCATGGGGTTCTGAATTCCAAAGCACAGCCAGGGCATGCATACATGCACACACACACACACATACACACACACACACACACACACACACACACACACATCAACACCAACACACACACTAATCGACACCAATGCACACACGCATAAGCAGACACATCGCTTTATACGCCAAACACACAAGTATGTGCCACCAGTACACACACACAAAAAACACATGCACACCAACACGGCCTGAGGATAGCACCTTTCCCGCCCATCCTGATGATGGTGAATGTCCCTGGAACAGCCCTCTTCATGGCTATGGTCTTCTCCACCACACAGCCGTCCTTGCTAGAAGAGCAGAAGACTTGTGCCCTTGAGCACCAGAATCTGGGCTCTGCACCCTGGGAGCACGCAGTGGGCAGAGATACCTGCATGGGAGGCTTCATGACACCAGGCTGACAGCATAGCCAGGCAGGAACCCAGACCATGAGGGCACCCAGGGTACTAGGCTGCATCCCATTCAGGGCCTCCCTGGGAAACTTTCACCCCGCATCCCACTCACAGCGGGGTGGGGGAGGGATCAAGTTGTGCCTTCCAACATGAGACTCGCATGCAGCCTCCAGACACTGCCACCTCGTCATGCTGGGCCACCTCCAGACAGGGCACAGACCCGGAGTGGACCTTGCCTGTCGCTCGGGCAAGAGTCCCCTCTAGCCTCATCCTCCACCTGTCTGGTAGGGATGAGGAGCTCTAGGGCCGTGGGGACAAGAGGGTGGCACAGGAGCCAGTGGCCTATACTGGGCTCCTGTGAGCCTGAAGCCTCCACCTCATCCCGATTTGAGCTGCCCCACCCCTGCTGCCCAGAGTAAGGGTGATGCAGATGCCACACCTCTGAAAGCAGCAGGACTAAGGGACCCTGGGGACAGGCACCCAGAGCCACCACCACAAGACCACACCACTGTCCACCTGGGGCAGACAGGTCCCCTGCCAACCCACCTGCCACCCTCGGCCCCAACCCCAGGAAGGACATTTGGGCACAGATGTGGCAGCAGGCTTTATTATAGACAAGTGCAGGTGGCCCCTGGGCTGGGTGGGAGAGTCAGGGTGGGCGGATCCAGCTAGGGCCTGGGCAGGAGGTGCTCTAGATCAGCCCCTGCACACAGAAGGGCAGTGCTCAGGGCCCCAGGTGGCCTCGGGGTGCAGGCACAGGGGTGAGGGTCACAATTGCCTGGCTTTGGAAAAGCACCCAGCCCCCTGCAAAGTGGGGTAATGGTGCCCATGTCTGGGGCTGGGGGAAGTCGTGTCAGTGATGATCAGCATGGCACTGGGACAGGGAGACTGCGATGGTGACCACAGCCCCAAAACCCCACCCCAGAAGGACCTGGAAGGCAGGACCCCTGGCAGCTCCACTTGGGGACAAGGACAGTCATCCCACCCATGGCAGGGTCCAGAGCCTCAGGGACCAAGGGACTGTGTGGGGCTGGGAGCTGCAGGCTGAGGACCCAGGCTCACCTCCTTCAAGAGTTCAGCACAAGTCCCTGTGGATAGACCAGAGTGAGGGGCAGACAGGAGGGCACCACACCTAGCGGATGCCCTGCCCAGCCTCCTCTCCAAGCGCCCACACCCACCATGCTGGGCCACCAGGTAAAGGCCAGTGTCGGCTGTCAGCTCCCGGAACTTCCTGAAACCTTGCTCGTCCTCACCCTCCAGACTCCGAGCTGCAGGTACAGAAGCTGCTGGGCAGCCCAGGGCGGCACAGGGCTGAACCCCCCTCCCTGCGAAGCTTACTGAAGTATTTGAGCACGTGGAAGTCCTTGCCCCGCCACAGCAGCGACATCCGCAGGATGGCATAGTGCTGGTAGTCGGTGTCCAGCACGTGGATCTCCCTATGGCCTTGGGGTGGGGGGATGACATTTATGCAGCCCCGGCACCTGGGCAGGCACCTGAGACCACTGTCCCCTGTCCCAGGACCCAAGAGCAGCCTTGAAGGGGGATGGGGAGACAGGACCCAGCCACAGGCACAGCAAGGAAGGACAGTGCTGCTGAGACAGAAACCAAGGAACCGTGCTTACCAGGAAAAGCAAAGTTCTCTGCAGCACCGCTCCTCCAGCCCACGGTGGTTTCCGTCTCACAGCTTTTCGAGCTGAAAGGTAGCACCACCCATAGGAAGCTGCCAGCCTGCACCACCCCCTCCCACTGGGCACGCCCTCGACATCCCCAGTGCAGCTGGCTGCTGCCTAGGGCTCTTTGGGGGGAAGGGGGTACAGGGGTGGGGCGGCCTCTCTCATACATTTTGGGGGGCTTCAGCTCATATGTGGGAAAAAATACAGACTGGACACCTGGGGGTCCCAGCAGGTGGGCACAGGGGTAAGGGGCAACTGAGGCCAAACCCAGCATAGGGCCCCCGCCTCTCACTTGTTAAACACGACCTTCACGGTCAGGCTGCTCCCGTTCACAGTGAGGAAGACCCCCTCTGCCCTCCTCGGGGTCCTCAGCGCCAGGTCCTTGTCTGAGGCCACACCGACTTCCCGCCAGAATCCCTCGATCTAGACAGAGAGCTGGAGCTGCCTGAACTTGGAGCAGCCAGCTGAGGCCCTGTTCGGGGGCACTGCAGGGATCCCTGGGCAAGGAGCCCATGGGCTTCAAGAGGACAGAAGATGGCCACAAGGCTTGACAACAGGACAGCAAGATGTCCTGGAAATTACCAGGCATGGTGGTGCCCACCTGTAATTCTCGCACTCAGAGAGACCCTGACTCAAAGAAAAAGAAGTCCCAGAAGCTACTTCTCCCACCATTGTCACCCTCCCAAGGGGTCCCTTCAGCAGTGTCCCTCCCTATCCTGTGCCCCAGGAAGATGAACTCTGCTGCTTTCTGGCAGGGCAAAGAGGAGGACACATAGAAAACACACAGACAACACACCAGCGGGCAACTGGGGTGTCACAGCCTGAACTTGCCCCATTAGCTCTGCTCTGCTGACCTCTCCAGGCCAGCCCCCACCCACTGTCAGTATCAGGAAATCTCTGGAGTCTGCTCCCCAGCTCTGTCCCCTTGGAGCTGTGCTTGGCCTGCGGTGGCACAAATGGACAGGAAGCATCTCAGGCACCTATCCAGGGAACAAGAGTAGACCCGCAAGACCCCAGCCCTGGGAACCCTCATGGACCAAGGGTCCGGGTTGAAGACACAGCCACCCACCCAACGCAGTCAGAAGCCTGGAGACCTTGGAGCCCCTGTGCCTTAGGTGGGGTCCTGGTGGAGCTAACGGGTAGATGTTGAGCAGCTGGTCAGGGGTTGGAGGGAAGGTGAGAGGGACCTGCCGTGGCTGGACATTCTCTGTGCCTGCCCCACCAGGACCCCACCAGGACCCCACCAAGCCAGCATGAGCCTGGCCACAAGGAAACAGCACCTTGCGTGGGTCAAGATCCTCCAAGGCCCACCCGGCCAGCAGCACTGCAAGCAAGCTCAGGACGGTACTCAGCAGCCTGGCCTCCATCGCGTGGCTCCACCTCTGCACCCCCAGCACCTGGGGTTATATGCAGAGCGAGGCAGCGTGTGCAGCCACCCGGAGAGCCAGAGCGTGGCCGGGCCGCCCTGGTGACCGCCTGCCCTGAGATGTCCAGTGTTTCTGCACGAGGACCACCTGGCCAATGATGCCCACACCCTAAAAGTCGGCAGAGGCTAGATGTGAGGACAGAGGCAAACACTGCCATGGGACCATCAGGGCCATAGGGACAGGAGGCACCCCCTCCCACTGCTTGGGGACATAGGCTAGTGAAGGCCAGTGCCCAACCTCAACCTGCAGCCTCCTGCAGCCAGTGAGCACCTGGCTGCAGCCCCCAGCCTGGCCTCAAGCCTCTAGCCTCCTCCCAAAGGGCTCCCCAAGATCCCTAAAACAACCATGTTTTCTGCTGACCCCAGGATCAGCTGGGTGATTGGGGACCAGTGAAGATGGAAACACAGAGGGAGCCCTGGTCCCTGCTCCATCCCTTCTTGAGGAAGAGTGATAGCCCCTCAGGAAAGAAGGGACTCTGGCCCCCTGGAGCCAGCAGGGCTACGGGCTGACCCAGGTACACTGCTCTATCTCAGTTTCCCCATCTGTTACAGTGATGAATTTCAGGATGGGAACAGGACTCTACCTGGACTCTGCCAGGACTGCCTCCACACTGCCCTCTGATCCATCTATGCTGTGTCCAGCAAGCTCTCTTTTGCTACGACTGCCTCTCAGGCCACAGATATTTCTTTTTAAGGCAGACTATTTTTATTTTCAAAAACAGCTTTATCTGTGGAAATAAGCTAAAAAAATAAAAATAAAGAAAATTCCCCTCCCACCTTCCCAGTCCTACTTCCACCTAATGAAAGGGTCCAAGCACGGCCATGGACCCCTGTCCCACAGAGGGCCGCAGTCATCCTGGGCCCAGTACTCTGCCTTCCTGGCCTCCCATAGCAGAGGGGGTGCGGGACCTGATCCCGGGAGCAGCCCTCCCACCTCAGGCCTGGTCAGCTTGAGAGCAGGGGACTCAGCTGCTGTGAGTACCAAGCAAGCTGTCAGGCAGGGGAATGAGCCAGGACAGGACAGGGTGGCCCAGAGCTGGCTGTCACCCTGGGAACAAGGGAACTGGAGAGGGGCAGCAGACAGGCTGAGCCCAGCCTCAGGGCACTGCAGGGACGGATGGAGCCTGGCAGGAGCAAGCGGGCGGGGAGTTGCGCAGGGCATCTGATTGCTTCCCCTCCTGGCCTGAGAGGGCACAGGTGCTGAGGAGCAATGGACCGGAACCCCCATCAGCTTCCTGCTCCCTATGTCTGGCCCTTTGAAGCGTGGGTGCTAGAACGATCTGGAGAACCAGGGCACAGCCTTGGGGTGAGCGACATGGTGGTGGGCACCTTGGAAGGACCTCCTGGCACCCACATCTCCTGTGCTGGCACAGCATGAGCCCCTACCCCAGAACCTGCTCCCTGGGCTCAAACTAGCTGTGCAACCTCAAAGAACCTGCCCAGTCTTCCTGGACTTCTTTGTCCCGCTCTGAGGAATAAGATGGGGTGGCCACATCCAGGCCTCCGTCACAGAAAACAAGTTGGCCAGTGGGGCCAGGCTCAATCCTGGCCCTTTCCTCTGACCCCCAGAGGCTTAAACGAGTGCCCAGATACCTGAGACTGTGGAGGTGGGGCCCACACAGGTGTACAGCCTCCTGCCACTCTGCCCACTTCGGCCTCCAGCCCAAGTGCAACCAGCAGAGCCCCGATGGTCAGGGCCACCTTTCTGGGTCACTTGGCTTCCCTGCAGGCACTGTGAGCCTGACCACAGCCTCCAGCTCCCTTGGTCAGGGGACCCCAAGGAGCCAAATCCCCTTCCCATCTCCCTCTCACCCCAGCCTAGGTCGCCCCAGGAGACAGTGGACATTACACCCTCCCCAAGGCCACCCCCAAAGACATAAAGCTAAGGCTGCAGAATCTGTTTATTGGAGGGGTGGGGGAGGCAGGAGGATGAGGGGTGGCCCAAGGTAGCCTCCAAGGGCTGCAGGTCTCACTGAGCTTCCTGTGTAGTGAGATTTGCTGCTTCAGAATCAACCTGCACAGAAGAATAGCAGCATCTATCCACTGCCCCCCTCAAGCTGGTGCTGCCCCCTTCTGCAGATGGAGACACCCATACTGCTGCTGGTGGATTCATCACAGGGCCCTGTCACTTCAGGTAAAGTGGCCAAGCGCCTGCCCCAGGCATTGACCCATGCCCCTCCCAGAGTTCCCAAAGCCACCTCACGATGGCAGGAGAGGTCATTGTTCCCAGGCCTGCTCCGATCCAAAGAAACAGAAGAGGAGGCCGGAGCAGAGCACAACTCAGAAGTCACCAGGACAAGGACAAAGACGACAGATCTGAAGGGATGCCCACCAGCTCCCTGCCAGGCCGAGCCATGCCAGGCCAGGCAGCTGAGGCCAGAGGTGCTGGTCACTGTGAGGCACATCCATGACTCATGGCCTATGTGCTGCCCACATTCTTGGTGATGGGCTTGGGCAAGACCCTGTAGCTTTCTGGGTCTAATCCTCATGATCCACCTGCACGGAGGCCCCAGGGCTCCCAGGATGCAGCCCTGGGTCAGGTAATGAGGTGGTGGCTCCACACTGACGGGACCCTGGGGAGGGAGCCACGGTGGTGGAGACCAGGGTGCTGCAGGTTGAATAGTGTGCCCCAAACTTTGCAGTCCCCAGAACCTCTGAACAGGACCTCATCTGGAAATGGGGTCTTGGTAGAGGTGGTTGGTTAGGGGTCCAGACAGGATTGTACTGAACTTGGGGTGGACCTAAATCCAATGCCTGGTGACCTGAGGAGAAGAGGGGACCCTGGGTGCAGACTGAGGCGGGCAGAGGTCAGGGGATACCAGGCACGGACCACAGTGACACTAAGTGGACAGGGAGCCACGGTTAGATCAAGAGGCCAGGGAGGTGTCTACAGAGCCCAAGATAAACTCTGAAGGCTCCTAGACTCTGGGCTCTTGGCCCCAGCACTGCTGTTTAGGCCCCATTGGGGCTCAGCATTGGGGATCAGACAGGCTTCCTGTGACAGCAGTGTCCAAGGTGAGGCCTGACTCCAGGGACTTCCCAGGTGGACCTGAGGATGGGACCTGCACAGCAGATCTCAGAGGGGCCAGGGCAGCCCAGGCAGAACCCAGAGAACTCACCATGTGCCCCACCTGTGTAGGGCTAGGACTTGACTCCAGAGGCATCAGGGTGCTCCACTGCCCCAGAGAGCACACATCTGTGGGGAAAGAGGTCCCTGAGACAGGCTGGTGATGTCTGTGCCCCTTTCCAGTGCCAGAGAGGAGCGCTCCCTCACTGCAGGGCAGGAGGGCAGGAGAACTCCACTCTTTTTTTTTTTTTTTTTAAAGCTATAGATGTATATTTATTGATACCTTCATTCCATTTAGTAAGCCAAAAAATTTTAAGCAACTTCAAGGAGGACTCCACTCTTGGGGCTCTGGGGATGGAAGGAGGGGAGAGGAACACAGAGAAGAGAGGGGAAGGCACCTGATCCGGGTGGCCTAACCACCATATCAGCCTGGAGACCCAGCGTGGGATAGAAGTTCTCAAAGGCCTGCAGCGCCTGGAGGGTCGCGTCCTGGGTGCGGCCTAGGCAGAGCAGGGCCCCAGTGAGCCCCTCAGGTCCCAGGGGTCTCGGCAGGGGCCCAGCGGGATGGAAACAGGGTCAGTTGCTGCACTCCCCTGGGCTGCCACCCTGGCTGCTCTGCTGGGAAGGCTGCATGTACAGCGGTGACTGCCGAAGGCCCCCTGAGCACCTCAGGCAGCTCCTTGGGCAGCTGTGCTGCTGTCCCCACCCCTAGCCCTAGCCTGTCCTCCCCACCTCGGGGAGCCAGGTGGAGTCCACCTCCATTGAGGGCCCAAGGCAGGAAAGAACAGGTCCCCCGGGGTCCACACCCCACTCCGGAAAGGGTCCACACCCCTGGTCCAGCCTTCAAGGCCAAGGAGAAAAGGGAGTGGACAGAGCATTAGGCACCAGAGTGGGTGGGTGGGACGGCAAGATGGGGGTGGGCTGAGAGGGACCAAGAAAGGGGGGAGCACGGGAGAAGGGCTGGTGGGTGGGGCGAAATGGCGGGCGGAGCCCGGCGGGCGGGGCCAGGCTCACTGTAGAGCTGCACCATGGTGCTGAGCGCCCCCTCCAGCTCCTTGTAGATGTAAATCACTGCGAACGAGCTGTAATCTGTGTCCGCCACACGCACGTCCAGGTAGCCCAGGGCTGTGGAGGTGATCGTGAGGGGGCCCTGGGGTCTCCAGCCGGGTTACCAACTCACACACCAGCCCCGCCGCTATGCAACAGCCACAGAGAGGGCGAGGGGTGTTTACCTCCCAGCACCGACCTCCCAGCACAGAGGACCTACCTGGGACCTTGAAGTGTCCCTCAGAGCCCACTTTCAGATACTGGACGTCCATCCGTTTGCAGCCATCCCTCCTGGGGTGCAAACCCAGTCACTGCGTGCCTGGCCCAGCTCTTACCCAGCCCCCCAGATCCTGCCACTCACCGGGGAAGCTCTATGTGCACTTCCAGGTCCCCCTTCACAGTGGCATTGACGTCCACAGTAGACATCAGCAGGTGATCCTTATTTTTTAGGAAGACCTTGCAGTCGGACACCATGGAGACCACATGCCAGAGGCCAGAAAACTGCAGGACAGCTCAGTGACCTCCAGGCTGGATAGTTGGACCTCCCTGCCCAGGGCTGGGGACAAGCCAAGGGCCACAGAAGCAGGGCGGTGCCTTAGGTCCCAGGTGAGGCCCCAGACAGGGTGGACAGTAGTCCCTGCTACCTGGGCCAACTCCAGACCAGGACAGCAGGTTCACAACATTCCTGGGAGGGGCACAATTGGCCTGCTGGACACTGACTTCCTGTGCTCACCCACAAGGTTTCCCACAGGGGCCCAGCCCACACCCCCTGGGTGTAGCGCTGGGGCCCAGTACCTTTTTGGCATCAAAGTCAGGCTGTACTAGGACCTCTGCCTGAGTTACTGACGCCCAGAGCAGCACCAAGCTCAGCAGGTCTGGCCTCATGTCCATGCCTGTCCAGCATTAGCATCCTGAGTCCCCAAGCCCAGGACCTCAGCTTTATAGCCCAGCCCAGCCCAGGGCTTGTGGAAGGAGCTGGTTGGGGAGTCTGCCGAAGGGGCTCTGGAAATACCAGCCTCCTTTTGTCCATTGTGTGGCACAATCACTCAAGTGTCCCCTCCGGTCCCAGGGTCACTTCCTGGAGGGCTCCAGACAGCCAGGCTCTCACCTGACATGCCACTGAAGATTTCCCAGGCATGTCGCCCATTGTGGGGCCAGCGGGCCACTGAGCACGGCAGAGACCTCCTCCTGCCTTCGTGGCTCTGCACTCTGGCTGGGGCTGGGGCTCTAGGGTCTTGAGGTGCTACTGCAATAGCCAGGCTTGGGTCCACTCCAGCCAACAGGCCCCTACCCAGGTCTGGGGCACCGCTAAGCACTCCCTCCCTCTAACCCCCAACTCAGGGACAGGGTCTTGCAGGCCTGGCCTCCAGACCTCATCCAAGGGCAGAGCCTGTGCAGCCCAGCTGTGGGAGCCCTGGGTACCCTGCTCCGGACACCCACCCCTAGCTGCCAGTTGGCCTCCTGCAAATGCACGTGGCACAGGGAGCTGGTGGCACTGGGGTGGATTATGTTATCACAGCAGCCTTATCACCAGTTATGTAACTGTGCAGGGGGAAAGGGTGCCAGGGAGACTGGAGCCAGGAAGGGCTCCCCAGTGAGCTCCGGGACCAAGCACCCCAGGACCTGAGGCCAGGAATAGCACATGGCTTTGGGGCATGTCACAGAGGGCTGCCTGGGAAGCCAGTGCTTTGAGTCCACCAGAGTGGATGGGAGCTGAGTCAGAAAGACCCCTCACCCCCAGCACAAGCGGGGAAGAAACAGTGCTTCTGTTTGCTGTCCCTGGTCCCTGGGGTTCCCTGAGGTGCCATCCCCAAGAATCCCTGCCAGATGCAAGGAGTCACAGGATAGAAGACAGGTAAGTGTCAGGAAGATCAAACACCTGATAAAGGACAGAATCGGAATCTCTGGCAGACCCTCAAACTCAGCTATAGCCATGAGCAGCCAGCCCAGTCCCACAAAGGAGCACGAGATCTGAAAAGGCATTCTGCCAAAACAGGAAGCCGCCCGGAAGGGGGCAGCTCCCAAAGAGGTGGTCATTAGTCACAGGGACAGCAACCTAAGGCCACCCTCGCTGCAGAGCATCTAAGGTTTCTAAAGTAAAGAGAGTCCCAGGAACCAGAGGCCAAGGAGCAGCTGGACCTCAGGCTGTAGGGAGCAGGAAGCTGAGCTGGGTCCAGCGTGGCTCCCCTGCAGTCGCCTGCTTAGCAGGATTTACCCGAAGAAAGGAAGCCAGGATTAGGCCAATCCTGCCCACGGCTGTGATGGTGACTTTATTTTGTTGGCAGTGCTGGGGCTGAACCCAGTGCCTTTGCATTGAGTTACAACCCTGGTACCCCCCCGCCCTGCTTTTTTTTTTAACAGTTGGATTTTTTGCCTGGCAAGCTTGAGGTCAAGAGTTCAATCCCTCATACTAACTGGACTTTTTGGATCAGATTTTTTGATACCCCCTTTTTGAGAGAGACAGAGACTCACTAATTTGCCCAGCTGGGCTTGAATTTGCACCCCTCCTGCCTCAGCCTCTCAGAATACTACAAGTGTGCACCGCCATGTCCAGCAAATGACCTTTTTCATACTCACCAAAACCTCAAAGCAACCAAACCTGTGGGTGAAGGACAAGTCTTGTCCACCCCTTTGAGGCAGAGCTGCTCAGGAATAACAAGGAGACCTCTGGGCCCCGTGGCAATGTGGCTCGTCCCCATCCCCACCCCTAGCATCTGGCCAGTCTGGAAAGTCTGCCTCCTCCTGACTCTTTGCCTGACCTCCTAGAACAGGACAAACAGAGGATGGCACAGCTTGTGGGCACCAGGGGCTGAGAGCACCAGGGAATGAGGAGAGGAGTTGGGGGGAGCTCGGCGGCTGTGGGCTGTTGCCTGCTTTGGCAGTGGGACCCTTGAACACTTGCATTTGTGCAGAAGAGCACAGCTGCCTAGGACAGCAGGTGAATCTGCTGGCTGCCTCCAAGCTTTTGAAGCATTGCGTGGCCTCCCATATGTGCTATCTTACAGGGAGCCCTTCCTGGTCTCGCTAAGGTCCGGGAAGTTTATAATTCTAATCCCATGGAAACATCATTGGAATTCTAGTGAGTTAATTTCAATCTACCACTTCCAGTGCAACCCACAGTGAGAATAAAGGCATATTTACAGCTGTGGGGAGCCAAGGGGTCCTAAGTTCATCTAGGGTGATGGTTCATTAGAACAAAGGCCTTGACCGAGTCAAACATGGGTTTTATTCATTCACGAAGAGGGGCGTGGCTCGGGGATGAGTGACAGGGTGGCTGGAAGTACGTGAGTGCTGTCAGCTGGGCTGGGTAGGAGGCCGAGATCGCCTTTGCAGTAAGCAGGATGTGCAGGAAGACTCATCTGCCCAGACTGTCCTGCAGTCAGCACTTCAGCTCTGCTGTGTAACCTTTTATGTCACAGGAAGTCACATTCCTGATAGCAGCAGGGACAGTGGAGCCTGGCTCTCCCTCCCGCTTCAGTCACATTTGCTTTTGGGGAGTGATGGGGCAGGGAAACACTGAACTGTCACCTTGCCCCACAGTCTACACATCAACACCTCGGTCAGACCCCTTTGCATTGCTTAAAGCCAACCTGAGGGGTAAGGAAAAGCCCCAGCCAGCTCTGTGCGTACCCACATGCAGACAGGGCGGGTCAGCCAAGACAGAGACGGCTGCTCTCCATTCAAGGAGAGCCCCCACTGTCTTCCTCCCATGTTATTTTGGTTAGTACACTTTGGAGGGCACCACGCTGCATCCCCCTTGGGAGGGGTGCATACACCCGACAGGTTTAATTCTACTTAGGTCCCCTTGTCCTCCTCTCCCTCCATATCTCAGTCCCCTTCCCATCTGCGGGAGATCTTGCTCCCTTTTCCTTAGGATCCTTTATTTTGGTCTTCATCTGTGCTTTCTCTTACAGGAGAAACCACACAGCACTTAAGCTTTGTGTCTGATTTGTTTCACTTGGCATTATGGCCTTGAGCTGCCTTCATTGTCCCGCAGGTGGCCTGCTTCTCCTCCTTGTCAGCACACAGTGCTCCCTGTGTGTAATACCACGCTTCCTTTACCCCTGCACCTGTCTGTACACATCTAGGCCACTTCCAACATTTAGCTATTATGAATGGTGCTGATACGAACACAGGTGTACATGGGTCTCTTTAACAATTTGGGGCGGCTGCCTAGGAGGGGAATCTCTGAGACAGAGGGAATTTCCATATGCACAGCTTTGCTTTGGGAAGTTTAGTTACCCCAAGTCAACCTCTGACGATATTAAAGAAAATGCTCAGAAATAAACAGCTGGTAATTCTAAAACTGTGCACTATTCTGAATAGCATAACGAAATCCCACTCTGTGCATGCCAGGACAGAGTTGTTCGTTTGTCAAGTGTCCACACTGACAAATGGCCATTGTAGGTGTCACTGTTATCAGGTGACCCGAGAGTACCAGACCTAGTGGCAGTATGGTTACACTGTTCTATGTCACCACTGGCTGTTAATCTCTCTTATATTTGTCTACTTTTTAATGAATTTTTTAAAATCCACTTTATTTCATCAAAAAAAAAAAAAAAAGAAAACACCTAAAACTAAATTTCAAAACACATCAATCAGGGGCAACAATGGTACATACATTGTATATTGTCATCCACAAATCACTCACTGAGAGCACAAGACATCTGCATTCAATTGTCTGAACAATACCAGCATAAATCTTTCTCTTCAACAAAATCAGAGAAATCAGTAGTATAACCATCTTAACTATTTTTATATACATAATTTCTTTCAGCTTTTCACAATATGATGTTTACACATGTGTGTCTGATTTATTTCATTAAGGAGCATGGTCTCAAGTTGCATCCATTTACCTGTAAAAGTCTCCAGTTTATCCTTCTTTATGGCTGAGTAGTACTCCATTGTATAAAAAGACCACATCTTCTTTATCTATTCTTCAGTCAATAAGTATTTAGGTTGTTTCTAAGATCTGGCTGTTACACATTGTGCTGCTATAAACATGGATGCACATGTATCACTTACTCTGGCCAATTTATAAAACTTCATCACAGGGATGTAATTTATATAGGGTTCCATACTATCCAAGGTGTCGGACATCACCCCGAGGCAGGAAAGACACTGTATGTGAGCACTATCTGCCCCACCATGTGTGTCTGTGTGTATACACACACACACAGGCATGCACGCACACATGCACACATCCATGTGGCAAAATCCTCCCCCCAAATGCCAGCTCCTGGGTTTAGCTCTGGGAAGGCTGAAGCAGGTGGGCCACATGGGTGGCCCTGAAGCCAAGAGGTCATGGATTCCACAGGTGCAACAGCAGCCAGAGGCCACAATTCCCAAATCCCACTGGACTCTCAGGCTGAGCCTTGGGGGAGGGAACCTGGGCAATGAGGTGGGCTGCAGCCCAGGGCAGAGTCCATGCCACTCTGTGATCCCAGCCTCTCAGCCAATAAAGATGTACTATCCATCTCAGTACTCAGGAGGCTGAGGCAGGAGAACCGTTGCAAGCTCGAAACCAGCCTGGGCCACAAAGTGAGTCCAAAGCCAGCCTGCACTGCATAGCATGAGACCCTGTCTCAAAAAGAAAAAAAAAAGAAAGAAAGAAAGAAAGAAAAAGCAGATGCACCCTCCCTAGCAATCTGGCCTTGGTTTGGGGACCTTGCACCCAAAGCCTCGATACAAGACCACCCTTCCCTCAAAGGCCTCTGGCTACTGCCCCAAAGTGCAGCCTCCCAGCAGTGGCCAGAGTAGGCCCCATCATGCTCATATCTGGTGCATATCCTAACCCACCTCAAATCCCTATGACAGCAAGCACAAAACCCAGCCGCTGTCCAGGGTCTGAGGACCTCAGCCAGCAGCCCTCTGCCCCTGTCTCACGCTATCGCTATCGTGGGCTGATCGGTCCTGCAACCTCCCAAATGTGTGGACTGCGAAGGCATAAATGAAAGAGATGAATGAGATGGTTTTAGGGCTCCAGGAGCATCAATGCCCACTAGAAGAATTCAAGACTCTCTGGGGGCTGGGATAAAGAACTTCTGTGGGCTACCTGTATTCATTTGGTTTTCAAACAAAGAGAGGGGATACTGAGAAAACATGAGAAGTGGGCAGGACCTTGGGAGTCAGTTCAGAGACTTCCCCAAGTAGTACGTTACTAGAACCATCTTCTCTCCAGTCTGACATTCACGGTAGGGGTGAGAGACCTGCAGTTATGTCTCTGTCTAGTTAACTGGGGTTGGAGCCAGGTGTCCTCAGCACGACATCACAGGCCACTACAGGTCTCAGTTGGGACTCATAGAGGTTCACTAACTCTGAATCCACTGCCCATCTCTGGACAGGGGGCTTAGGTCTGGGAAGACTCACAAGGAAGCACAGAAAGTTAATTTGTGCATTTTAAGTCCTACTCACAGCCACTTGGTAGTGGTTTCCAACATCACCCCTTGTCCCTCGGCACTTGCTGCTCCCTGGGGTCCTCCTTACCCATCACCTGGGCCCCACGCTGAACGTGACCCACATCACCTCCTCCCTCAAAGTGCACATGTGAACTGGGAGCCATGTGGGAATGCATGTTCACCTCGCTCCCCAGTCCCACATGGGCCCTGGACGGTGCTGTGCTAACACCGGCTGAATGTAGAACAGTGGGTGGAGGGGGCCATAGGAGAGGACATGGCAAAACCAGCACCACTCATGCCAGTCAGGGCCTCCCAGTGCCCACCTCTATGTGCCCAGCACAGGACACAGCTGCCAGGACCTGGCATGAGGCAAGGGCACCACGCACCCACTATATCCTCAGGAGATTGGTGAGCAGGGCTCAGGACTAGCAGGTGAACACATGTTCCTCCTGGGTGCCAGGTGCAGCCCAGTAGTGGCCACAGGGTGCCAGCTAAGGGCCATGTGTGGATGTCCCCTGTTGGGGTGGGGTCCTAGAACACAACAATTGTGCTTCATGGTGGTACCAAAGCTAACACCACTAACTACACATGTGAACAGTGTGATTTGGCCACAGGGTGGGCGTTCTGCATCAAGAGGGAGGAAGGCTGCTTCTTGCCACGCCTAGGTGGGCCTTGGAAACACATGCAGTGAAAGCCAGACACCCCTGTTCCCTGCTCCAGGGAGAAGAAGCCAGGGACACCCAGTGCCAGACCAGTGAGCTGCCTCTGCTCACCTGACTGCAGAGGCTGCACCTGGGCTGCTCGTGCTCCCAGGGTCCACAGCTATAAGGACACACTGGCTTTGGGCAGCGTCCTGATCAGCTGGCACCATCTACCCCCCAACACCTGTGCTCCTGGGGGAAGGTGGACAGGTGTGGACTGCCTCTTGAGTCCCTGCTCCCCAGGCCCCAGGTCCATGGCCACAGACCTTCCCACTGCACCATCAGTGTTGTAGCGATAAGTGGAAGCTCTGTGGACTTCTTCTGGAACTCAGAATCCTACAGAAGCAGCTTTGGCAACCAAGGCATGGAGTTCAGGTTGGGAAGTGACAACCTGCACCTGTTCACAGCTGGAGATGAGGCTGCCACACCTGGGCAGCCCCAGCTTCCCATCAAAGGGGACAGGTCACCGTCCCAGACTCTGTCCTCCAGCCAGCTCAGGGCTTAGCCTCCCTCCCTCCCTCCAAGTTTCCATCACAGGACCAGGGCACCAGGAGCTCTGAGTGCTGGGGCACTGCAGGTAGATCCCCCAGGAAGCTTGGCAGTGTGGCTCTTTCCCAAACACTCCCTGATGAAGCACAGGGACATGCAGGTCACGAACCAGGACTGGGACAATGACAGGAACAGCTTGAAGAACTGTACTTCTCTGTTTAAGGGTGCCACCTGCCTGGGTGCCACCACAGCTATGCCACTGACATTGACTGGCAGTCAGGCCAAGGTTACAACTACTCCTTCAGGCTGCAGAAGATAGGCCACATGAGGACACTGATGGAAGGGGTCCCACAAGGCCACTGACAGCAGGGTGCTGTCTGTAGTGCCCCGCCCTGGCCCTTGCTCTCACTCTTGGGCTCCACCCAGCACATGAGCCACAAGGGCCACAGTGAACCCAGCACCTACAAAAATCAGAGAAGCAAAGTATGGAACCTGAGTGTTTCCCCTAGGAGGCCATGCAGGGTGCTGGCCTGGGCTCAACGCCAGACCAGAGGCCACTGAGACCACTGTGGCCTCTTCAGAGCACCAGGGGGAAGCAGCTGAACCCTTCCAGGGGCCACTTCCAGACCTGTAGGCCAGGAATAAAAGGAAGAGAAGAGCCCAGCTCACACCCCTCCCCAGCCCTGAACACACACTGCCCCCCCCCCAGCAGCCTCCTTTACCGTCACAGCTCCTTGGCCACCCTGGGCATGGGGGCCACGGCGAGAGTGAGCACTGGGCACAGGCAGTGCAGGACAGCAACTTAGGAGCCCTGTCAGTGGCATGGCCACTGAGCAGAGGCATCTGGGACATGCACAGGGGCCAAAGCCCCATCTCACAGACACATTAAAACTAAGGCCCAGGGGACTGGGGCTTGGCTGAGACAAGAGACCCCCCTCCCCAGAAGGGGAAGAAGGTGAGAACTGGGGTGCAGCCCAGGAAAACTATGGCGTGGACCAAGCGACTGAGCCCCAGGCAAGGAGCCCAGTGGTATCAGGAGCCCACAGGTATGGAGCAGGCCAGGGCTCTCCACCCCCACTCACCATCCACCTAGCCCGAGAGGGGCCCCGGGGCCAAAAGGGGTCCTGAAGAGAGGGTGCAGCCCGGTAAGAGAGGTGTTCCGCGTGCAGCATAGGCAGGGACAGGTGCAGGCAGGGGCGGCGAGGGTCGCAGCAGTAGTGGGCTAAACTCTCTTGGCTGACTTGGTCTGCTACCCGGGGCAACCGGTTCAGTGAGGGCAGAGAGTTGACTTCTCCGTGGACCTACAGCTCCCAGCACAGAACTGGAACCATGAATAGGCTTAGTAGTATTCTGGAAGTGCTTTAATAATTGTAACCGCACGAGTCCGCGATCCCGTTCAAGAAACTTAGCACTTGACCGCTGTCCGGAAGCAAAGCCCCTTCCATACAGTGCTGCAAAGCATCACGCTCCGCATGTGGCCCAGGATGGCGCCCGCGTTTGCACCGGGGAGATGGCGGGGCGGGCCTGAGACTGGAGAGGGAGTGGACGCCACGCTGCTCGCCAGTCGCACTCCAAGCTCCGCCCCCGGGCCCCGGCCGCTCCGCCAGGTCCCGCTCTTCCCGTCTGGGTCGGCGTAGAGCCCGAGCCTCAGGCCCCGCCCAGGTCAGGCCACGCCCCTTCGCCCGCTCCCGCGCAGGCGCGCTCCGGCACCCGGCCAGCCATGGTGAACCTGGGCTTGTCCCGCGTGGACGACGCCGTGGCCGCCAAACACCCGGTGAGAAGGCTGCCCGAGGACGAGGGTCCCGGGCTTAGCCCACCTCAGCCAGGAGAAAGGGCTAGAGGGCCCTCCTGCCACGGGATAGCACATCTTGGAGGGGCTGAGTGGTGAGACTCGTCTAGCCCCGGCTGTCACTGGGAGGAGGTCGGGGAGGGAGCGGGAGGTTGGGGAAGGAGCGGGACGGGCACTGAACCTCGGCCCCCACCCAGGGACTCGGGGAGTATGCCGCGTGCCAGTCCAGCGCCTTCATGAAGGGCGTGCTCACCTTGGTGGCAGGTAGGCTCGCGCGCGTGGGGTGTTCCGGGGCGGGAGAACGCGCCCTGCTGGCTCACCCTCCCTCCCCATCAGGTGGTACCGAACCCCCGCCCCCTGGTGCTAGCAGGACACCCAGGTGATCCCAGGTCAGCCCTGCCGCAGGCTGACCAGGGCACCTTGGCTCTCTGCAGGCACCGGCGGGACCTTCGGCCTGCAGATTCTTATCCAGAGAAAGTTTCCCTACCCGATGCAGTGGAGCCTCCTGGTGGCCGTGGGTGGGTACTACAAGGTGGACGCCCGGGCCCTGGCCTGGCTCTTTGGCTTCTGCCCAGGATAAGGCAGATACCCTGCCGCTGGTACCCATGCCACCGTTTGCACGGGAGCCCTACCCAAGCCCACCAGTCATGACTGTTGTAAATAGCCTGTACCCCATCCCTGGACCCTAAGAGCATGGGTCTCAGCCCCCTGCCTCACGGTCCCCAGTTGCAGGCTCTGTGGCCAGCTACGGGGTGACCAGAGTGGAATCGCAAAAATGCAGCAATCTGTGGCTCTTCCTGGAGACGGGGAAGCTCCCCAAAGACATGGATGCAGGTGAGAGGACCTGAGGCCAGTGAGACAGGGTTGCCAAGATCCCTGGAGTCTGTGGCAGTCAAGTCCAGAGGATCAGAGTAACAGGCTGAACAGGGCTCTCCCTCTGGCTGCCCTCATTTTGAAAGAGCTGGAGTGGGATTGGGTACTGCAGGATGCTGGGGTGACCTCAAGAGAAGAGCAAGGAGCCGAGCACCCAGGAAGAGACCCCCTCCTATAAGAAACTTGCATCCCACACCAGCTGACGGCTCCCAAGCCTGCTGTCCTTGTTACAGGACCCAGTTTTTGCAGTGACAGAATGAGGACAGGGACCCTGAGCAGGCATAGACATGGTCCCAGCTGTCTCCCTTCGCCTCTTACAGGTCAGCCCCGCTAGGAGAGCTACAGCCAGGGTGCAGATCTGGGGCAGGACGAGTCCTGGAACAGTCAGCACCCCCAGCTCCAGACCATCTGACATACATGTGGCCAGGCCTCACAAACCTGCTGCTGCCACTGCCCACACCCAGGACCTGCCTAGGTTGGCTCAGAAAGGCCTGGCAGGGCTGGAGCAGGGCATTCTCCTCAGGGTCAGCACTCAAACCTGAGCAGGTTGGGTCCTGCTGCACTTGTGGAGACAGCAGCCAGTGGACAGGGCTTGTACACCCTCTGACACTGTGGTGTCTACCTGTCTACTCCCCAGTGAGCCCAAGGACACAGAGGGTGCTTGGAGTGTCACTAATAAACAGCTTGCCTGGCTTCCCACCTAATATGGCTCTTGTGCGATCATAGGTGGGGCTTTTCAGAGGTGGCTGCATGTAGAGTGTGCAATGCTTGAATTGATTTATAGTGCAATGCTAGGATAAAGAGCACTAGGACTCAAGGTGTGAATGCTACCTGTCCTAAGTAGCATGGATAAGGGATGGAAAAACTGCAGTCTCTTGCTTGCTTTGTGACCTTCTGGCCACCATGAACTTTTCTCCTCTACCATTCCTGTCTGCCAAGCCACTCTGCCTTAGAGCCAGCAGACTATGGACTGAAACATATACAAACTTCAAGCAAAGTAAACTTTTCCTCTCTTAACTTTGGGCATCAGGTATTTTGTCTCAGCAGTGAAAAAGGTAACCAAGACACCACCTGAGCGCCAAAGCAGTTGAGAAACAGAGTTAAGAGGGGGTTCAGGTGTCACCTTTATGACTATCAGCTGGCTCCGCAGGAGGTACAAAGGAGTTCCCAGTGTGGGAGCCCACAGGTGGACATTCCTGCTGGCCCTGGGGCTGTGAGACCACAGGGGGTCAGGTGGAGCGCTGTCAGTCCCACCAGGCTGAGGAGCAGAGCAGAGGATGATGAAGACAGAATCTGCTCTGGCTTCCAGTTATGGGGACCATACCCACCTGCTTTTTATCCCAGACTCCCCTCTCCTGGGCAGAGGAACCAGCAGATCTGGCCCATTAGAGCTCTGTCAACAAGGCAGGGCCTGGGTGGTCATATCCACAGCACCCAGCCCAGAAGAGGAAGACACAGAGCTGCCCACATCCTGGCTTCCCGGTGAACTGAAGGGTCACCCTCAGCTCCATGTGCACCCAGCCTTGCAGTCATGCAGAGGGATGTCTGCAAAGCAAGTGCCCTCAGAGTCACTGGGAAGACAGCCACATGGGCCCAGGATGTGGGCAACTTTAGCCACTAGAGCTGGCATTTTGAGTCTGCTTCCTGTTGCCCACAGCACATGATACACTGGGTAAGTTAAGGAAAAGGTTTGTCCTTTGACCCATTCTAAGGTTGGGTGCCACATCTGGTGATCTCTGTCTTACTTTTTGGTTATTTTGTTGTTTTTTATTTTGTTTTTGAGACAAGAGCTCAGTATGTAGTTCAGGCTGGAGTCCCAAGTGCTGGATTATAGACATGTGCCACCAACCCACCTAGCAATAACAGAATTACTGGCACAGCCTGGAGGTGACAGGTTTTTCCTGGAAAGCAATTCCTTTTGGCACTAGACAGCATCTCCCTGTGTTCTAGCAAATCCACAAGTCAAACCTCCAAATTTCCACACAGGCAGGTGCAATGGCTCCTCAATTAGCTGTCAAAAGGTCATTCTGCCTGCCCCTTTAGCTCTGCCTGTCAAATTCCAAAGAAAAGCCTGTGGTTCTGTCCCCCACCCCAAAGCTTCCAGAGGATGCCACCTATGTGCCACATCCCTCCTGATCTCTTAGTAAAGGCCTTTTCTCTTCAGCTCTCTCTTTTCTCTCTCACGCCGCAGGAAAAAACCAAACAGGAGATAACAAGGGCATCACATGTCCATAGACTCCACACAAAGTTGTGTGTTCCATCCTCTCCCTTCTTAATAGTGGGTTTATCTCAGTGTGTGTGTGTGTGGCGGGGGAAGCTCAGTGGCATAATCACCTGTCTGGCAAACTTGAGGTTGTCAGTTCAATCCCAGGTACCAAAAACAATCATAATAATAATGGGTCTCCTTATCAAATCCTGATCACCTCTACTTCTAAACACCACGGTTGTAGTTCCTACTTTCAGCGTGGAGGACAGACCACGTTTGAATCACAGCAGTGGGAAGGGTCATTATCCAGGCAGACCCCTAGGCTCCTTCTAGACTGTTCTTCACTGTAATGGGGCCCACCCCAAATCTGCCTCATGGTTCCAAGTGGCTGCACTAGCTCCAACCAGTGTGTCTTCTTTGCATTGAATAAGAAAAAGAAAACGGTGGAGGAGAGCAGTTCAGCTGCCCCTCCTGCTTACACGGAGCCAAAACTACGTCACATGATACGTCCACTGTAACCCATCCAGGAAGACAGCCTCACTCTGCACGGCTGTGTATCATCCCACTAAAACTCTGGGAGTCTGCATGTGAGAGAGAAAGAGACACCACCAACATAGGGCCAGGCAGGTAGCTCTGCTTAGCCAGGCTCCCAGCTAGGCCCCCAAGAGCTAAAGGAGGTTGGGGGGACCATGCCTACCGAAGGTTCTTCAGGCCCCTTGAGGGTAAGGCCTGGGCTGAAGGGGTGGGGTGAGTGCAGCACTTTAGTCCAAGTGGAAAGTGACCAGAGAGAAAGCAGTCTACGTGAGGCCAGGGGCAGGGTCAAGTCCACATCCAGCAGTGTATGCTGTAATTTGGTGGTGGCCCAGGACCTGGAACATGGCTATTGGAAGATGGGGCCTCGAATAGGTGATTAAGGGTAAAGGAGGCTAGGCGCTCCAATCCCAGCTGACTAAGAAGAGGTGATTAGGACACACACATGCCCAGGGGACACGGGAATGTCCGAATTTGTGCTAGAAAAGGAGAGGTCTTAACTGGGCTCAGGGCCAGCCATGGGACACCTTGATCTTGGACTTAGCCTTGGGATGGGGAGGAATAAACATCATGCACACAAAGAGTCCCTGGTGCTATCAAAGCAGCCCAGCAGGGCCACAAGAGCAGGTCAGAGCTGCGGTCTACAGGACAGGACCCCAACCGGCCCCTCCTGGTTTCCTCATCACAGCCTGGGCTGCTGAGGGTGGGGAAGGCCCAGCAGGTTGGGCCAGGTCAGATGGAGGAGTGGAAAGATGTGGCACAGTGTGGGACAGCTGGTGGGTGGTGGGTGGTGGGTGGGTGTGAGCCTGGTCACCCAGGCTGCAGACTTTGAACTGGGGTGTTAGTGGGGAAATAAAAGCCCTGCAAAGGAAAGTCCTGCCTGAGAGCCCCGCCCCAATGCTATATAGAACTGGTCCAGGGGCCTGGTGCTATCTTGAGCCACCACAAATCCCACCATGCCTCCTGCACAGCCTGTGGCCATCACACAGTCTGCTCTACCAAAGGTACAAACTGCCAGGCAGTGACCTGAGGTCCACTGGGGCAAGGCTGGAACCCAGGCTCCTGGCCCTGAGAACTTGTTCCCATCACAATGGCCCAAAATTCCAGAGACCTGGAATCTGCACCTTGGCTCTGCTAAGCAGGCAGCCCACAGGGAAGGCACGAGGTGCACAGGGTCCCTGTGGACCGTGTGTGCCACCATGAAGGTGCACAGTGAGGCAAATGTGGAGGGACAGATACAGGAGCTAAAGACCATCACCAGGCTCCAGGGTGAGCCCTATGCTTGGGACCGTGCCCCTGCCCACCCTGATCAGGGGCTGCTGGCTCAGGCTTTCAAGTTCAACACCAGAACACCGTGGGACAGATGACTGACCATCCTACTGCCAGCCGTAGGGCCTGCCACAGGAAGGGTGCTGATGGAGGAGGGGGCTTTGAAAGGATGTGTGAGCACAAGAGCAACACGGTCCCAGGGCTGGAGGGGCAGGAAGGGACTCAGACACCAAGGACACCGCACCCAGGGCTCAGTCTCCCTTGCCAGCAGCCCCTCCACTGAGAGCCCTGGGGAGCAGTGACGCACGCGTCTAGACGCACCTGCGCCAGGCAGGTGAAGGAGCAGCGGGAGCTGAGTGAGGCCCGGCCTCCCGACCTCCCCAGCGGGCCAGGCCTTGGACCCTCACCCTGTCTCCTCCACTGCCCACAGAGCAATGTCGGGCGCTCCAGATCCAGGGGATGAAGGAGAAGACGGCGCAGAACAAGGCGACGCTGGGCCTGCTGCGCAGCAACGTCCGCCGAGGGGTGCATGAGTGGGCTTCGGCCAAGAAGGTGCCCAAGCCCCATGCTCTCTGCGGCCGGGAAGCGGTGGGGACGCGGGAGGGGCGCGCGCAGACCCCATCGCCCTAGGCTGGGTGCGCGTGCACAGGGCTCCCACCCAGCCTAGGGCCCAGGGCCCGGCCTGTGAGCGCGTGCCTGCATCAGGGCTCCCGCTCAGACGCGTCCTGCTGCCCCGGGCCGAAGCCCGCCTGAGCACTCTGCTGCAGTAGCCCCAGGCTCGGGGCTCCTGCCTGGGATAAAAGCGGCCCGAGGAGGTGCCCAGCTGACGCGCGCCCCCCGCAGTACGACCAGCGCGCCATCGCCAAGGCCTGCGGGAAGGACGTGTCGGTGAGGCTAGCGCATGGCCGCAGCACCTTGGAGGTACTGCTAGACAGCGACGCGGCGTTGGCTGAGGGTTGGGGGGCTACCGCAAGGGCAGCCAGGCGTCCCCTGACCCGCGTCGCCCCTCTAGCACCCACACATGCCTCCACCAGGTGGCACGGGAGAAACTGCGCAATTATGTCTTCGATCGCGTGAACACGCACAACGCACTGATCCATCTGGTGAGGCGGCGCGGGAAGCAGCTAGAAAGCCTGCAACTGGAGCTGGACCGCCTATGCAGCCAGCCGGAGGCCACCAAGGAGGAGGCACGACTGCTGCAGGTGGGCAAGGCAGCGAGGTGTGGGGCAGGTACCACGTTCTCCAAGGAAGCCTAGATTTAAGCACTTTCAAGGTGCTGGGCTACAGGGGTGTGGCTACTAAACGGGGGGGGGGGGCTTCTCAGTGAGCCCTTGGCTGCCGCAGGTCATCCGCCAGCTAGAAAACAGCATTGAAAAGACAACCATGAAGATCACCACCAGCCAGAACATCCGCCTGCTGTACTCGGACCTCCTGGAGCACCTGAAGAAGGTGTGGTCCTGTTGGCCCAGGGCCTTTGGGGGTTCTCCAGGAGCCTCTCCACCAGACACCCCGGCCTTCTGCCCTCCCCCCAGGCTCCCAGCCAAGCATGTGGAAATTCTCCAAAGAACTTCACTCTTAGCAGTACTTTGGGAGGCTGGGGCAGAAAGATCACAAGTCAAAGTCCCACCTGGGCAAATTAGCAAGACGCTCTCCCTAAATAAAAAAGGAGGAGGGGCCAGGGATTTAGCTCAGCAGCCTAAGTGCCTGCCTCACAAGCATGAGGTTGTGAGTTCAATCCCTGGTACCAAATAAATAAATAAATAAATAAGGGGGACAGGGTGTAACTCAGTTGTAGGGCACTCCTCGGTTTGAGCCCCAAGACCACACACAAAAAGTGAACTTCATTTTTGCAAATCCCAAAAAGCACGTGCTTTACTGAAAAAAAATCCCCTCACACGCTGCCAGGTAGGGGTAGTCCCTGAGCCTTCACGCAACATCCAGGGTCTGCTGACCACACAGCCCACTGCCCTCTACTGCAGAGCAGCCAGGCAAAAGGGGGCAGACCTGGTCCCTGGAAGCCCCCATTCCTGTGCCAGCGGCCTCAGCTCAGAACTCCTGCCACCGCCATCACAGGGTCCATACTCCAGCTGATGTCTGCCCCTGCTAGCACCTCCTTCTCTTCAACTTACACCCGATTTGAGATCCCCATGGTCACCTACATTAAACAGAAAAATGACCTGGCAAAGGCTCAGCATTTGTAGCTATTAATCACAAAACACTGCCAGCCAAGTCACATTACGCACCCAGCCTGAGCTAAACACTGTTCACAGTCTCTGTGCTCTGACAGAAACTTTCTGAGAAATCCAGTATCAGGTTTTTATAGAGGGGACACTCAGCAAGGTTAGGGAACTTCCAAGTCGCACACCTGGTGGGTGACGGGTGGCCTTGGCCTGAAGCAGACTCTCAGAGACCAAGCCCACATTTGGAGCCCACTTCAGTCCAAAGCAACCTCCCTCAAATCCTGTTTCTGAGTCAGCTTCCCAAGAGTAGAACACTTATTTCATCAGTCTTTTGTCCCTAGCCAGGCATGATGCTCCATAGCTGTAATCCTTGTACTCTGGGAGGCTGCGGCAGGAGGGTTACAAGTTCCAAGCCAACCCTGGGAAAGTTAGCAACTTAGCAAGACCCTGTCTCAACGTAGAAAGAGTAAAAGGTGACTGGGGTATTGTTTAGTGTGAAGGCCTTGGGTTCAATTTCCAGCACTGGCAATAGGGGGAAGCCTCTGGGTTGCTGGCCCAGGCTGTAAGAGACCCAAGCTGGTGCTACCATGCCACATGTCACCTTCTCTGAGCCTGCCTAGCCACTGGGGCCACAGACCAGACCCCATCATGGTCCTCAGGGCTCACAGCCTTGTGGTGAAGGATAAGGGCAGAGTCTACAATGCACAGGGTCCCCTGGAGAACCTGAGTGGGATCAGGCTGGAATGGGGCACCATGGCACTGCAGCATCCCATGCTTTGCTGCTCTGAGCAGGTGCTGGCAGGGTACCCCGTGGTGCTGGACAGGCTGCAGAACCGGGTCATCAGCTATGGCTCTGAGCTGTCTGACATGACAGTCATGTCCCAAGACGCCATGATGATTACGGATGAGGTCAAGGTAAGCTCAGGTCTAGGGCTATGTCCCCCACAGGTGGCTCTCTAAGATCTATCTGCCCCAGTCCCATCAGGACACCACTGGACACAGATGCCATGAGGTGAATGGGGGAGGGGGCTCTGACCCCATCTGCTACAATGCCTGCAAAGTTCTATGGGACAGCAGACCTGCCTGGGGCAGGGCACGCCTGTCTATTGCCATTGAAGAAACATAACAGGGCTCCTGGGCTGGATGGCAGAAAGGGTAAGGTGCTGGGGGACCATCTCCAACAAAGTCAGGGCTTGGGAAGAGAGGGGATCAAAGGGCAAAGCCCCTGTGGCCCAAAGGCACTTAGAGCACTGAGAGGCACATGGCTGTAGCAGAAAAGGCTGCGGGGAAGCCACATATGACACGCTGGGGACAGCAGGGCTCCCCTGCATTGGGGAGACAGAGGAAGAGGATCAGACTTGGGCTTCAAAATGACCAGCTCTGGCTTCAGGGCTAGAGGACACCAGGGCTGAATGATGGCCACTTGAGGGAGGCAATGGTGGTGTGGAGGTGGCCAGAAGAGGACAGAACAGAGGCGTCACCCAGTGAGCGCTGGGTCTGAGAATGGAGAGAGCAGTGTCCAGGCTGCAGAACTGGGATGAGGATGGCTGCAGCCACCAGAGCAGGATGAGGTAGAAGCGATCAGGCCTCAGGGACCAAGCACTTTCGGGGGGCAGTGGAGGGCTGCAAAGAGCAAGGACTGGCAGAGAAGTCACGAGGCATGCAGTGAGGTCACTGGTCAACAGGCTTGAGCACTGTGGGAGGAAAGGCGTGGTCAGCAGCCTCAGGCCCCATTCCACAGTTAGTAAGATGAAAGCTGACCAGGGCTCTGGGCCAGGAGTGGCCCTGCTGAGATAGCACCCTCAAGACCTCCCTGTGTCCCCAGAGAAACATGAGGCAAGGGGAAGCCACCTTCATTGAGGAGCGTAGAGCTCGGGAAAACCGGCTCAACCAGCAGAAGAAGCTCACTGACAAGATCCACACCAAGGAGGCCAGCGAGAAGCTCCGCCGGGTGCGCCCCAGGCCAGGGGGACTGTGGGAGGCGCCTCCCGTCCAGCACACAGCTCACCATGGCCTTGCCCGCTTTCTCCATCAGGGCCACAGGGACCTGGAGTTCCCCTCCAAGATGACTGTGGATGTCCTGAGAGGTGAGTCTCAGCCCTCTGGTCTGTCCCAGCTGGGATTGCCAGAGGTTGGTGCTGGTTAGGACCCCTCATCAGGTCACCATGAAGAGAGCTATAACCTGTGGCCACCATGGTGGTGGAGACTATCCCTCACTGCCCCTGCAGAGACTGAGCACTCACAGTGTGTGGCTGTGGAGAGGCCATCAGCAGTCCAGCCCCTGGTCATCCAGTGACTCCTTGGAGAATGCTGCCAAGCCCAGTGGCATGTTGTCCTTGTCCTCTACACTGGGCCCCCAGGTGCTCCAAGGGGCCTAGCTAAGCAGAAGAGCAGCTGACTCAGGGCGCCCAGCTCCTCAGTGGCTGTGCGTGGACAGCTGTTCAATGGTGATCCCTGTGTTCTGACAGCCTCTTCTCTTCCCCTCTGCCCAGGCAAGAAAAAGGACACCTCCGAGATGGACATCCCATACCAGACCAACGTGACTGCGTTGGTGGAGGGGGTCAAAGCTGCTGTGCAATGCTCCCACCTCTGGGTAAGCCTCCTCCACACCTGGGCATAGGTAGAGTGGTGATGAAGGGAACACAAGAAGCTCGTCCCCCAGTGCCCCTCAATAGGCTGCTCCCAGGCCTGGGAGGAACACCAATCAGGACCTAAGGACCGAAATGCTAAGGGCATAACCATTGTCTGCAAACCCAGCCCTGCCCAGCCAGGGAGTCACAGTGGGCAGCCGTCTCCCTCCAGCTCCTTTCTACTCTCAGTTTGCCCAAATTGGTTGTTCATTAAGCCTTAAGCTCCCACCAGTGGCCCTGACTAGAACTTTTCCATCTGAGTTCAGGTGACTCAGGTGATGCCTGATCTCCATGGCTGCAGATGTGGTTTTTATGCTCTGCCCATCAAAGTTACAGAGCATGACACACATCAGACATTGCCCCACTAATGTGTTGGCCACACCTGTGATCCAGCACTATGGTAGGCTGAGGCAGAAAGATCACAAAGTTGAGGCAAGCATGGGTAACTTAGTAAGACCCTGTGTCAAAAGAAAACTCAAAGAGGGCTGGGGATTTAACACAGTGGCATAATCGCTTGCCTGGCAGGCATGAGGTCAGGAGTTCGATTCCCAGTACCACCAATAAATAAATAAAAACTCAAACACTAAATATAACTGAATGTGAAGGCCCTGAGTTCAATCCCCAGTACTAGAGGTGAAGGTTTCACCCAACCCACAGTGCAGGGCAGCCATCGGCACAACTGAGCCCCGAGTTCTGAAAGCCACACAGGCCTTGGGCCCCATCACCTTCCAAGCCCACACCCTCCCCTCTCTGCCCTGAACTGCCTAGGACATCGCTGGCCGCTTCCTGGCCCAGAGGAACACTGAGGACAACCTAGAGCTGCAGATGGAAGACTGTGAGGACCAGCGGGCACAGCTGGACGCCCTGATGAAGAAGCTGCAGCTTGAGAAGGCACTGCTGAAATTCCGCCAAATGCCAGGCTCCGATAGGTAAACAGCTACCAGGCTGCCAGCCACCTGGGCACCAATGGCTGCCATCTGGGCGCTCAGTCCCATTAGTGGTGTATGTCTGTGGAGCAGCCAGCGGACCTACCCACTTGCAGCCCATGGAGTCAGCACAGCACCCAGCTCAGGACCTAGCCTGCTTGCCCTCTGTGGGCTGGGGGCTGCACCACCTGTGTCTGTGTCCCCTTGTCCTCCACAGCTCTAAATCCACTGAGGAAAAGATGAACAACATGCTGAAAGAGGAAGAGGCGAGGCTCCAGCTGGCCCGCAGCAACATGATCAAAAGCCAGCAGCTGCTGCTGACCATCCAGACAGGCATAGACAATCTCTATATCCGGCTCATCGGTGTCACCTTGCCTACCAGCCAGGTACTGACTGAGCAAGGAAGAGCAGTTACACAGAGTAGTCCTGGGTTGGACCAGAGGGAACACCAGACTGTGCTCTGGACTATAGAAAGAAGCAGTGCCCTCTGACACCCTCGATGTGCACGGCAAGCTGGCCTACTGTGAAAGGAAGCTCATCTACCTGGCTGACCGCCTGCAGGCGCTATCCAAGATAGAGGAGGTATCCATGGGCTGGGGTCACCAACACGGGCCTGGTCCCCTCAGAACTGATGGGAACATGACCCTGCAGGTGAGTTCCAAGGTGAAAGATGCCCTGGAGTCCTCGACGCTGAAGGAGAGATACAACACCAGGATCAGTTTTGAGGACCTGGAGGAGGACATGATAGGTGAGACCACCAGCCATGGAGAGGGAACATGGAGCTACAGCCAGATCCAGTCATGGGTCTGAGCTGCTGAGTGGGGACAACGCCCAATCCATCTGACCAGGACATCCTGGAGGGACAGTGAGGGCGTCAGGTACCGAGAAGAGTTTTAATCAATGCAGGTGACTTAGTCATGACCTGGAGAGGCTAAACCCTTTGAAACAGTGAGACTTAATTACCCTGAGAGGAGGGGCACACATCACAAGGTTCGTCGGGAAGTCCAGAGCCTTCATTGGGGCTTCTTGCAACAAAGCAGAGCAGGACAGAAGAGGACTGCCAGTGTGGGCAGTTCCCGGCTCATCCAGTCACTAGCCCTGGGGACTTGGAGCAGGGAGTGGTGGCTGGACGGGCTCCCGGGCCCTCTGCATATCTAAGGATGGGCCAAGCAAGATGAGGGGCTGCCTGTACCCGGCAGCGGGTACAGGAGCCAGGAGCCCCGCCGCGAATCTCCTGCGCTCTATGCAGAAAGCTTCCAGTTTGCCGACATGGACCACAGCTACATCCCGTCGCGGGCGGAGATCAAGAAGCAGGCGCAGTGGCTGATCGAGGACAAACTCAAGGCGCTCAAGAAGAAGAAGAAGTAGCTCCGCGCTCTGTTTCGCAAATAAACATTTTTCCTTGACTACCTGTATCGTGCAGCCGGGAGGAGCAGGGGAGAGAGTTGAGCGTGCAAGGGGCGGGACCTGGGTTAGGGAGCGGCGCGCATCGCTCACCGCGCACGCGCCGCTCAGATTGTCCCGCGCTGCGCCCCGTAGCCGCGCCGGCGCCAAGATGGCGGAGCTAAGGAGTGGACGGCTGTCGTGCTGGGGCTCGCGGGGACCGGAGCACAGCTGCCGCGGCTGAGGCCCCCACCGCCGTTCGGGGTTCAGCCTACCGCTGCGACCTCGACCTGTGGCTGCACAGGTTCCGATTTCGGAGCAGTCCGTGCTGCCGGGTCATGCTGCAAAACAAGCCGCTCCGCCGCCACCGTTGAGCTCGCGGGCCGCGCCTGGCGCGGACGTACACCGAGAAGATGTTCTCCGCGCTGAAGAAGCTGGTGGGATCAGAGCAGGCCCCGGGCCGGGACAAGAACATCCCCGCTGGGCTGCAGTCCATGAACCAAGCGCTGCAGAGGCGCTTTGCCAAGGGGGTGCAGTACAACAGTGAGTGCGGCTCCGCGGTCGGGCGGCTCGGGACCCAGCCAGGCGGGAGCAGTGAGCCGGGACCTGTGGGCCCGGGGCGGGTGGTACTCCAGAATAGAGCCACGCGCGAATCGCCCTGGAGGAATCCAGGGCTGGGATGGATGTCGCCAGTCCCCGAACAGTGGGTCCCTCCTGAGAGATCTTGTCTAACGGGCACCGGCTCTAGAAGTGCTGTGCTGTGACGCTGCCCCGGCAGCGATGGGGACCCTGATTGGCGCAGATGGCCTCGTAGAGGGACCGTTATATAACGTGAGGGAGGGAGCGCCGGGGTCTGGCGCTGCCTGTAGGCTGACAGTTTAGGCCTTCACCCGCGAGCTGGGCACTCACCCCTAGGGCGTGTAAATTCGATGGCTCTGGTGGTTGTAGGGGGTGTGAGTTTGTTAACTTTCTGCCCTGCTTGAAGACAAAATAGCCGCAACGCCTTTCTTTCTAAAGAAACATTTGTAATAGATGTTTTTAGGAAAGTTCCCAGAATCACAGACTCTTTTTGTGATTGTTGGAGACATCCTTATCCCTGCAGGATGGAGGGATTGTACACAGCCGCTCAGGCGGCTTCATCTTCTGTTATAAATTATGTACCTTGTGCAGATTCTGGTTGCAGCCTACCTGTTGACCTCTTTTGACTTTTTCCATTTGCAGGTTCTTTTCTAGCAGAGCCTAAAGGCTTTCGTGTTATCCTCTGGTCTGACATTGTTTCCCTCTCAAACTGTTTCCTATAGTGCTAGGTTAGCATGTATGTACACACACACACCCACCGATACACAAGCTTTTCTCATGTGGAGCCGTGCAGGGTCCGTGTTTCCATGATAATGTAGCGTTTTATGAAAGAAGTTAGAAAGGCTGGGGTGTTGACTCACATAATCCCAGCACTTGGAGGCCGAAGCAGGAAGATCACCACTAGTTGGAGGCCAGCCTAAACTGCACAGCAAGACTGTCTCAAAAAAGACCGAACAGAAAGAAAATGATTAGAAAGACTTGCTCAGGTTTAAAAACACACTCATTGGGGTTGGGGGTTTGACTCAGCAGCTAAGTGCCTGCTTGGTAAATTTGAAGTCATGAGTTTGAACTCTGGTACCAAAAACAAAAAAAACCCACACATTTTAGATGCATTAACTTGAGATTTTGTTTGTATTTCTTTCAATTCTGTGAAGAGAATATTAGGGCAAGGGCAAAGTATTCATTTATGCAAATCTTTGGAATGAACAATTGGATTCCTTAATTTTATTATTAACAGTGTTGCCTGAAACTTAATCCCCTGCCCTTGGAAATTAGATCTGAAGCAGAAACTGGTTACTTTCTGACAGGACTCCCTGATGGTCCCACCTCGGTGTTCCTGGACAAGAGGGGATAAAAAGACATAGGGAGTTGTTCCTGAAAAACGCAGTGTCCATTATTGGGGAAACTTTGTGATTTCCTTGCTGTGAGTCCAGAGAAATTTCAGTGCATATCAGAGTTACATTTCAGAGGGATCTTACCTCTAATTGAATATATATGTGCAGTGTTAAGACTTTCATTTCCTGTGTTAATGGAATACAGGAAGTTTTTAGTACCTGTTTTCCCAAATGTCTTACTAAGTAACAAACTAATGATATGGTAATTGTAGATCCAGGATTCTTATAGGGGAAAGTTGCAATTAACTGTTGGTGATATGAATTGTCTCTTACAGAATGTTATCTTTCTGGGGGCAGGTAGTGGTTTTCAGTTTGTTAGGATAATGAGAAGTATCCTATGGGCACACATGCATAGAGTACCAGCACAACCTTCAAATTGGAATCAGAATGATAGAGACATTGGATAATAGTCCCATTTTGGAATCCATGTGCATATAAACTAGGAAAAAAAACTGTACCTGAGGTAGTCATCCCCTTCCACTGTAGCTCACAGTTGGTCAGCTGTGCATGTAGGGAAAGTTGCTGTGGGACAGCCTCCCAAAGGAGAAAGCCCTTACTATGGATCTGCATAGTGGTCTTGCTAAAGATACTGGAACTAAGGGCTTGGCAAAAGAAACCCTGGTCATTGAAATATGAAGTCTACAGTGAAGCAGCACACAGTAACCCAGCTGCAGAGAAGTGGGGCAGAGTGATTAAGCAGATTCCAGTATACATCTCTGCAGGATTCACAAAGAAAGCATAGCCAGAATAGAGATGAAGCAGGATTTGAAGAAAACTGAGCATTATCCAGTATTGATGAGATAAATAAAACACCAAAATGTCCAAGTCCAGAATTTATAAAACATCCACAGCTAGGCACATTGCTGAAAATTTTAGAGCTTCAAAGTGAAAAAAGGAAATCTTTGATGCAATCACAGGAAAAACCCCATCCCTGAACTCGTGACAGCTTCTGGCAGCTCAGGGACCTAGAGGGAAGCCATAGCAACCTGGAGTCTGTGCAGAATGCAATGGTGGCAACAGAGCAATTGTGGCTGAGCTGCTTCCAGTCTCAGGAAGTTTATGTGTATTCTTGCACACATAAATACAGAAGCTAGGCATGGTGGTGCTCGCCTGTAATCCCAGCATTCAGGAGGCTGAGGCAGGAGGAGCCCCAAAAGTTTGAGGCCAACCCGAGCTACAGTGGCATCCTGTCTCAATAAAACAAAATAAGTACACCTATATATACATACAGAAGATCTGCAGTAGACAGATGAAACTTGAGCTCAAAAACAGGCTTAAGGCCAGGGATTTAGCTCAGTGGTATAATCACCTGCCTGGTAAGTGTGAGGTCATGAGTTCTATCCTGGTACCAAAAAAAAGGACAGGCTTAGCATTCAAACAGCAAAGGTGACCAAAGGAATTAGTAAATAAGTTGTAAAATCTAAGTGATATGAGCTTGATCATTGCTAATGATAGTTTACATAGGGAAGACACAAGAAGAAAGCACTAATTTCCATAATGAAAATCAGCACATAGTCCAGGGTCACCATTAAAGCATTCAGAATTCCTTACATTGTGTGAGAGAAAGATAAATTTATTAGCTTTAGACTGTTATAGTTACTGAATGTTAAAAATGCAGGAGTTACTGAGAGTAGAAATAGATTGCAACTCTTGCAAATAAACAGTTGAAAAGAAGGGGAAATCTTGCCTGACTTATTAAAAAGCAGAAAAGACTGGGAGGAAACCAGGATGGGAAGTGAAGAGGATAAAATGAAGTGGTAGAAATAATTCCACAGCTTGGCAATCACAATGCTATAATCAGGCAGCAAGACCCCACTCCCATTCAAAGTAAAGAGTAAGATTGGGGTTTTTCTTACTTTGGCATATGGTTCGCAAGAGACCCATCCAGAGCACGATGGCAGAGTGGCAGGAAGGAGCCCGGAAAAGACACTGGGTGAGTCCAGTGGGAACCTTGGAAAGGTGGCCCCAGCTGCACTCAGATCTGCTCCAACTGCAGGGACATCACACATAGCAACCGTCAGTCCCAGCAGTCAGGCATCTGAGGCCAGCCCAGCCTGAACACAAAGCAAGACCCAAACAAGCAAAAAAAAAAAAAAAAAAAAAAAACCCTGTGCTGAGATAAAAAGGGACAGGAGGGTAGGTCAGTGCAGAAGCCCTGGGTTCAATGGGGAAAACAACCAAAACAAAAAAGGACTAAGCCCAAACGAAGTGGGGAAGATGGTGAAGGCCAGGACAGAGCCAGGTAGAACCCACACGTGCATTGGAGAGACCTGTGCAAAGAGGTGTGGCTTTCCTGGATGAGGTCAGTGAGCGACAGTGTGCAGGTGACACTATGGTGTTAGTTGTTCTGGAAAGCAAGTGCTAAGAAAAGGTTGGAAACTTCATGCCAGTGAGTTAGGGGTCTTATCTAGGTCATGGGTAAAACATGCCAGAACTGGCCCAAGAAAACATGAGGTCCTTCTCCAGAGCACCTTGGGTTCCTGCTGGTAGACAAGGTGGTTCCTGTTCCTGACACCCTAGTGCCCCAGGTCCTAAGAGGTACTCCCCAGCCTCCCATGTGGTGTCTGTGTGAAGTGGTTCCAGGCCTGCTTGGGGCAGGCACATTGATTTAGTTGTTCTTCATGGGCCTGACTGATGGCCTGCTGGGGACAAGAGGAGCCTCCTGACTGGGTCATAGACTGCAGGTGGCCCCCTGGAAGGCAAGGGCAGACAAGGGATCCTCATATCCTTTGCAGGGATCGCTCTGCTCGAGCTCCACAAACCCACAGGAGGGCCCCCCAGCCCTAGCAGGAAGTGTGTGTTCACTTCCTGCTAGGGCTGTGGGCCTGGGATGCTCCCCAGAGCATGCTGGAATCAGGGAGGCCTGCCCCTGACCTTGGAAGTGAGGGTGGAGGAGACAAGTCCTTGAGATTTGAGAACAACTGACTCTTCCGTGTGGCTAAATGTGAGACTGGGATGTGGGAAGGTGGCAGGGAGACAGCCTAGGCTGAGCCCTGCCGCTGGCCATTGGCTGTTGGTGCCCATGGTCCAGGTTACCACAGGAGGATATGTGTGGGGAGAGTTTCAGCAACAGCAGGCAGCTGAGATGGTCTGGGAAAAGCGGGGCGGAGGGGTGAGTCTCTGTCCCCCCACAGGGCTGCCTCTTCTGAGCCCCCACAGCTCCCTCGACCCATCCCAACCCCTGCTGGAAGTCTAGAGGCCACTTCCCCTGCTATATGAGGCACTGCCCTCCCTTTCCCCAGCCTGGGCTTTAACGGTTTGCCTAGGCCTGAGCCTAGGCCTCCTCTCCTGCCCCTCCCTGCCACCCGATGTCTCCCACGTCTACTGACCCTGCACCCTACTTCCATGCTGCCCTTCTGTGTCATCCTGCCCTGATGACAGACCTGTGTCTGCCCCTGCCTGGAGCCAGCGGGCCCTTGAGATGCAGTCTGGCACACACAGCAGTGAGGAACAGGGTGAGCCCTCTGCACAGCTGTGTACCACCACATGTGCCAGGCTGCAGGGAAGGTAGGTGGAGGGAAGGCCGTGCCAGCCCAGGGTGACACTCTAGCCACATCCCTCCTGGCCCTAGGTCCCTGGTAGTCCCTCAGACACTGGGCTTCTGCCAGCCCTGGTCCCCCAGGGAGAAACTCCCATGCTAAGCCATCTGTCCACCCTCCAGACCACTCCCCTCCTTTGGTACAGTAACTACCCCCCACCTCTAGCCCCATGGCTGGCACTGCCAGCACTTTTGTCTGGTTCTTCCCTGCCCACCAGTCACCCGGGGCCTGACTCCGAGAAAAGTACATCACCATGGAGCTGACATGACTCTTGAGCTTATCTCATTTAATACCAGGGATCAAATTCATGACCTTGTGCTTGCCAAGCAGGCATTTACACCACTGAGTTAAATCCTCGGCATGAGGTTATATCTCTTAAATGAGATGACTTCATTTGTCTTTTCTCTGTTTCTCCTCACCCTCAGTGAAAATTGTGATCCGGGGAGACAGGAACACTGGCAAGACTGCGCTATGGCACCGGCTGCAGGGCAAAAAGTTTGTGGAGGAGTACATCCCCACACAGGAGATCCAGGTCACCAGCATCCACTGGAGTTACAAGAGTGCGTGTCCCTGCCACCGCCCCCTACCCCCAGTTCCCTGAGGCTCTGCCCCAACCCAACCTCCCACAGGCACTCAGATAGGGTGTGGGTCATCATTGTGAGTCACTTCATCTGGGATTGGACCTGTGAACCTCCTCCCAAGTCAGGGCACAGCCTGGGGCAGCTGAAACACCTCCAAAGACAATGCCTGCAAGGAGGCGTGGGGCACAGTGCTCACCCTGCCGGCTGGCACATTGCCAGTGGCTCAGGAGAGGGGCAGGCAAGTGAGGCTGGGGCCAGTCCTCAGCCCATGCCGCCAGCCCAACCCCAGCTTCACACCGCCTACTAACCTGAGGTTTTCCCTTGTTTCAGCCACAGATGATGTAGTGAAAGTTGAAGTCTGGGATGTGGTGGACAAAGGTGAGGTGCACCTGCTGAGTGGCAGCATTCCCCCTTCCTGTGCCTATTACCTTGGTCTTGGTTGCTCTCCGGCCCTGTGTCCTACAGAGGACCTGCCCCACCCTGTCATGTGTCTGGCTTTAGAAGGCTTGGGTGTGTTGCTATGTGCATTTTGGTCCTCAGTCCAGTTAGTTTCTGCCTCGTCCAGTGAACAGGATGGAGTGTGGCATGGACCTACTGGCTCTGCACCCTAAGCTGCTTGAGCATGTCTGTGAGGAAGGGGTTGGCCATAAGAGCTTGTGGGACGCCTGCTTCATCTGCTGGAAATCTAACGCCCGATGGCATGTGGGAAGCTGGTTTCACTGGTGTGCACATCCTTAGCACTCCAGTCTGGTCCAGGCCTAGTCGGTGCCTGCTTGCTGCAGCCCTGGCTACTCAGAAGGAAAGTTACACGCAGTGCGCCACCATGGTAGGGAGGTTTCACCTGTGATCTGGGCATGGGCGGGGGACTGTGAGTTCTGAGAGGGCCGCCCTCCATCCCCAGGTTGCAGGAAGCAGGGTCAAAGAGCCAGAGAGGACCTGGCCCCGCGGCCAACACGCTGTTGGGTACAGAACATTATTTAGGTAGGTTCCCTGCAAGGGGCTCAGTCTGTTGGCCTAAGGAGAAAGGTGCGATGCTGCAGGTTTAGCTGTGTCTAAGGCAGTGGGGGAGTACATGCAGGCACCGGCGCTCGGCCTGTATCAGCCATCTTCAGGCCAGGGTGGCTGAGGGATAGAGCTAGACACTGCCGGGGGCTATGCCTGCTCTGAGTTGGGAAAGCACAGGATGGGTGCTGAGACCTCATAATCGACAAGCATTTCCTGCAGTGCCAAGGGGTCAGGGCCAGTGTCCCCGGCTGAGTACCCAGCCTTTTCCTTCTAGTGAGCTCTAGCTTCACTGGAAGGGTCCACCCGACCCTACCACATGTCCCCATGCCAGGTCACAGGCCCCTCCTCTGTGATCTGGGGGGAGGGCTGCATGTACGCATGTGTGTGACACTGCACAGGGGGTGCCCTCTGGTGCTAGCTTCAGAGTTGACAGACCTCCCCTCACCCCTGGCCTGGCCAGGCTGAGGCTCCCTCTCCCAGCTGTGACATCGGGCGGAGCAGGCAGTCCCAGGGGAGTCACAACTGGATGTACAGGCGAGACACTGGTCAGAGAGGCTGGGAGCACAGCGTGTGTGCCCCATGCTGCCACCAACCTTGTGCTCCACACCCCCTCTGCATGGCAGTCTCTGTCACACTCCCGTCACATATCTGAGGCCCTGTCAGTGTCACTGCTGTGAGGGCAGGAGTCATATCTCCTGTGGCCTCTGGCTGGCTCAAGCCAGGCTGCCCCCATGCCAACACCCCAGTCCCACACTGGTCACTTCCCAGGAGACCCTTTGTTTTATGCCGAGGGTCCACAGGCCTGGAATGGTGGTGTCCTCCTGAGCCCTTGCCCAGCTCTTATCTGCACCTATGGGACTACATGCAAGTCCTCCTGGCAGGATTTCCTATTCTGGGGTGTCTGGGGCTGGATGCCCTTGATGCTGAACGTTGTGGGTTCACCAGGGGCTGCTCTGCCCAGGAACCCGGGATGTGTTCTTCCTCTCACCAAGCTGGGCTCGAGCATGGTGCCAGTGCTGGCTGGAAAATTGCCTGATGATACCCCTGCACCCCATTCCCACCTGCTGGTATCCAATCCACCTGGATAGGCTCCTCCAGCCAGCACCAGGCTGGACCCCAGGAAGGGAAGCTGCCTGCCAGGCTGGTACCAAGCACCCCACCAAGCCTAATGCTGCCAGTTGTTTGAAGTGAAGGAGGGCAGCTCAGTCCCGGCCTGAGGACAAGGTCTGAGGACTGCAGAGGAGGGGCTCCAGGGGAGGCCACAGGTGAGGTGGGCTGGGCACGCCAAAGCCGTATGTGGGAGACAGAGGCCAAGCTTGTGGGTGCTTGTCGAAGTCTCCTGGAAGGGGGCGACAGGGAACAGCCTCTGCAGCTCTGACTTCCTCCTACTCCAGGCTCCTTCCTGCTGGCTGAGGGGGTGGAAGCAGGTGCAGACCAGGTACCTCCGCTGCCTCTGAGTGGAGGCTGGAGCCCGGGCCGGTCAGAACACAGCCAGGCATTCAGAAACAAACTTGGAGACTGGATGCAGGCTGGAATTTTAAGTAGACGAACTCTATTTGTTGCCAGGGCAGGCAGCACTGTCCACCCAGAGGGCATGGAAAGGAGGCGTGGCAATGGGGTCTGTCTTGTTTGCCTGCAGTCCCACTTCCCAGGGGCAGGGCCTGTGGCCATCTCCATAGTCAAAACTTTTGTGACCCTGAGGGTGGTTGTGCAGCTGGGCAGGACTGGACCATAGCACCACCCTCCTTCCTGCAGCTGGCTGCAGTTGAGTCAGCTCCTGTGTCTCCTTCTCCAAGCATCCATGCTTATGTCTGAAATCTGGAGATGTCCCCAAGAGCCCCAGCAGGAGTGCCAGCTCTGGTCCCTCCTACCACACAGTGTTAGCCCCTTCTGCCCTGTATGTGGCTATGGGGGCAGCGGGGACCAGCTGTCTTGAGTGACTGCTTCCCTTCAGCAGACCTGACCTGTCCAGTGGGTGCTAAGCCCTGCTGGCCTCGCCCTGCCGTCAGGGCCCAATTGCCCCTTCTCCCGAAGCTGAGTGGGTCACAGTCCAGCAGGGCATACCGAGGGGCAGGGAGGGGCCTGCAGCAGTCTTGGTCCTGGTACTCACACACTATAACTGTCATCTGTCATTTAACAAGGGAAATGCAAAAAGCGAAATGATGGCCTGAAGACGGAGAACGACCCCCAGGAGGTGAGCTGTCCGCCCATGCTGCTCACGGCCACCCCCAACCCAGCGGCGCCAGCCCTTCACACCCACTGTGTGCCCCTGTCCCTGGCTGCTTGAAGGACCCCATGCCAAGGCTGAGTTTTAGGGTGGCTGCCCAGCCAGCTGCTCTGCACAAGTGATAACTCACCTCGCCCCACTCAGCACTTGTCACAATGCAGTGGCCGCAGTGTGAGTTGGTGTGGCCTGGGCAGCATGTAGGTGCCACGTTGTCACACAGAGTCTTGTCTGTGTCCACAGTGCCTCTCTGCTGTCCTCTGACTGGGATGGGGGGAGCGCTGCACAAACCTCGGGCCCTGTGTGTGCTCTGGAAGGTTCTAGAGCACCTGTCTTACAGTCACTCCCCCATCTCTGGGTGGTGACTGGAGCCCATGAGCCCAGGGCAGGTACTGCCAACACCTGGGTCTCAGCCAGGCGTCACTCCCTCCAGCTGGTCTTGTGTCCCCAGCAGTGTTCTCTTCCCACTTCCTTACAACGGAAACGCCTCTCAGCTTTCAGTTGGCACAGTCCCATCAGCCTCTGCAAGGTTACCAAAGGCCCACAGGATGGAACGCAGTCTCACCTGCTCCTTCCTGTTCTAGGCGGAGTCCGAAATGGCCCTTGATGCCGAGTTCCTAGACGTGTACAAGAACTGTAATGGGGTGGTCATGATGTTCGACATCACCAAGCAGTGGTAAGAGGGCACGGCTGGCCAGTAGTGACCTTGCAGGCAGGTGTCCCTTTGCAGACAGCACCCAGAGGGGGCCCGGAGGCCTTGCTGCCTGTGGACCAGGGCTGGGTTTGAGCACAAGTGCAGAGGTCCAGGGGGGTAGGCAGAGCCCGCCACTTTTCAGCCCTGCAACCCTGAAAACGGCCCAGATTCATACGGCAGAGAACAGCAAGCAGAACGGGCAAGAGCAGAGGCTCAGAGCCTGGGGAGGATGCAGACTGCCCCAGAAGCCTTGTGGGACTACCTCGTCTACCCGCAGAGGGCTTCCCCTATGACGTCTGCAGGCTAGTAGTGCAGTGCACAGAGGGGCTGAGGGGCACGGGCGCTGGCGCTGGCCTCAGTGCACAGTGGTTGCTTGGGATGGGGCAGTCTGAGGTGCTGGCCTTGGTGCACAAGCCAAGGGATGGGTCAGCCCAAGTCGCCTTCAGTAGAAGCTGGTGCTAGAAGCAGGTGAAGATGGCAGTGGCTTTGTAGGGGTGTGGTAGGGGAAGAGGTCCTGGGGCCTGGAGCTCGAGGAGGTGTGTCCTCCAGGACAGGAAGCAGGCAGGGCAGCAGGTGCACACTCGGCCCTCGCACAACCCAGACTTGTCCCCTCCCCCAGGACCTTCAACTACATCCTCCGAGAGCTTCCCAAAGTGCCCACCCACGTGCCAGTGTGCGTGCTGGGCAACTACCGTGATATGGGCGAGCACCGCGTCATCCTGCCCGATGATGTGCGTGATTTCATCGACCACCTAAACAGGTGGGTGCCCCTGCTTGGGCCCAGGCCTGTGCCTATGCCTGTGCTGGCAGTGCTGTGGAGGGACACTGAAGCAGCCTTGCTGGAGATGACCTTGCTGGAACCCGGGGAGGGAATGAGGTGTCAGCTGGGCTGAATGCCAAGACTGGAGGCCGCCTGGCTGCTGTCTGATTCCTTGGATCCTGGGGAGGGGCCGACTGCAGAAGGTGCCCTGCAGGGCCCCACTGCCTGCTGGAAGCGGTGGCTGGGCAAGCAGCCCAGGCCCAGGCATGGTCCTGGGGCCTTTCTTATATTCTCTTTGTGGAAACAGACCGCCAGGCTCCTCCTACTTCCGGTACGCAGAGTCTTCCATGAAGAATAGCTTCGGCCTGAAGTACCTGCATAAGTTCTTCAACATCCCATTCCTGCAGCTACAGGTGAGTCTTCAGCTGATGGGCAGGGCCCCAGGTAGTGAGCAGCCAAGCCCCTAGCATACCCAGCTCCCGCTGGAGCCCACAAGCTAGTGGTGGCATAGTGATACCATGTGGTGTCCTGAGGAGTCACTAAGCCTTGCCCTACACATGGAGCCACCATTACCAAGAGGCAGGTCCAGGAGAGCTCCTGCCAGGGGCACTCCGCCTGTCTGCTATACCACATCCCATTTCCACAGTGCATTTACCGAGACCCAGCTCGGTCTTGTAACTAACCTGAGGCTTCACCCGTACAAACCTCTCCTAGACCCCACCAGGGCAGGCCGTCTCCCTCTTGCTTTGGGGTTGTGGCCTTGGCTGTCACAGGATAAGCACTGCTGGTGGTGGTTTGGGTCTGGACACAAGACGAGAGTGAGGGGCCCTCTGTCCTGCAGTGAAGGCCCCAGCACACAGGACCCTTGTGTGGCAGGGCAGCTGCCAGACCCTAGAAGCTTCTGGGTCGCACTGTGGGGTGCGTGCTGGAAGCTGCAGTGCTGCTGCTTTGCAGGACACCAGCTGCCATAGTGTGTACCCCCTGCCCCTGTCCTCTAGGCCACGCAGGTGCCAGGGCACAGCCGAGGAAACCTGCCACAGCCTCCTGTGATGGCAGTGGGCCTGAGCAGACTTGGGCTTGCGCCTGGCCCACCAGCTTCTCCTCAAGCTTCTCTCCTTCCTGTCTTGTGCTGATGGAGGATGGGCCCAGGCCCTGGTGTGTGCTGCAAGCACTCCGCCTCTGAGCCACACCCCAGCCCTTCTGTGTGTTTTTTTGGTGTGTGTGTGTGTGTGTGTGTGTGTGTGTGTGTGTGTGTGTGTTGGTATTTTGAGACTGGGTCGCACTAAGTCTTACGGGCTGGCCTGGAACTTGCCATCCTCCTAAGCAGCTAGGGTTATAGTGGTGCGCTACCACACCCAGCTCCTCCATTTCTTGCCTCCATTAAAAAATACCCCTTTGAGGCAGAGTCTCACTTTGTAGCCAGAGTGATCCTCCTGCCTCAGCCTCCTGAGTGCTAGGACAGGTGTATGCTCTGACACCCAGCTCCTTTTTCTTTACTTGTTTTTGTTTTTGTTTTGTTCATTTAAACAAGGTCTCATTACATAATTCAGACTGGCCTTGAATTTACTACTGCTGCCCACGCTGGCCTTGAACTCTCAATCTTCCTGCTTCAGCCCCAAGTGCTAGCTTTATAGGTGTGCACCACACCTGGCTCCCAGCTCCTTTTTTTGTCTGTTTGTGTTTTTGTTTTTGTTTTGAGACAGGGTCTCAACTGATCTAGAATTTGTGGTGGTCCTCCTACCTCACACCTCCCCACAGGTGGCATTATAATCATGTGCCACCATCCCGGCTCCTTTTTCTTGCTGGGGAGACGAGGCTTCTGCAGGGGTACTGTGCCAAGAAGCCCTATTGAGGGGGCCTGGCTGTGCAGAGGGGCGACCTTTCCTCTGCAGACTCCAGTCACCATAGAGAAATGGAACTGGTGGCCACTCACCGCTCTGGCCCCTGAAGGTTTCGTCCCTGGTTTTCAGAACCACAAGGAAGGGGACAGGGTCCTGGGGCCAGTGTTGGAGCTGGCACCATGGCAGGGTGAACACAGCTTCCCCCTGCCTGCTGTGGGCTCCTGCAGGGTCCTAAGTTCACTGGCCCTGTCCACAGGTTCAAGGCCAGTCCTGGGTGTCCAAAGATTCACCTGGGAACACAGCCACGCAGTGCAGCCGCCAAAGCTCAGCGGTCTTGGATGGCAGCTTGGGAAGGGCATTCCACAGCAGGCAAAGCACAGCCCAGCCTAGCATGCAGGCCTGTGGCTCCCTGGGAATGTGCCTGGTGCAGGAGAGAGCGCCCGTGTATGCTGGGTGCAGCCAGCAGTCTCGGCCCTGGGCCATGGCTTCTCCGAGTTCTCTGCACCTCTGCGTGTGCACACTCCCAGTGTCTTCTGGTCCATGCTCCTCCCACTTCCTGTAGCTCCAGTGACCTGCACTTGGGGGGACCAGGGTCCCTCTGGTGGGCCTCTGTGGAATGCTCAGCCCCTCCTCATTCCATAGGCTGCACACGGTGGCTGCCGAGGTAGTGGCGTGTGTTCTAAGTGTCACAGGCCATGTGGATGAGCAGCCATGGGGGCAGTACCACCCAGAGGCACGGCCAGCTCAGCTTTGGTCTTCAGGGCAGGAGGATTTGGTTTGCCTGGGCTGTAACTGCCACGGCCCTTCTTCCCCAAGCTGTTCTGGCACCTGGAGCTATGTGCACACGTGAGGACAGGGTGTGTGTGCCTGAATGGCTGCTGGGGACGCATGGAGGGCCAACCCTGCCCAAGAGAACACTGTACCCATGCCTGCTGCTCACAAGGTGTGCAGTATCCACTCATCCTGGCGTGCGGGGGCCCCTGCAACACAGTGGAAGACCAAGGGGTGTTCCCCGGGACGCAGCAGCCTCTGCCCCACACAGTCCAGCCACGAGCAGCCAAGCCCTGCATGCTGGGCCCTGTGAGGGGGACGCTGCTCAGTGTGGCCACTTCCTCTAGCGGGAGACACTGCTGCGCCAGCTCGAGACCAACCAGCTGGACATCGATGCCACACTGGAGGAGCTGTCGGTGCAGCAGGAGACAGAGGACCAGAACTACAGCATGTGCGTGAGCCCCAAGCCTGTGGAGGGCGAGCATGGTCAGGTTTGGCGCAATGAGCCAGGCTCAGCGGCCACTGCGGGACTGGCGCCCGCTATGGGACTGGCGCCCCCTGCTGGCATGTGTAGACCTTCACAGGTTGCTAGTGAAGTTTTCATTAGATCAGTGGTTGAACAGTGGAAGTGGAGCTGCTCCTGGCTGGGCTATCGACCCGATCTGGACACCCCAGCACCCAAGGGTCCTCACTCAGCTCTCCTTCTTCCCTTGCCAGCTTCCTGGAAATGATGGAGGCCCGGAGCCGCGGCCACACGTCCCCGCTGGCTGCCAATGGCCAGAGCCCATCCTCAGGCTCCCAGTCGCCAATTGTGCCTCCAAGCACTGTCTCCACAGGGAGCTCCAGCCCCAGCACGCCCCAACCCACCCCCCAGCTGCCCCTCAGTACCCCCTCGGTCTGCCCCCCTGCTCCTTCTGCCTCCCCTGTACCCTTGGTAGAGGCTCCGCCCCAGCCTGTGCAGCCCTCAGCCCCACCTCAGCGACGCAGCATCATCTCCCGGCTGTTTGGGACCTCCCCTGTGGTGGACACGCCCTCCCCACCTTCAGGTAGGACCCCCTCCTGCAGTGGACACGCCCTCCCCACCTCCAGGTAGGCCCTGGAACAGCTCTCCTGCAGGCAGATCCAGGGCACCCTGTGCCTCAGAGCTGTGGGCACCATGCCCCTAGTGCAGACCCCTTGGGGCACAGCACAGGAGCCACATGAAGGGCACTTGCTGTCCACAGAGCCAGCCCCAGCGGCAGAGGCACCAACAAGGGTCCAGAACGTGGAGGACTTTGTTCCTGAAGATGGCCTTGACCACAGCTTCCTGGAGGACACTGCTCAGTCTAAGAATGAAAAGGTTGGAGCCAGGGCCACGCAGCAGGACAGTGACAGGTGAGCTCTGGCTGGTGGGCCTGTACTGGAGGGCAGGCAGCCTCATCCCCCACGGCCCTCCTGGGGCTGAGCTCTGAACAGGGCCATGACTGGGCACCCAGGCAGCTGAGGCACCCAGCCCAGCCCTGGACAGGGTTTAGGGTTTGGCCAGAGCCAGCTGACAGGGCATCGAGGCCAGTGCCCTCACAGGACAGCAAGCGCTCAGGCACCTCCTGGACCTGGCCATCCTGGACTCATGAAGAGGCTGCCTGGGTCCTACCAGGTCAGGGACAAAGCACCAGGTCCCCACCTGTGCTGGACAGGCACCACAGAGCTGGGCACAGAGCTGTGACTCTCTAGGTCTGCACGCCAGCCCGGCCTGGGTGCCACTCCTGCTCTGTGACTCCCATCTCGGGTGGCTGTGGGCACCCACTTTGTCACCACATCTGTGCAAAGAGGTCCTCTTGTTTCTGAGGTGTCAGTGATGCCACCAGGAGCCCCGAGCAGTGTCCTCTCCATTGCGCCCACTCTGGGTAACAGAGGGCACCATGTCTGTGCCATGTCATTCTTCATGCCAGCTCTGGCCTCCCTACCAGGCAGGCACTGGGGGCGGGGGATGTGCAACCCTCCCACTCTGACTCCATGCTCCTCTCTGCAGCGATGGGGAGGCCCTGGCTGGGAACCCAATGGTGGCAGGTTTCCAGGATGATGTGGACCCGGAGGACCAGCCTTGCAGCAGGCCCCCACTGCCCTCAGGCCCCGTCCCCAGTAAAGATGTCAGTCTCTCAAGTGAGGAGGAGGTGACCAGTCACCCCAGCACCCCCAGCACAGCTGCCCTGGCTTCCCAACAGTGCTCAGAGCTGGAGACAAAATGGTACGGGCAGGGCCCCCAGGCGCAGAGGGAAGGGCAGGCTGGACAGCCCAGGAGCCAGTCTGTCCTTGTCACCAAGGTCTTCCACCAAGGCCATGCGGCTGCAGAAAAAGACGGCACCCACACGAGCTGTGGCACACCCCCAGCCAAGCTCGGGGTCTGGGCAGCCTACCAGCACCCAGCGCCCGATGGAGGATGCCTCGAGAAGACCTGCAGAGGGGAAGGAGGCGCTGGCCTCGTCATCGGAGAGTGACCCCGAGGGGCCCATTGCTGCACAGATGCTGTCTTTCGTCATGGATGACCCAGACTTTGAGAGCGAGGAGTCTGACAAGCAGCACCGAGTGGTGAGGACAGGTCCCCTGCTGGGCTTCCACCATTCTGTCCCCTGGCAGGGCCTGGGCGGGGCCTGGGAGAAGCCCACCACCATGTAGGCTGGCTAGCTGGCTTGGGTGCCCGGGCAGCTGGGAAGGAACAAGGTCCTACCAGCTCTTCTTGCTCTAGGACGAGTTCCCCACAAGAGAGGACCCCTCTGATATGAGTGAGGAGGACACCAGGCTTGCCCAGCTCTCCCTGCCTGTAGCAGCCCCGCCCTCCGTCACCTCCTTCAGACCAAAGAATGACTCTGATCTCTTCGGGCTGGGGCTAGAAGAGACAGCCCCGAAGGACAGCAGTGATGAAGGTGGGCTGTTCCCAGGGGCTGGCTGCTGGCCCTGGGGTCTCCAGCATAGAGACTACACTGCACCTCCTGGCTTTGCCAAGTGTAGGCCCAGGCCTATCATCTGCAGCATGGCCATACGGCTGTCCAGGGCTAGAGCCAGCAGGCTGGTGGCCCCTGGAGAAGTCTTGCCACCCACTTTGGGGTCCCAGTGACCTTGAAAATTTGGGTTGCTGATCTCCACGGGCTTGTGCCAATGGCTCTGCCAACACCTAGGCCTTCAGGTGCCATAGGGATTTGGGCTGGGAGCAGAGTGGCAGCCAGGACCACAGAGGAGCTGGTGGCTGACTCCCTGGGCTCTCGTGGGGTTCCATCCACACATGGACAAAGTGGCTGCCACTTGGCAGAAGGCAGATGTGCCAGCTGGGCTGGCCAGCAGGCCCTTAGCCCCATGGGGAGCGGAAGCGGTTTTCTACCGGGCTGTTGAGAGTGCATGGCATGAGAGCGATGGGGACCCAGGCTGGGAAGGGCTCTGTGCCCAGCACGCCAAGCCATAAGCGACAGCTTGGGGAGCTGAGAGCTGTCTGTCCTATGCAGAGAAGGACGGCAAGGTTGCCTCCAGGGAGAAGAAGAAGAAGAAGAAGAAAGGGAAAGAGGTACTGGCGGTGCAGGGGTCAGGGAGGGGGGATGCCCAGCCCCAGGCAGCCCCCTTGACCCTGAGGTCCCGTCCCAGGAAGAAGAAAAGGCGGCGAAGAAGAAGAGCAAACACAAGAAGAGCAAGGGCAAGCAGGAGGGCGAAGAGGGGCGACGAAGGAAACGGAGGCCATCCCGCAGCCAGGAGCAGAAGGCTGCAGATGAGCTGGAGGCCTTCCTGGGGGGCGGGCCCCCCGCCAGCCGCCACCCAGGGGGTGGGGACTATGAGGAGCTCTAGGCCTGCCCTGTTGACCTCCCTGGGGAACTGAGGAGGCCACCACCAGCACCTGGCCCCAGGACCACTCCCCCCCACCACCACCTGCATCCATGGCTGGCCCTGCCTCCAGTTCCTGCCGGAGGAGGCGCTGGGCCTCAGGCCCATGTGGGCCTGCCATTCGGGGAAGAAGGGGACAACAGGGCTGCTGCTGACTGGGTGGATGCCTGGCCCTCTCCAGGCAGGGCCAAGACCAGCCCCAGCATTTCTCAGGGATGTCACAGGCCGAGGAAGGACCCTCGAGGGTCGTTTACAGAGGCAGGGCAAGGGGCTGCCCAGCTATTAGAACATCACTCCCCATCCACCCCTGCTTGCCCTCCCAGGCTGTGTGAGGCCCCAGCATGCCACAGGCCCTGCTTCTGCTGCCAGGCGCGGGCCGGAGTGCAGTGGCCCCTGCCCTGCGTGTGCCTGGGCCCCGTGCCAGGTCAGGCTGGCAGGAGCAGAGCAGCAGCCACAGCCTCTCATGGGAGTGGGGCTGGGCAGGAGGCGCTGCCTCTTCACTCCACTCGACCATAAAGCTCTCGGGTTTTACTGCTGCATGTGTCTCTGTCGCGCTCCTCAACTTCCCAGACTACCGCTGGTGGAACCAACATGCCACACTTTCCTGGGGTCCTCTGGGGCACAAGGCCACACAGAGGTACTGGCCTGAGTACTTGCCACTCAGTGCCCACCAGGGCCTTGGACATGCTGGTGCCAGCTACCCAGCTGCACCAGCATGGCTAGTGCCTCATGCACATGCCAGTCCAGTGCTACAGGGCTGCACCAGGACGCCAGGGGCCCAGACTTGTGGGACAGAGCAGGTACATCCCCAAGCAGCCTCTCCATCTCCTGGGCAATTGGCTGCAGCTCACTGTCAGCCCCCACACACCACAGCCCCGTTACCATGAGAACCCTCCCAGGCTACAGTAACACTTTGGGATGGGCTGTTGTGCCTACTCCTGCCCACCTCCCCAGAGTCCTAGGGTTCTTGTAGGGGTGCTTTGTGCCCCCAAAGCACCATTGATACCTTAGCCTGACCCTGTAGCCCCTAGCTTGGGGGACCCCTGGTGTAGGGATGGCACAGAACATTCATGGTGGATTTCGCTGGGGCCTGCATCCAATAGGACACAGAGTGGGAGCCACCAATCTGCCCTTCAGAGTCAAGAGAATCTGGGCCACTCCCCAGCTGGCCGGGGTGCACAGGCTGGGTGAGGTTATCACCCCACCCTGTGGCGAGGACACAGGTCAGCACAGGCCTGCCCAGTGGGATGTGCACAGTGGTGGCTGCTTGACCTGGACAGCAGGCCCTGCTGTGTCTGAGCCAGCCATCTGGTCTCTTGTACCTACGGAGTCCTTGGCATCTCCACTCTAAAGTGGATAATGTCCAGCCAGAGGGCAGCAGGGCCAAAGTTGCCCATCTGCTCCTACCTGACCTGACTGGAGGCAGGCTTTCTGGGAGTTCTGACCAGACTCTGCAGCCTGATGGGGTTTGGGGTTCCTCCAGCACCCTACCAGAGGCCCTGCCAAGCCACCAACTACCAGGACAGGTGTCCTAGAGATGAGGCTGGCATGATGGCTGGCTTCTCTGGGACACAGGCTCCCTGTTAAGATCTTGAGACTCATTTTGGGGAGGCTTGAGGGATCTGTCACGCTGTGCTCAGTACAGCCCCACACTGCAGACACACCGAGCTTCCATTCTTGGTCCCCCTGTCCAGCTCCCCTTGAGGCCCCCACCAGGTGCGGCCCCTTTAAGTGCCACCCCATTGGCCGCCAGTGGAGGCAGCACTGAGCGGCCAGGCCAGCACCGGCACTGCTGCCTCGAAGCTTCTCCCGTGCAGGGGACGCACGGTGCCCGGGACCCGGCAGAGTCGACTTGGGTTTGTGCAGCCCATCTGGGTTTGGCAGGTGGAGGAACATCCAGGTAAGAGGCGGAGGTGATCGACTTGGCGTCCTGTCGTCATGGGTAGGGGCCGCCCGAAAGGATGGGGAGTCCCCGCCCCAAGCAGTACAGGCCGGGTCCCCACGATGGCGGCTCCCGACAGGCTGGGCCAGGCTGCGCGGAGAGGAGGGCTGCGCGGTCGTCCGTGTGAGCTCCGGAAGACCTGGGGTCCCAGGACCGCTCCACCCCACCCCCACCGCCACCCCCATAGGGAGGGGCGTTGAGCGCAGCTCCTGACAGCCGCAGTGGCAGAGCCGGCTGTCACCTCCCTGGGGCGGAGCCTCGTGCCCTGTCATCAGCCCAAATTCCAGCCCGGCCTAGCGCTGAGGATGAAAACAGGTCCAGACGGGGTGCACGAGAGACTAAGACGGGGTACAGACTGGAACTTAGTGGCCATGACCCCAAAGCGCAGCCGTGCCTCCAGGAAGCCCCGACACACCTGGGACACCGAGGGCTGACCCCAAGAGGCGTCAGACTACCGTCCTGCCAGGTGAGGGCACGGCCAGGCTGTTTGCCCAGAGCCGAAGCCGGCATCCCACAGTGGGTGCTTAGGTGGGAGGGACACCACCACCTCCTGAGCCCCTTCCCAGCCAGCCCCAGACCCTGGCGCCTTCAGGGGCGCTGGTGGCCCACATCTGAAAGCAGCCTGGACCCAGCCCAGCCTGCAGCCGGGGGCTGAAGAACCTCAGGTTTCCATGGAGCTTCCGGAGCTGGCATGGGGAGGGATCTCCTGGGAGCATTTCCTGCCTCCCAACGCCCCCCCTACCGGGCTGGCAGCCTCCTGGCCTGATGTGCTAGCTCCATAGCTCTCCTGCTGACAGAAAGGGAAGGGGGCAGCATGAGCGCATGGCTCACACGCCCCGCGTGGCCCTGCAGCCCGAGCTCTGGCGGGAGTGTGGGTGAATGCACCTTGCACAGTTGGTGGGGGTTGCTCTGCAGTCTTCCAGATGAGGTAGGTGGATTTCAGGCCCCCACCCAAAGGACGCCAGGGTCAGGGAAGGTTTTCACATAAGGAGTCTGAAGACCCAAGAATGCTCTTTGGAGACATTTTCCTGGCGTGGGTCGCACTGGGAGTTGGGACCCAGGGCACTGCCAGTGTCCCAAATGCAAGGGCTTCTGTGGCACTGCAGGAGGGGCCTGCCGTGCTGATCAGCAGGCAGGTGGGTCCCAGGGCGCCCCTCAGGCTGCACTGCCATCGCAGCCACTCTACCAGGGTCCTGGGAAGGGCCGAAGTCACAGGCATCCGGTGGAACCGATCCCACCAAAGCATCTTCGGAAGGCTGGAAAGAGCCCCTCATTCCAGCTGTGGGCACCAGAGGGCAGCATCCTACCTAAAACCACATCCCGGCCTCCCGCCAGCCTGGCCTGCCAGGAAAGGGATCCTCGCGGGAGTGGGCAGCAGGTACACAAGTCAGGGCCCACAGAAGGTTAACCCTTCCGCCTGGCCTGTTAGAGGTCAGGCTTCTCCTACAGGTGCCTCTGACTTTGATGGCATGGACCAGGCGCCGGCAGCCACGGCCGAGGCCTGCAGCCAGGGCCGCCCCAGCTCCATCACCCCAGGTACTCAGGCCCAGGACCTCGGGTGGGGGCGGCAGGGACCCGGAGCAGTGCTGACCCGCATATTCCCCCAGGGCAAGAGCCCCGAAAGGCCGAGTGACTGGAGCCGCCAGCCTGGGGACATCTTTTAAGATGACCCGCACGGACCCGCCGGATTTGCTGGTGTCGACCGTGTACCAGGACATCAAGGTGGCGGCCCCGGGGCCCGCGTCCAGGCGCCAGCCATGTGAGCGCCCCGTGGCCCGGCCTGCTGCGCCCGCGCCCTTCAACAAGCGCCACTGCCGCAGCTTCGACTTCCTGGAGGCGCTGGACGCGCCCGCCATGGAGGCCCGGCCAGAGCCGCCACCCCCGGAGCCCGCGCCGCAGCGCGCCCGGCCGCGCGACGGGGAACCGCGGCGCCGCGCGCGCTCCAAGAGCGCACCGCGTGTGTCCCCGGGCCTGGCGCCCGCCCCTGCCTCGCCGCCAGTCCTGCAGCGCCGTGCCCAGCGCGCGGCGCGGGCCGAGGGGTCGCCGCGCCGGGACCCCGCGTACCCCGCGCTCCGCGCACTCGCCAACGAGCTGCATCCCATCAAGTTGCAGCCACAGCGGGGCGGCCCCGGCCGAATTGCACCGCTGTGCGCCGCCCCCGGCCGCTGCGCACCACCCGAGCCGCCCGCCGGGCCAGCGCCCCACGTCCGCTGCCGTCTGGACATCAAGCCCGACGACGCGGTGCTGCAGCACGCAGCCCGGGGATCGCGGCCTTGCGGGCCCATCGAGCCCGCGCCGTGGCCCCGCACTGCCCCGCAGTTCCACGGCCTCACGGTGCCTGGGCCTCGCCACGCGGCGCTGTCACGCACCCCTACCCCCACCGACTCGTACTGCGCAGACCCCCGCGCGCTGTACTGCGATGGGGTGCTGCCAGGGCCCCGGGACTACGCTGAGCGCCGAGCTCAACTCTTCGCCGCGCCCCCAGGCCCCACCCAGTTCTTCTACACCGAGGAGCCAGAGGGCTTCGGGGGAGGCTTTGCAGGCAGCCCGGCACCCCCCTTCGAGGGCTACTGCCCCCGGCCCTACCCGGCTGAGGAGCCCCCAGGGCCCAGTCCTCCGCACGGGGGCGGCTACTATGCGGGGGAAGTCCGTACCTTCCCGATCCAGGAGCCGCCCTCCCGCTCCTATTACGGGGAAGCCCCCAGAGCCTACGGCCCACACTTTGGGCCTCGCTACGTCCCCGAGGAGCCCCGGGCGCGCCCCGCCGCCCGCCCCTTCTACACTGAGGATTTCGGACGGTACCGCGAGCGCGAAGTCCTGACTCGAACCTACCCGCATCCGCGCAGCAGCCCGGCCTGGGCCGACTGGGGCCCGCGGCCATACCGCACGCTGCAGGTGGCGCCTCCCCCGGCGCCCGGGCCGCTGCTGGCCTCCTGGCACGGCGGCACGGGCACCAGCCCGCCGCGCCTGGCCACCGACAGCCGCCACTACTCGCGTTCCTGGGACAACATCCTGGCACCCGGGCCCCGCCGTGAGGATCCTTTGGGCCGCGGCCGAAGTTACGAAAACCTGCTGGGGCGCGAGGCGCGGGAGCCGCGGGGCACCTCACCCGAGAGCCGCCGCCCTCCGGTCGTGGTGAACCTCTCCACCTCGCCCAGGCGCTACGCAGCGCTGTCGCTGTCGGAGACGTCGCTGTCGGAAAAGGGTCGCGCCGGGGAAAGCCTGGGCCGCAACTGGTATGTGACGCCGGAGATCACCATCACGGACAACGACCTGCGAGCCGCCGCGGAGCGCCCAGCTGCCCGAGGCTGGGAGTTGCCCGGGGGTCGCGTGCGACCGCTTGTCCCCGCCGCGCCCGAGCCCGCCTCTGGTCGCCAGCGCAGCCTCGAGCAGCTGGACGAGCTCATCACCGACTTGGTCATCGACTCTCGGCCCGCGGCGGGCTCGACCCCAGAGCCCGTGCCAGACGGCCTGGGCCGCCCGCTGCGCCGCAGCCTGCAGGACTCGAGGCCCGCGGGCCCTGGGGCCTCTGCGCTGGCGCCGCCACGCTCGCCCCCCGCGTCAGCTGGTAGCGCTGAGGAGCCTGCGGGCCCGGGGGAGGCGGCCGACGCGTCCCCGGAACCCAGCGCCGACGAAGACGACCTGATGACCTGCTCGAACGCGCGCTGCCGGCGCACTGAGACCATGTTCAACGCCTGCCTCTACTTCAAGTCCTGCCACAGCTGCTACACCTACTACTGCTCGCGCCTGTGCCGCCGCGAGGACTGGGACGCGCACAAGGCGCGCTGCGTGTACGGCCGCGTGGGCAGCGTATGCCGCCATGTGCTGCAGTTCTGCCGCGACAGCGGCCCGGTGCACCGCGCTTTCTCGCGCATCGCGCGCGTGGGCTTCCTGTCGCGCGGCCGTGGCGTGCTCTTCCTGGGCTTTCCCAGCCCGGGCTCTGCCGACAACTTCCTGCGCTTCGGCCTCGAGGGGCTGCTGCTGTCGCCCACCTACCTGTCGCTGCGCGAGCTGGCGACTCACGCGGCACCCCTGGGCAGCTACGCGCGGGAGCTGGCGGCGGCCGGGCGCCTCTACGAGCCGGCAGAGTGCTTCCTGCTCAGCGTGTCGGTGGCCGTGGGCCCGGGCGCCGGAGCCTCCCACCCTGTGCCCGCGCCGCGCAGCCCCGGACCCACGGTGCGGAAGTTCGCCAAGGTGGCGCTGGCAGCCAGTAGCCCCGCACGGCCGCCTCCTGCGCGTACTCGCGAACCAGACATGGAGACGCTTATCCTGACGCCGCCGCCGGGCACCGCCGGCCTGGACCAGGAGGGCGAGGCGGGCCGGCGGGCACGCGAAGTCGCATTCATCCACATCCAGCGTGAGCTCCGCCTGCGCGGCGTCTTCCTGCGCCACGAGTTTCCGCGCGTCTATGAGCAGCTCTGCGAGTTCGTGGAGGCTAACCGGCGCTTCACACCCACCACCATCTACCCTACGGACCGGCGCACCGGCCGCCCGTTCATGTGCATGATCATGGCCGCGTCTGAGCCGCGTGCACTCGACTGGGTGGCCAGCGCCAACCTGTTGGATGACATCATGTGAGCCGGCGGGCCCCAGCCCCAGCCCCAGGCCCACTTGAGTCAGACCCCCACTTCTTCCTCAACCCCCTAACCCCCTACCAGCTCGGCCGGTCTCCAGTCCTGCCCCTGGCCATCCCCTCTGCTCATCCCCAGGCCCTCCTCCCCGCAGGCTGTAGGCTTCGCCTCCGGGAGACTCCTGCTCCCACTACCCTCCCACTGCCCTCCCCAGAGGCCGGTCCTCACCCTCGGTGCTCCCCGCTGGGAGGCGGGGTGGGCCTGAGGACCGTAGGGCTCTGCCTTCACTCCGAAGAGTGTGGCTTGGCAAGACCCCAGCCATACAAATTCAATTCCAGTCCACTACATCACGGGACTCCCCCAGCCTCAGGTCCAGGAGCCCGTGCTGACCAAAGTCTAGCGGCACGTTAAGGGCATCCCGGCCCGCCTGCTGTCTGGATTCACCCCACTCTGAGGCCTTCCTTAAGGAAAGTGGAGAGTGCTCTGGGGACCCTGCTTGCACCATGCCAAGAGAGAAACCTAGGAGTGTCCCTCTGCAGCCCTGGACAGCCCCTGCCAGGGCACCTGGTATACTCCAGGCACAGGGAGACCTGGCAGGGGGAGCAGAGCTTGTGGCCTGCAGGTGCCAGCCAGCGTCAAGATCTGTCTGACTGAGGGTTGGAGCACCTACCCTAGGCAAAAGCCACGACAAGTAGGGATGTGTGACCACACAGGCCCGTTTCTCCCAGGATGACTGGAAGCCTGTGCAGGTGAGGGACCTATGCAGGGTTAAGCACAGAGGTCCTTCAGGAAGTAGCATTCATAAGCCCGCAGCCCAGGGCACCCGAGGAGCGCGTGACCTGCCCCAGAGTCATATCCTTGACTGCACCCTGACCCTGTGCCCTCGCCCTGGCTACGCCCCAAGCTGCTAGGTGAGGCTTGAGCTTGATGTGTTGTGAGCTCCCGCTGAGGGAGGGTGTCCACTCCAGAGGATCCATAGGGGCCTTGCGACAGGGAGGGAAGCGAGGCCAGGCGCTGCAAAAGGGCTCTCCCGGAGTCCCAATCCCTTTGGGCCCCGGGGAGGGGTCATCGAGTGGAGAAGCTGTGGTCCCGCTCAGTCCTGCTCCGTCTGCGCCTGCCCGCGACTTTGCACGCAGCGCGGCACTCTCCGCGCGCCCCCAGCCCCGAGCTTCAGCTCTAGGCCGCACCTGAGGTCCGGCAGGATCGCCCGGGACCCAGGTCACTGCCTGGGCGCGAGCGCTTTCCAACCAAGTAAAATAGAACTTGAATGTACCCGTGTTTGTCTCTTTGTTAGGGGTGCGGGGATCGAGGCCTTCGGAAGTGGGATGGGGATCGGAAACGGAAAAATCGGACGGGGGTCAAGAAAGAATGCCCTCGGTGAGGTGCACGAGGTCGCAGAGGCAGAGGCCTTGGGGCTCTTCGAGGGTCGAGGACAGAGGTCCTGGGACGAGGAGGTGTCAGTGGTGGGGGCCTCGGGCTGGCTGGGGAGGCAACCGGCACGGGTCCTCCGGACCTCCTCCCCTGTCTGGAACGCTTGAATGCCCCATTCCACCCGTGCCACTCTGCACCCCAAGAAAAAGAACTTTTTCGTCGGCCGCATTTAATAAACCTTCCTCCCCAGTCCACCGTCCCTTTAAGTAAGACGGCAGGGACCCAAAGCTTCAAGGACTTAGATTGTGATTGGCCAGGCGGCGTCTCAGGCAGTTAGCGCGATTGGCGGAAGCTCCGGGCCTCAGCAGCATCAGATCGCGGGATTGGCCGCGGCTGCCGCAGCCCGTCTCGGTCTGACTGTAGCAGGCCGGGTGCTGAAAGGGGTCGTGCGACCCACGGGCCGGGCGCTCCGAGGAACATGGCGGCGGCGGACCTCGCTCAGATTCCTGATGTTGACATTGACCCAGAGGGAGTCTTCAAGTACGTGCTGATTCGAGTCCACCCGGCGCCGCCCTCTGGGGCCCCGGCTGGGGAGTGCAAGGAAATCGTGCGCGGCTACAAGTGGGCCGAATACCACGGTGAGGCTGGGCGGGGCCGAGAGCGGCGGGGCGGGCCGGGGCGGGCGGGGGCGGGGCCTGTTGGCCCTTACCTTGTGCGGCCCGGCCAACCTGTCCCAGAGAATGGAGTCCTGAGCGGGAAGTGAGTGTAGGGCCTGCTCCCTCTCTCCCCGTGTCCACAATCGCCCCAGCACCCCCTGTCGCCTTGTCCCTAGCCGCGGGGTTTCCTTTCCACCGCGGAATAGGCTTCAGATCCCTGTGCCCAGAACTCATCCGTGGCCTCCGAGGGCAGCTGGGGCTTGTCCTGAGGCTGCTGTACCCACCGTAGCCGACATCTATGACAAAGTGTCCAGTGAGCTGCAGAAGAAGGGCTATGACTGCGAGTGCCTGGGCGGCGGTCGCATCTCCCACCAAAACCAGGACAGGAAGATCCACGTGTATGGCTACTCCATGGTGAGCCCAGCCCACCAGGCTTTTGAGCCCCCAGCAGCCTGGCCTGCCCTCTGAGGTGTCCGTCTCGGCTGTGTACCCTCCTGCAGCGGTGGTGGCTTCCCATGTGCTCACCTGTGCACTTGCCCGTCCCCAGGGCAGTCAGGGGCAGCTTTGCTTCCTTACCCACACCTGCTCCTGGTAAGGCCCTGGGGACTCACTGTGCTCAGAGCCAGGTGGAAGCAGCACTGTCCTCTCTTCAGGGGTATGGTCGTGCTCAGCACTCCGTCTCAACTGAGAAGATCAAAGCCAAGTACCCTGACTATGAGGTCACCTGGGCAGACGATGGCTACTGAGGCTAGCACCAAGCAGTCAAGACAGAACTCCACCTGCCCAGGGTCACTGTTGAGGAGCTGCCCAGCTCTTTGTTTCTGCACTCCCTGGCAGTGTGCAACCGCTCCAGGCCTGGCCTGTGGGAATTAAAAGCTATAGTATACCTGCTCATCCATGTGTCTTGGCTCCTCTGCCCCGGGTATTCACCTGGAACCCCTAGCCTCTGCCTCTGGAGGCCCTAGAGAGCAGCAGTGCATGCTCAGCCCCTTGGGATCTGATAAGGGGCCCCTGGGCTGTTGCTGATTATGGCCTGATTGCCGCTCTACACACTGCTATCCCAGAGGAGATCTGGGTGGAGGCCTGATAAGGCCTTGCGCAAGTCTGTGCCTGGTGCTCGTGGCCAGCTAAGGCCTGAGATCCCCCCAAGTCCCCCTTTCCTAGAGCTCAGCCCAGCAGTGTGGCAGGAAGGGTTCCAGTGACCACTGTCCTGGGCAGTGACACCAGCTGTCATTGTCAGTCTGTACAAGACCAGCCTGGGGCCACAGGTGACATTACCCACAACCCTTGCATCCAGAATCAGGGCCCAGGGCTGCTCACTGGTGGACACTGAACAAGAGGGTACTCTAAGCTCCTAAGGTCCCCTTTCCCTGGACCTCCTGCAACCCTGGGTGTTGGCCTCCGTCCAGCCCCGCCTCCTTTGCAGGTGGAGATGGTGTGTAGAGACAGTAGGTGTTGAGGGAAAGTTAGGGACACACTGTGCCCCTACCTCACATAAGCCATTGGAGAGGTCCTTGAAGCCACCATCCAGGCAAGTACTGTGAGGACCACTTTGCCAAGGTCACCCAGCAGGTCCCCCTGGGTGAGTCTGGTGGTAGACGTGCTCCTGCCAAGACTGCCTGTACTAGAAAACTAGAAGGTCCCAGGCTTGTGGGACCCTGTGCCTGTCACTGACCAGCTGGCACGTGGCTGCCCAGGAGGACTTTGAAGGCTGAACTAATGAGAGGGAGGGGATCAATGGCCTGGGTTCCAGGAGGTGGGGCCTGTGCCTGGACCTGAAGCAGAGCACCCCAGGGCTCCCGGTAGCAGGCTGCCTTGCTCCATATGTGTTCCGGGCAGGACCAAACCAGGGCGTGAGAGAAGACACCCCACACTGTGCAAAGCCTTGCCCATGGGATCCCAGCCCAACCCTGCTCTAGTGGGACCCTACTAAATTCCTTGCCCATCTCCTTGTCCCAGTGGGAGGAGGGTAGGGACAAGGGTACACAGAGTGCCCAGGGCCTGACCTTTGGTCAGAAGAAGCCAAGCAGGTGGGAGCTGAGCCTGGCAGGGGGCCCCTCTTGGGGACACTTTTACAGCCGGATGCTTGGTCTGCACCCCCCAGTGTGGGGCCCAGCCAAGTGGCTGCAGGCACAAAAGGGTCCAAGCCCTCCCAGGCAGAGGCAAGTCTGTGTGGCCACTGTGGGCGGTCACCTAGACAAAGTCCCCACCAGGGCATACACGCTTCTGCCACTGGACCTCGATCTCCACCCTGGCCATGCTGCTGCCTGCCTACCTCCTACCTGCACTGGTCCTGCTCACAGGTGAGTTGGGTGTTCTCACCCGGGGCACTGGGCTGATGCCCAGCTCCACCAGAGGACAAGGACAGCCTGCAAGGGAGACAGCCAGGAAAGCCCATAGACCAGGGGTGGCCTAACTAACATGCCTTCCCTCCCCTAGGTGAGAGGGTCCTTAGTTGGGTACCCACCCAGCTCCCTGATCCTTCCCTTGTCCCCTCGGATGTGAGGCCGAGGTCACCATTGATAAGTCACCTGGAAGCCACAGGCTGTAGTCCCCCTTCTCCAGCGAGTGTCCCACACCCAGTACCATTTCCACCAGTGCCCACGAGCACTGTGCCCACCCTCAAACACAGCCTCCAAGGGACTGGAAAACAGCTTGGAGTCCCCATGGAGATTGTTTGTGGGTCCAAGACCTCCATTTTACTGCTGAGCCCCAAAGTTGGTGACAAATGTCTTGAAGAAGGGTTTCCCTGGCCATGGAAGTTTCAGAAAAACACTGGGACAGCCAGCTGCCCTACCCAAGCCCACTTCGCTGTCTCTGCCAGCAGCACAGTCCCTGGGCAGAGCCTGGAACCCTGGTCCCTGCCAGAGCCCCATCGAGGCACAGTGTAACTTCCTGTGTGACTGCAGTGACTGCTCTGATGAGAGCCAGTGTGGTGAGCTGGGCTGCAGGGCGGGCAGGAGGGTCAGTGGGGCTGCCAGCACCTGAGCCGCCACTCTCCCAGGTTACAACGGGGCCCCGCCCGGCCCAGGAGCCCCCTTCACTTGTGACTTTGAGCAGGACCCCTGTGGCTGGCAGGACATCAGCACCTCGGGCTACAGCTGGGTGCGGAACCGTGCTGGAGCGCAGGCTGAGGGTCCTGTGGCTCACACCGACCACACACGAGGCACTGACCTAGGTGAGGGTCTGAGTTTGTGCACCCCCAGCTGCTCCCCATGCTTCTGCAGCCTCTGTGCTACCTCCTGACCATTCCCCATTCCCCGCAGGCTGGTACATAGGTGTGGGAACTCACCGCGGGACAGAGTCCTCCAGTGCGGTCCTGCGCTCCCCTGTGCTGAGGAACGCAGGCCCTGCCTGTGAGCTGAGGCTCTGGTACCACACGGCCTCTGGAGGTGCGAGTCACGGATCTGACACTCAGGGCCAAGGGCAGCTGAGGGCCAGGAAGGAGCCCTGGAGGAGAGTTGGGGCACTGTAGGGCTGAAACCAACCCAGAACCCCTCTTGCCACAGATGTAGCAGAGCTGCAGTTGGAGCTGACCCACAGTGCAGAGACGCTGACCCTGTGGCAGAGCTTGGGACCATGGGGCCGTGGCTGGCAGGAGCTGGCAGTGACCACTGGCCGCATCCAGGGGGACTTCCAAGTGAGCAGAACATCTGGGGGCAGGGGTGAGGGGAGTGTCTGAGCCCTGACTGAAGTCTAAGGATGCCCACTCTCCTCAGGTGACCTTCTCTGTCACACGCAATGCCACACACAGAAGTGCCGTGGCCTTGGATGACGTGGAGTTCTGGGACTGTGGGCTTCCTAGTAAGGCACCCAGTTGTGGCCCAGCCCTAGCAGGTGGCTCCAGGGGCCTCACTGCCTGCTCCTCAGCACTGCATCCTTGGTCCCACACCTGGTTACCTCCCCTAGCCTCGCAGGCCATCTGCCCCCAGGGCTACCACCACTGCAAGAACGCAGCCTGCATAGAGCCCCACCAGCTGTGTGATGGGGAGGACAACTGTGGGGATGGCTCTGACGAGGACCCGCTTACCTGCAGTAAGGCCTGGCTACTGAATGGGCGGGGACGCAGAGAGGGACAGGGAGGCTGGGACCTGACCTCCTGGGTGCTTCACAGAATGCTGGGGAAGCCAGGGGGAGTGGCACATGCCTATACAGTCCCCACTTTAGGAGGACGAAGGAGGAGGATCACCCAGCCTGGGCAACTTAAGCAACCATGGGAAAGCCCTGGGTTCAATCCACAGAGCTACGACAAACAACTGGAAAACAAAAAGCTTGTCTGGGAGCACGCACCTTGGCATGGTCCTTCTGCAGCGAGGGTAGCAGAGGCTAGAGAGCTGCAGGTGGCCCTGACAGCCCTGCCCCCACCCTAGGCCACCACACAGGCACAGACTTCGAGACAGGCCTGGGCCCGTGGAGCCACTCAGAGGGCCCAGCCTGGAACCTCAGCACCGGCCTCCCCAAGGGCTCTGCCTGGCCACATAGAGACCACAGCCGGAACAGTGCAAAAGGTGAGGCCCACAGGGACCCAGCCACTGTCCTGGTCACCCAGCCACAACCAAGGACAGAGCCCATGCTGTCTCCTCCAGGGTCCTTCCTGGTCACCACAGCCAAGCCGGGCAACCCTGCCATCCTCCTCAGCCCGCAGCTGCAAGCCTCAAACTCCCACAACTGCTCGGTGAGACACATGAGGGCACTGGGTTCTTGGGCTGCCCACCCGGCACCTGGGGTGCCCTGACCAGCAAAGTCACTTCCAGCTCATCTTCTACCACTACCTGCATGGATCCGAGGCTGCCCGCCTTGAGCTGTTCCTGCAGACAGAGGGTCCCAGGGCCCCTGTCCTGCTGCGGCAACGATATGGCGAGCTGGGAGCAGCCTGGGTCCGAGACCGGGTGGACATCCAGAGTGCCCATCCCTTCCGGGTGAGGCTGGCCAGGCAGTGGTGGGGGACACAGGCAGGGCAGGGGAGGGAGCTGGGGGTGCCTTACACAGACCTGAGTCGGGTGGGCTACATGGGCTGGGGAGCATACCCAGGGAGCTCAGAAGGGGACCAGGCACCTCTAAGCACTCCACACACACTCTCAGATCCTCCTGACTGGTGAGGTGGGTCCTGGAGGCGTTGTGGGGCTGGATGACCTCATCTTGTCTGACCACTGCATGATGGACCCAGGTGACCTACTCAGCCTGGCTCCACCTGCCCACCTGCTGGGAGAGGCACAGCCCCATGACCAGCCTGACCCCACTTCTGCTCACCCTAGGGACGCTGCTGCCACCTGTGCCTTGGCTTAAAGCCCCCCACGCCCAGCAGTCCAGCCTGCAGGGTTCCTGCAAGCCTGGGCAGCTGGCCTGTGGGGAGCTATGTGTGCCCCTGGAGCAGCTGTGTGACTTCCAGCCCCAGTGCGCACTGGGCGAGGATGAGCTCAAGTGTGGTAGGCTGGCTATGGCCTGTGCCCATGCATGGTAGGAATCTGAGGAGGCAGGGTCTGGTGGCCCAGCCCCTCCAGCCCCACTCTGTTCCAGGCACCACAGACTTCGAGTCCACCACGGTTGGGGGCTGGGAGGACGCCAGCATTGGGCGACTGCAGTGGAGGCAGTGGGCAGCCCCAGAGAGCAGTTGGCCAGGCAGGCCGGCTGCAGGTGAGCCTGCAGGGGGTCCCAGGCCCTGAGCCCAGTGGGCTCCCTATAAGGAATAGCTCTAAGCCTACTCTATTCTTGCCCAGGGCACTTCCTGTCCCTGCAGAGAGCCTGGGGGCAGCTGAGGCCTGAGGCCCGGGCCCGCACCCCAGTCCTGGGCCCCTCTGGCCTGCACTGTGAACTCCACATGGCCTACTACTTCCATAGTCACCCCCGAGGTATTGTCCCATCCCCCAGCCCACGGCACCTGGGAAGGGGGGTCCACGAAGACCCACCCTCCCCTACCCTCTCCCTGCTCCCAGGCTTCCTGGCTCTGGCTGTGGTGGAGAGCGACTCCCGGGAGCTGGTATGGCAGGCTCCCACGGGCAGCTCTGGGGAGTGGACAGTGGACAAGGTCCTCCTTGGGGCCCACCGAAGGCCCTTCCGGGTGAGGAAGTCATCCTGGGTAGGGAGGGCCCCTAGAGAGCTGGCCCTGACTTACAGCCCCCTCCCTCCCCCCTGAAGCTGGAGTTGGTTGCGCTGGTGGACTTGGAAGACCCTGGCCAGCCAGGAGCTGGGGTGGACAACGTGACCATGAGGGACTGCAGCCCCATAGTGACTACTGAGAAGGACAGAGGTCCCTCCCAGCCCAGCCCACCTCCAGGGGGCCCTACTTCCTCAGGCTTGGGAAGCTGCAGGTGGGGACTGTACTGACACTGCTGTCCATCCCCAGAGGTCACCTGTAACTTTGAAAGAGATATGTGTGGCTGGCACCAGAGCCACCTCACAGACGTCCACTGGCGCCGGGTGGAGAGCCACAACTCTGGGTACGATCACACCACTGGCCAAGGTAGGAGAGGCCTCAAAACCAGGGACCATGGCACCCTGGAACATGGGAGGCTTCAAACTGATGGCCCTATTAGCACTGGGACCTCAGGCCTTCGAGTCTCTGACTAGGGAGTTTTAGGCCTTGAAAACCACCCTGCAGCTCACCTGGTGCCCCACGCAGGTTTTTTCATGCTTCTGGACCCCACAGAGCCTCTTACCCATGGCCACCATGCCTACCTGCTCACAGGGCCCCAGGTGCCAACAGCCCCTGAGCAGTGTCTCAGCTTCTGGTTCTATCTGCATGGACCCCAGATTGGTAAGCAAGTACTTGGGCTGGCTGGGCATCAGAGGAGGCCCACCAGGCCCAGAGGAACCCAGATTTGGAAGCTGTGGTACGTCCAAACCCCACCTTCCTCCAGGGACACTGCAGCTGGCCCTGCGGAGGGATGGGCAAGACATTAAGCTCTGGTCTGAGTCAGGCACTCATGGCAACCGTTGGCACCAGGCCTGGGCTACCCTGCACCACCAGATGGAGCCTGGCTCCAAGTACCAGGTGAGCCTGGCATGGGGTGGGGAGCCAGGCCTAGCCAGCTGACACCCTGCCTGCAGCTGCTATTTCAGGGCCTCCGGGACGGGTATGAAGGCATCATGGCACTGGATGACGTGACCATACGCCCTGGCACCTGCCCGCCCCCCTGGCGCTGCTCCTTTGAGGATTCTGCCTGTAGCTTCTCCTCAGGCGGGCAGGGCCTGTGGAGACGCCAAGCCAATGCCTTGGGCCACTCTGCCCAGGGCCCCTGGACAGACCACACCACAGAGACAGCCCAAGGTATGGTGCCTGCTCCAGGGGCAGGCACGGGGGACACAGGGAAGTTGGCTGATAGTGCCCCCTCCCCAGGGCACTACATGGTGGTAGACACAAGCCCAGATGTGCTGCCCCAGGGCCACATGGCCTCCCTGACCTCTGAGGAACACTGGCCCCTCCTCCACCCCGCCTGCCTGACCTTCTGGTACCACCTGAGCGCACGCAGTCCAGGTAAGGGGCCACAGGGGGGTGCCCTACTGTGGATGTAGGGGTACCAGGGGCCCATGCCAGCCAGGCAGCCAGCTGGCCACCTCCTCTTGGTGCCGCAGGCACTCTGCAGGTCCGAGTGGAAGAGGCCAAGTGGCGCCAGACACTCAGCATCAGCGAGCCTGGTGGGCCTGCCTGGCGCCTGGGCAGCATGGATGTGCGGGCCAAGCAGGCATGGAGGGTGAGTGTCTGCACAGGATGGGGATGAGGGGCCGTCAAGGGTCACCCACACCTGGTGAAGCACTTGCCTCGCCCCTAGGTGGTGTTCGAGGCAGTGGCCACTGGCATGCAGCACTCCTACATTGCACTGGACGATGTTCTCCTCCAGGATGGGCCCTGCCCTCAGCCAGGTAGCACCCTGCTGTGGCCCATGGGTACCTAGCCCAACTCCTTGGTCTGAGCTCTATCTTCGAGTGGGAGGTGCCTGGGGCTGGCGGCCAGGGAATGCCACTCACCCTGTCTCTTTCCCAGGGTCCTGTGACTTTGAATCGGGTCTGTGTGGCTGGAGCCACCTGCCATGGCCAGGCCTGGGTGGGTACAGCTGGGACTGGAGCAGTGGTGCTGCCCCGTCCCGGTACCCCCGGCCCCCCGTGGACCATACCCTGGGCACCGAGGCAGGTGTGCACAACCAACAGCTGGAGCTGGGCAGACTCAGAAGTCACAAAGCTACTTGACCTGGCTGGCACCATGCACCACCACCCCCTCTGACCAACCTCCACCCATGCTGCTCCCTGTGGCTTCTGGGATGCAGCTGCCACTTGTCTTCTTGTTCCCAGGGCACTTTATCTTCTTTGAGACTGGTGTGCTGGGCCCTGGGGGCCGCGCAGCCTGGCTGCGCAGTGAGCCCCTGCCGGCCACCAAGGTGTCCTGCCTGCGCTTCTGGTACTACATGGGCTTTCCTGAGCATTTCTGTGAGCACTGGCCCGGGGGCCTGGGTGGGAAATGGCCGTAGGTGCCGAGGCCGAGGCTAAGCCACCCTGTCCCTCTCCAGACAAGGGCGAGCTACATGTGCTCCTGGTCAGCATTCGGGGCCAGCTGGCTGTGTGGGCCAAGGGTGGCCGGCTGAGGCACCAGTGGCTGGAGGCCCAGGTGGAGGTGGCCAGCACTGAGGAGTTCCAGGTGAGGCCTCGGGGCCTGGTGGGCCACGCTCCCCGCCCCTGATGACAGCCTCTCCCTCCCTCACCAGGTGGTGTTTGAAGCCACCCTGGGCAGCCAGCCAGCACAGGGGCCCATTGCCCTGGATGACATTGAGTACCTGTCTGGGCAGCGCTGCCAGCGGCCCACACTGAGCCCAGGTAAGCACCGACCCTCACCCTGCACTGTGAAGCTGAGGCCACTCTCTGTGCCTGCCTCTCCCTAACCTGGCCTTCTGGGGGACCCCTATACACTGCCCCAGGGATGCCAGCCCCTGTGATCCTCAAGTAGCATGGGACTTACAAGCTGCCATGCTGTGAGGAAGGGAGATGCAGAGGGTTGGGTCCCTTCCCAGAGATGCTACACCCAGCAAGGGCACGGGGCTAGGCAACCCTGGCTTCCTCATGCCCTGAGCTCCCGTCCTGGTTCCTGGTCCTTGTGCCCTTTTGACTACAGAGGACACAGCAGTGCCCGTGTCAGTGGAAGCCACAGTCAGTGGGGCCCTCATCTTCCTCATGCTCCTGGTGCTGCTGGGACTAGCAGGATGGCACTGGCTGCAGAAAGGAGGGGGCTGGCCCTCCTGGAGGAGCAGGGACTCTGCACCCTCCAGCTTTGACAACATACTCTTCAATGCGGTAGGAGCCCTGGGCCAACATGGGCTGGCACCACAGGGCCCGCCCTTCTGTCATCCCCATGAAGCCCCTCCCTTCCTCCAGGATCAAGTCACCCTGCCTGCAGCTGTCACCAGGGACCCATAGATCACCAGACCAGCCCCAGGCCCCTCATGCAACACCTCACAACCACACATCCCCTGCACCGTGTGCCCCCCTTCCCACCCCCGCCTGCCACCCGACAACCCCCATCCTCAGCATCCTCCAACCCACATCCTCCGCCTAACAGTGCGGGTCCCAACCTCATAAATAAATACCCCAACCCTCCCTGGCAGCCCGACGCTCAGGCTGAATCAGTGTGTCCACTTCTGGCCTCAGGTCCAGAGGGAAATATGTGGGCCTCTGTGTGTCTCAGTACAGCTCAGGAATGAGGGGAGACCCAAGGACCTCAGGTGACGATGCAGGCAGACCGAGCAAGGCAGCACAGGGGTATCTGGCAGACAGGGGAGCCACCTTCCCCACAGGCAGGACTGGGCCCAAGCCTGTGCGGGCACAAGTTGCACATGAGCGCACAGTCCCTGAGGGGCAACAAACTGCAGCTGGCAGACAGCGGTGTGCTGCCCAGGGTGAAGGTCCCAGCGTGTCCCTCAATGCCCCTGAGCAGATGACAGGGAGCCTGTGGGAAACGCTGCCCCTGTGTATGTGTGGACAGGACTAGGATCTTAAGGAAACAAGATTGCCCATCACCCCAGGTGCGGGTCCTGCAGTGCTGGCACACATGGCACCTGAGGGCTATCTCGGGGTGGGGCCACCCCACCTGAGGAGCCACCCTGGGCTCCAGCCTGTGCCATCAGCCCTGTGGAGGGTAGCAGGGATCACAGCCCCACACTGTGTCTGCAGGTGCCTCAAGGCTGGCTGATGCTGTAGTGTGGGTGACAGGGATATCCCTGAAGGCAGGTACCTACTGCCCTCCAAGGTGGCTCAGGGGCCACAGTAGGCACAAGAAGGGTGCGTTCCCCTACCCAGCCCTCACTGAAAGCCATCCCCTCCTGAGAGGTGGCCTTGCAACAGCCAGGCCTCACACCACTAGTGCTAGCAGCAGGTGGCACACACAGGTGTCCCAACCAGAGGGGCGGCAGGGCTGCAGGAAAGAGCCGGGACCCAGGCTTCACAAGGTTTCTCTTTGTTTGACAGCAGGTGGGTCGGCCACGGGCCTGACCTGTTCCGCAGGGCCATGCGTGGCCATGTCAGTGCTGGTGTCAGGGACCCAGCCAAGACGGCTCAGCCGGAACGCACTGTTTCGAGGCTTTGTGCTCATTTCGCCCGAGGGCCCTTCTCGATGGGCTTGCCGATGTCCTTGCCCCTGAGCTTGAGGCCTGAAAGAGGGTGGAGACCACTGACCACCCTGCAGACTGCCCACTGGCCCGAGAGCGCTCTCAGCCCTGGCCCGCTCCACCCCTCCCCCACACCCTCTGGCTCATTGGAAGGATGCTGCGGCCGGAGGAGCCCAGACTGAAGGGCCAGCACCAGGAGAGCTGAGCAAGCACTCTGGTCAGGGAAGGAACTTCAGGGGGCACTGTAGGAGTACACTGAGCCACATAGCCCTCGGTCTGAGTTCCTGAGAGCCCCAGAGTGCCTGAGAAGCCCAGTGTGGACAGAGTCCCAGCAGCCGCCTCTAGGGAGCAGGGACCACCTGGGACACTCACCGATGGCTCTCTCGATTTTGCCCAGAACCTGGTTATTTGGAATGGCCCGTCCGCTCTCATAGTCTGCAATGACTTGTGGCTTTTCGTTGATTTTCTGAAGAGAAGGTGTGTGTTAAACGTGCTGGGCTGGGGTCCCACCCAAAACAGCCATGTCTCAGGCCACAGCTGCTCTGACCTGGCTGCCTACAGGTCTCCGGCTACCAGGGCAAGGACAAGCTAAACACTCCCCTGCCATAGGTGGGTGCCCCCTGACCCCCTGCTACTGGCTTTCCAGGCCCAACCTCACCGTAGCCAAGTCCTTCTGCGTCAGCCCCTTGCTCTGCCGGCCCCGCTGGATCACTTTGCCCACTTCCAGGGTCACCCGATCATGGTGCAGCTCCTCTGTCTCCCGGTCCAGCTTGGCCGTGTTCTTGGTGATCGAGTGCTGCTTGTTCTGCCCAGCAGCCCCTGGAGATGGGAGCACACAGAGCAAGGGGTCTGCAGTTAATGTGAGAGAAAACAGTCAAGCAGCCACCTGGCCCACAGCTCGGCAAGCACTGTGACTGGGAGGCTAGGCTGCCCCAGGTCCCAGAGCCGATTCTCAGCTGAGGTGGTAGAGGATCTGGTCCTGCTGATCTCCACCACCAGAGCTGCGCCAAGGAGACCTTGCCACCTCCACATTCTTGGTCCCCACCCACACTCAAGCCAGACCACCCCATAGCACATCCCAGTTTGCAAAGGGAAACAGGACATTTCCTGTGTGTACCTACATTTTTTGGAGGTCTCCACATCTTCTCCCCGTCTCTGAGCAGCTAAGATGGCCTAGAAAATTAGAAAGTGGATTCTGATGAAAATTAGCTTTGGGGGGCTGGGGATTTAGCTCAGTGGCATAAGCACCGGCCTTGCAAGCAGGCAGTAGTGAGTTCGATCCCCAAGACCGATAAAAAGGAAAAAGACAAAAAAAAAAAAAAGAAAGAAAATTCGCTTTGGAAGCATTCAGCAGCTGATGCTGAGTGAGCAGGTCAGCACGCTGCTGAGAGTCCCAAACTGGCACCTGATAAAGCCCGTCCCTCTCTAGCCATGTCCAAAAATATGACATGAAAAATCCTAGAAATTAAAAATTTATCAATTTCAAATTACTGATTTTCTCAAATATGCCACACTGTCTTACTGTTGCCCACTGTGTCCTGCTCAGTATATGAGTCACATTCCCTCCACCTCCTGTGTCCCTTCACTTAGCAGCTAGTAGCAGTCAGGCCCTTATATTCAGGGAACCCTTACACCACTGTCCCGTCAGCATCAGACTCCCTGAACCTCACCAAACAGCATCATGCGGTCATCACAGCAAGGGTGACAGCACTGACTGAGGCCCCATTCACATCTGTCATGGTGTAGTGTCAAAACTATGCCATTCCGATATTCCTGTTCTCTTACAATGACTGTGACTAGCCCACAAACCAAACACTACTCCTGAAGTATACTAACAAAAAGACAGGTACGTAGGGCCCAGTGTGACCCATAGCTCTGGCATTCACTGAGATCAAGAAGAGCCTATGTCACTGGCCAGGCAACACACCATCAACTACTACCCACAAGCAGGGGCACCTCCACTTCCATGCTAAAATAGACTAAGGGCTTCTGGAGAGTCCGGGCCTCTTGACACAGACTCACAGGGCCACTGGCCTCCTGTGAAAGCAGGAGGAGACCTAGCACCGACCTGGCAGCCTCCTGCTCTTGCTCCTTCTCATATCTGGCTCCTAATGAGACAGAGATGACGTATCCCATGGAAGCCTGCGGTCTCCCTGGAAACAGGACCAACAGCAGTGATGCTCGGCTTCATGGTCACCGAGGATTAACAGACCGCTGATGTGTTTAACACCTTAGAGATGGGGTTGGGGACATTCTACCCAAGGCGCATGCAGGCTTTCGGGGCAGCTCATGTGACTCCGGCCTTGTAGCTATAAAGCTGCCCCCGAAAAGAGAATGAATTTTTTGGGCACAGCTGCTAAGTCTGGGCCGTTCATGAATGCCTGTCATCAGGGCCCCAGGCCTGGCCTGCGTTGGGTTTTGGACACCTGCCAGGGACGGGCCCCAGCCTTGGGGACTCCCAGATGCGGCCGCCTTCTGACCCAGGAGCAGAGTTCACCCGGGGCCGGACAGCGCCCTCCACAGCCCAGGAAGCACCCAGCGAGCTTGGTGGGCTGCGAACACGGCGGACGCTAACATAACATGCAGTGCACGCAAGGATCAGCCTCGGCGAGGGGACGGCCCTCCCCCTGCCCCCGGTTGCACCCCGCTTCACTCATTCCCACACCTGTCCCCACCCGGGCCTCGAATCCGCCCCGGTCGCCAGCCCCCAACCCTCGCCCAGTACCTGCCTTCTGCCCCAGCCCCTCCCCCGCCCGCTGTCGGGGTCCCCAAGGCGCCTGCCCCATGGTCCCCGTCATGGGCCTCTCTCCTCGTCCCCCGCCACCTGTGCCAAGGCCCCGCCCGGCCCAGTCGCCCCGTGCCGGCCAGGCACCTGCTTGGACTTGGCCTGTGCGGCCGTGGGGCCCTTCTTGCGCAGCACCGTCACGGTGTCCCAGTCGCTCTCGGCCATGGTGCAGCGGCGACGCTCCCTCGGCCGCTCCGGCAGCTGCTCGAGACCTGCCTCAGCGACGCGACGTCCCTTCGTCGCCTCTCCGCTTCCGGCGCTTGCGCCGCGGCACCGCCCGCGGTTCCCATTGGCCAGCAGGCTGAGGGACGGGTCCTTTTCCGGATGTAGGCCAATCCGCGGCCGTTCCAAAGAGACACGCCTGCCGCTGCGGGCTTCGTGGGGCGGGCGACGTTGGGCCGGTGCGGAGCAGGCCGCGGCCTGGGGGTGCAGAAAAGTGGAGTGCGGGGGAGGAGTGCGGGGTGGGGGTGCGGTTTGGGGAAAGAGAAGAGGGGTGAGAGGAAGAAAGAGGTTCAATGACAGGAGGAGTGCGAGGACTGGGGCTCGGCGACCCTCCACCACTGAGCTGTATCCCTAACACGTTACCGTACAGCATCCGTGTGTACATCATACAATGCTTCTGTAACGTTTAAAAATAACTATAATAAAGGATCAGTTACAAAAAATGTAAATGGCCACTAGCATCACAGAATTCAGAAAAATAACATATGAATTAATTGTGAGATGTCTCGTCTTTTTCTTTCCTTTTTTTTTTTTTTTTGTCTTTTTGAGACAGGGTCTTGCTATGCAGTTCAGGCTGGCCTTCAGCTCGCTTTGTAGCCCAGGCTGACCTCGAACTCACAACGATCCTCCTGCCTCAGTCAGTACTGACGTGGGCTTGGGTAAAATTCAAGGATTCCCACTAATGAGAGTATGGTTTGCAAACTCTGCCACAGGTTTCTGTTCCACAATTGCAGTCCTGATGAGTGCAGTATCATTTTAGAAGAAAATAGGTTCTCCAAGCTGGGTGTGGTGGTGGGTGCCTTTGATCCCAGCACTTGGGAGGCTGAAACAGGAGAATCACCGAGTCTGAGGTAAACCTGAGCTTCATAGTGAGACCCTATCTCAATAAAACAATACAAGGGGTTGAATGGAAGGTAGGTGTTATGGTTTGATAACTAGTGGTCAACTTAATGCCAGCTGGATTACATCAGCATGCATTGAGAGAAGATGCTCCACCTGAGAAGGATTGCCAGGATAAATAGGTGAAGAAGAAGAGAGGTGTGGAGAGGGATTGAGGCGTTATGGAGGCATTGTTGGTTCTCCTACGAGTTGCTGTCTGAGCTGTTGGTTCTCCTGGAGAAGCTTTGGTCTTCACATCGAGCATTGCTTCCTGGCTCCGGAGGGGAAGACATGTGCTGCCTGGTCTCCAGGATGAACTCATCACGCTGCTTCCTGGCCCGTACCCGATTGTGCTTGTGGTCCGAGTAGCTCGGGGCCTCTGTGTCGCTGGGGACAGCTGTGGTGCCTTTCAGGACAGCCCTGCTCTTTGTTGTGAGTGTGACTTCTCGGCTCCAGTGTAGAACCCTCATCCACTAGCACAGCTCCTTCATTCTGCTGGCATAGACTTTCTGGCTTCCACCGCTGACCCTTGGGTCTTCCCGGCACAAATCCGTAAAAGAGACTGGCATGAGTCCTTCTTGTGGGCTCTGGACTTCCAGTTGGACTCGTGGAGGCATTGTCCTGAGCTCTAGGTTTTTATCTGGACTCATGTGGGACATTGCCGTGGGGTTTAGACTCTTGACTAATTAATCTATGTCATTGGTGTTGCGGATAGATTTCCTACATTCTCCTGTGTTAACTTCCGGTGACCATTATAAAAATATTATAAACTCCATGTCCTGATCTGAATTGTTCTCTGTGTACAACCCCTGACTACAACAGTAGGGGAATGGACAAAAGAATCACGTTGTATCAGTACAGGTATGACTTCTCTATGACGAACAACAAACCCTACCACAGAGGTTCCTTATCTCTCTTTCTGTATCTCAGTTGCCCTCTCTTCTATTTTCTCTTTCCCCAGAGTCTCACTATATAGTCCAGGCTGACCTTGAACTCAATGTAGCCCATACTAGCCTGAACCTCATGGTGATCCTCCTGCCTCAACTGCCAGAGTCCAGGATTCCAGGCATGCACCAGCACACCTGGCTTTCTTTCTTTTTAATGTGGTACTGGGGATGGAACCCAGGGCCTTCACACTGGACTACACTCCTAACCATTTTGTTTTAATTAATTTTCATACCAGGGATCAAATTCATGACCTTGCACATACCAGGCAGGCACTATGCCACTGAGCTAAATCCCCAGCCCCTTAAAATTTTTTTTTTGTCTTTTTGAGAGCGTCTCTCTATGCAGTTCAAGCTGTCCTTGAGCTCACTTTGTAGCCCAGGCTGGTCTCGAACTCGCAACGATCCTCCTGCCTCACCCTCCCAAGTGCTGGAATTACAAGCGTGAGTCACCATGCCCGGCTTAAATTTTATTTTGAGACAAGATCTCACTAAGTCACTAAATTGCCCAGATTAGGCTTGAACTCATGATCTTCCAGCCTCAGCCTCCCAAGCGCTGGGATTCCCAGCATGCATCACCACACGCAGTGAGCACAGAGAATATCTAATCTTCCCACATAAAAGACAAAGGCTGAGGTGCACTGAATCCAAATGTGACCACTGCATGTTGTGCCTACACAGGCAAATGTCACATTGTATCCCTAGAGGCATGTACAACTATTATGTGACAAAAAGTAATTTTAAGACAACCTGGGTGTGGTGGTGCAGGCTGTGATTCTGGCTATTTGGGAGGCTGAGGCAAGAGGATTGTAAGGCTGAGCACAAGTTTAGGAAGACTCTTTCTCAAAATAAGATTTAAAAAAGCCTGGAGGTGTGGCTCAGAGGACGTACACTTGGCTGGTGAGCCACAGGTCCTAGATTCAACCCCTAAGTGGGAAAGGAGGCGTGGCATCGTGAGGAGACTGGGACCTCCCCTGCAGCGTGCTGTTCCTGCCTCAGGGTCCAGGTATCTGCATGAGGCTGGCCCAGGGACTGAGACTCTCCCCATCCCTGGCCCTTGTGGCTCCTCCTTTGCCCTGGGCCAGCCTGGGCAGGTGTAGCATATCCCTGTGGCCCTCAGACATGTTGATGGTGAGTTTTCAGCAAGCCTCTGTTGTGTTAGGGCTGGGCTGATTTCTACATGAAGAATCATGGGTTGGAAACTTTTGGCTTCCCGAACTCAGACCCACTATCCTGTCTCCTCACATCCAGACGGCAGTGGAAGCCTCACACCCCTCTGATCAGTGCTGATGTCCAAACCTCTTTTGGGGCCTCCCTACCTGGGCACATCTGGAACCCTCACCTCGGCTCAGTGCTCTGCATCTTCAGGAGCTTGTGTGGCTTTTTCCTCTGGCCTCTGCTACATGGCATTTGAGACCCTCTTGGCTCTGGAAAATGGCACCTCTCCATTTGGGGTCTATTCACTTGTGCTACTTTGCTAATTCCTTCTCCTCTGCTCCTCTTTGAATGTATTCCTATTGGGGTCTGTGCCCAGATCCCCAATCTCCCAAATGAGTGCATGGGGAAGGCCCAAAAAAATCAGACAAGTGGTATGATCTTTAGGGCTCCAGAAGGACCAAAACCCTCTGCAGAGTTTGTAACTCTGGTGGCTGAGACAGATAGTGCCTCTGGGCAGCCCATATTTATTCAAAGAAAGGGGTTAGAGTGGAAAATGCAGGAAACCTGAGCAGAACCTTGGGAGGAGTTCAAGGACCTCTCCAAGCAAAACATGACACTAATTAAGAAATTCCTAGAAGAAAGTTTCCAGGTGGCCTTAGCTGTGGCCTATCTTGCCCCTGCAGGCATCTCAGTTCAGCCATGCCTGGGCCATGCCACAGCCCTGCACGTGTATTCAGCTTCAACAGCTCCACCAGTCGGGCTCCCACTGGTTTTAGGTGGATGCAGAATCCAAGAATTACAGGGTCAGGAAAGCTTCCACACGGAGTTCAGAAAAAGACCTGAAAGGTCAATCAGTGTGCTCTTGAGAGGACAATGCATAAAACTGTGAAACCAAAGATTCAGTAGAGTACCCCAAAGGATAGAAAAGCCAGGAATGTATATCATCCAAGTAAAGCTGCAAGGGATGAGCAAAGACAGAAGCCACGGAAGCTACAGCTACTGGCAGTGCTGCAGGAGTAAAGCCACCCAAGCCCTTTGGGTTCATATCTTACCACAGATTGCCTGAGATACCAGACATGGAGCTACGGCACTTAATGTTTGCCCTGCTGGATTTTGGCTCTTCTTTTTTATTCCTCTATTTGTACCTTTTGGAATGTAACATCTATCTTGTGGCATTGTATTTGGAAATGTTTAGCTTTGTTTTAAGTGATTGCAGCTAAGAAATTGTCTTAAAGGTCAGAGAGGACTCTGGGCTTGAACTCTTCGGCAATGCTGAAGCTGTTAGGACTTTGGCAGCTCTCAGACATGGACTAACTGTGCTTTCTCTCCCCTTTCTCCCTCCCCTTCTGCTTCTCTTTTATGACAGTCTCACGATGTAGTTCAGGCTGACCTTGAAGTAGCCCAAGCTGGCCTCAAACAGCAATTCTCTTCCTCTGCCTCTTGAGTGGCAGGAATTACAGGAATGAGCCACCATGCCCAGCTAAATGCCTTTCTATAAAGGGACATACATGAATCTCCTGGGGGTCAGGAGTGGAGGGTTAAGGGTTGTATCTAGATGATGTCTCCTCAGAGCCTTATGAGGTCAAAGACAGGGCTTTTGGAAGCTGGGTGGATCTAGAGTGTATGAGTATGGATTAAGGCCACCTGGTACTAATTTAGTCCACTGGTTTGGCATAGTTCTGGCTGTGGATCATGGGAAGGCCTATCCTGGTGTGGGTGGCACCACCCAAAAGGGTGGTAGCCCAGAAAGGATAAAAGGGAAAGGGAGGCCTGCATCAGTGCTGTTTCCTGGCCACTGCTGCTTCCTGCCCACCATGCCACAGACTTTCTCCTTGGAGATGACTGTCTGCCCTGCCCTGGAGCCAGCTAACTATAGACTGAAACCTCTACAAACTGTGAACTGAAATAACCCTTTCTGCCTTTAACTTATGGGTGTTGGACATTTTGTCTCAGGAACAGGAAAGTAAGACAGATTATGGTTATTTTCTCTCTTTTTGGTGGGGGGCACCAGGGTTTGAACTCAGGACCTCAGGCTTGCAAGACAGGCGCTTACGCAGCTGAGCCAAACCCTCAGCCCTATTTTTTCTCTTTTTAAATTCCTTTATTTTTGGTAGGCTGTGGAGGTGCACACCTGTAACCCCAGCACTTGGGCAGCTGAGGCAGGAGAATTGTTCAGCGTATGAGGCCAGCCTGGACTACAAAGTGAGTTCAAAGCCAGCCTGAATTGCACAGTGAGACTCTGTCTCAAAAAGACAATAAACAAACAAACTTATTTTCTATGTTGGGAATATTTTCTCAATGATTTAACTACATCTTCAAGTTTGTTATCACATTTTTGATTCTAGGGCCTTATATTCTACATGTTTTCTCTTCAAATTTTCTTTTAAGAAATGGGAATCTGGGGGCTGGGGATTTAGCTCAGCGGCATAAGCACCTGCCTTGCAAGCAGGCGGTCGAGAGTTTGATCCCCAGTACCGATTTAAAAAAAAGAAAGAAAGAAAGAAAGAAAGAAATAGGAATCTCTCTAGATGGTCTGGCAGACCCCAAGCTCCCAGGCTCAGATGATTCTCTTGCTTTAGTCCCCTGAGTGGCTGGCGGCGCTCCCTGTATCTTGTTTTCACAGTGCTGAATCCTACAGCTGGCCTCTGCAGACCTTGGGACAGCATTTCTTTCGGGAGCCTGGGCAGTCCAGGAAGTAGGTGGCAGCTGTGTGCCCAGCCATCGTCCCAGTCCCCAGGAGCGAGATGCTGCCTCTGCGCATCTCCTGCTCAGGCTGGATGCTGGTCTGGCCCATGGCAGGGACTGAGCCTACGGTCTTTGTGGTTACATCTGCCTTGTGTCATCTCCCTCAGTTGTCTCACTAGGCCGGCAGGAGCCTGGCACCTGTACCGCCTTCCACTTGTTTGACCTGCTTCCATTGAAACCCAGAGGGTGATCCGCGAGGGGTATAAAGTCGCAGGGTCCCTTGGACATTCAAGTGCCTGCGCTTGTCCCCTAGGGCTCATGAGCCTCAGCGATGTCACTGACATAGTGACCTTGCACTCTGGTCACACAATTCACCCAGCCTATGTCCCCTCTGTCCTGTGGTGACCCCAGCTACATCCATTTGAGGAAACTGCCACAGGTTGGAGCAGTGCTTATTTTAATAATAGGTCTGGGAGCTCTCTGGGTCTTCATGTGTCTCAGGCCAAGTCTGACAGCTGCTAGGATTAGTCAGAATCACTTTCTAGAATGTTCTGTGATATGGAAACATCCTGAATTGTCATCAGACACTGTACCCCAGGTCTGAGGTCCTCCCTAACCACATATGTGGCTTCAGTGAAGTAATATTTCAAAATTCAGTTTATGCAAGTTAGGCATGCTGGTGCATACCTGTAATCCCAGCACTTAAGAGACTGAGGCAGGAGGATTGCCATGAGTTCGAAGCCAGCCTTAACCAAATAGTGAAAGCCTGCCTCTAAAAAAAGACCAACCCCCCACCCCCTCAGTTTAATAAAAAGCATTCCTTGGCCAAGTGGGATGAAAAGATAAATATGGTGATCCATCTGTCAAACCACAGAATGAGAAAAGATCAGTTTTTTTTCCCCTGTGGTACCAGGGATCAAACTCACAACCTTGCATTTGCCAAGCAGGTGCTTATGCCACTAAGGTAAATCCCCAGCCCTTAGAAAAAGATCAATTTTGACAAAGTCATTGTCAAATTTGCAAATGCTGAAACTCAGAAACAGAAACTTGACTACCAAGTAATGTTTTTGATTCTAAAAAGCCGCACATTAATACAAATACATTCTCCTGTGTGTGTATACAAATACATTCTCCTAAGTTATCCAGGCCCTCATTCAAACATGATCCTCCTACCTTAGCCTCCTAGACTGCTGAGATTTCAGATATGTGAACCATGCTAGGCTCCTCTTGTTTTTGGAGAAGTTCACTGATGTAATGAATGCTTTGCTCCACTGCTCTTCTTTCTTTGTTGTCCTGTGTTTGAGTCCCTGGTGGGATTGTGTAGTGGCTCTGGGAGGTGACATATTGGCCAAGTACGCCAGGCTTCTCACTAGCTTCAGACCAATGTGGGTGGGCAGAGCTAGGTGGAGGGCAGAGGGCATGCCCTGGACGGGCCTTGGTCTGAGGAAACAGTGAGAACCAGGCACAAGTGGCAGAGTCAGAGGCCCCGGATCACAGCTGAAAGAGCTGAAAGGTGGGACCTAGCAGGGAAGGGTGCCTGTGGGCCAGGGATACCCAGTTGCCATGGGTATCTTAGGTCACCAAGACCATCTCAGGTATCAGGTCAGGGTGATACTGCTGTGCACCTGCCTGGCAGCTCGTCAGGAGGCAGAATCTGTGCCCTGTTAAGCTAGGACCAGGACAGCAATTACTGTATGAGCCAACAGGTGGCACAAGGCAATGAAGCTCCTGGAGACCAGAGAGCTCTGAGCCACCCCAGCTAGTTAGCAAGGTTGTCAGAAGGGGTCCTGGAGGAGGCTGGGTGGGCTGCCACACCTGAGCAGTTCACATCCCAGGAAAGCTTCCACTGCAGGAGTGCGTGCATGTGTGTGTGTGTGTGTGTGTGTGTGTGTGTGTGTGTGTGTGTGCTGAAGACTGAATCAGGGCCTTTGCACTAAACTAGATCCTCAACCCTTTTTAAATTTTGAGGTAGGGTTTTGCTAAATTGCCCAAGTTGAGCCTGAACTTGGAATCTCCTGCTTCAGTGTCCTAGAGTGCTGGTATTACAGGCATGCACCACCACACCCAACTTCCACACAGTCTCAAAGAGACATTGGTTATAGGGAGCAGGAATCCCAGGCCACCAGCCAGATGGCTGCTTCATCCTAAGACCCCAAGAGCTGAAGTGGGCCAGGTGTGGTAGGGAGAGGTGGCCCTTGTGCTGAAGGGGACAGGTGGGACTTTACCTCCCATTCACAGCTTGCTGGTGCGGGGAATCTGGGCCATCGATGCAGAGGTCAAGCTGTCCAGGGGTCAGCTACCTGCCTGGAGGAAGCTCAGGCAGTGTGAGGCACTGGCAGTTGTCTTCTCCCTGGTGGATAGGGCCTCCCAGCCAAGTCAACAGGGCTGGCCTTCACCAGGGCATTTGCTCCAACTTCACTCAGGCCCACAGCCCTCTTCAGGATTCCTCAGGTCAGAACAGTCATCATCCTGAGGCTTACAGGAAAGGTAGCCATGTTCTCACCTCCCACCTCCAGGCTACAGAGATCTCAGGAAGTGGGAGGGTCTTGGTGGCTGCTGGCTGGAGTGTTGTATGAGTTTTGCTTTCCATTTGGCAGGAAGGAATGCAGGTGGGAATCCCCTGAGCTGCCTAGGACCTACAGCGAATCTCTTTCTTCTAAGCCAGAGAGGTAGGTGAGTCTCCAGAGCAGGGATGTCACCTGATTCCCACCCAGGGACTTCTGACCTCTCCCCCTGGTCTCAGCTTTGCATGCATTGGTCATCAGAAAAGCAAAAAAGGTGTAAGAAGACAAACCGAAAGCAGGAAAGTCTAAAATAAATGCCAGTTTGATGACAGCGCTGGGCAAGTACATTGAAACAGCCTGAAACGGGACAGGTCTGTCCCTGAGGCCCTGGGGGCCGTGGGCGCTTGACTGTTGAAGTGAAATCTGGATGTGGATGGCACTGAGGGGGTCTTGCATCCAGCTTTTCTGGTGGACTTGGTGGACTTGGTGTATGACACTTCGGCGGGGAAGGGATGCTGCTAGCTCAATGGCTTTCCCATTAAATACTAACGGAGTGGGACTGGGTTCTCCGTATCCCTTCGGGCCTGCAGGATGCAGCCACCTAAGAGTCGTTGGCTTCTGGGCTTGGCTGAGACTTCCCTGACCCTGCAAGAGGAGACCCAGAACTGGCAGCCTCAAAGACGCCCGGTGACCCCCTAAGTTCCAGGGTACAGGGAAGCTTGCTGTTATATTCCAGGAGCGGGGGTTTCAGGCAGCATCTTCTGTTCGTGCGCATTCCCAAAGCTTCGGGGTCCCCTGCTGGGGGGAGGCGGGGTCCATGGCCTTACCTCTGAGTCTTCCGCCCTGCAGAGTGGGGGCCGTTCAGGTTCATCGGGCAGTGCAAGAGATGAGTGTGCGCGGAGTATTTGGCCAAGCCCGTGACCCGTGAGACACTCACTGTGATTCCCGTCCGCGCCGGGCAGATGCCCTTCTAGACGTCCTCATTTGCGTGCTCCATGTTTCCACGGCTAGGGAGGCCAGAGGATTGGGCGGTAAAAGTCACACAACATAAGTCAACACTGAAACCTTTACAAGTGTACAGCCACTCGCTTTCAGACTTCTCGAACACCCGAAAGGTCCGCGAGGACTTGCTCTGGCGGGAGGTGGGGGTGGGGTGGGGAACCGAAGCTTAAGTAGCCACGCCGCGGCAGCAGCACAACCAATCATCACAAGCTGCGGCTCATGAACACTCTTGATAGGCTATTTCATCAGTCCATCAGGCGGCGGGCCTGCGGTGGGAGGAGCTAAACAATCGGCTCTCATGATGGTTGCTTTCGCGCTCCTGGTAGGTTCCTGCGTCAGTCCGTCAGGCGGTTTCGGGCGGGGCGAGGAGGATCGGGGCGGGGCGAGGCGGCCGATGACGGGGGCGGGGGCCTGGCGGGCTTGGAGTTCCGGGCGCGCGAAGACAGTCCGGTGAGGCTGCGCGGGTCTGGGTCGGGGTCTGGGTCCGGGTTCGGGTTGGGATCAGGGTTGACGTTGGGCCCAGAGTCGGGCGGGCTGAGCGAAACGTGGAGTGGTCTGCGTCAAGGGCCGGGGAAGGGCGGGTGCGGTGGCTCTGAGGGGATTTCTCAGGGCGGTAGAGCCGGAAACCGAAAGTCCGGCGGGGAGCGGGGGAGGGGGGGGGGCGGAAAGTTGGCTGCGCGGGCGGCGTGCGGGGCGCGGGCGCGGGGCCCAGGGCGTCGCGGCCTTCCCTATCTCCAGCGTGCGCTCCTGCTTGCCCCCGGTCTCGCGCCGCTTTGCAGCTGGCCACCGTCTTGGCGTCCCGGGACCTGTGGCTCAGATCTCACTGGGCCAGGTCACTGCCTTTGCCCCGGCCCGGGCTCCCTTCTTCCCGCCAGACACCGTCTGCCCTGAGGTGGCTGGGTTGGAGTCCCTATGGAGAGGTCGAGTCGGACCCCCGGGATCTGTGCTTGGAGGCCGAGGCATGCTGTGCCTGGGGCACCCAGCAGGTGTGTGTGTGTGGGGGGGGTCACAGCCAACACCGAGGACTCTAGAGCCGGGGACGCAGCGAGCCTGTCGTCAGAATGATGAATTTTGGACCCCAGGAATCAATCCTGCCCACGTAGACACAGCTCCTGGTCCCTGGTGGCCTCTGTGCACAGTTTGCTTGCGGGAAGTTGCCTGTTCTGGCTTTCAGCCACTCCACAGAGGCCATGCCTGGCCCTACCCCGTGGCTCCTGTCCCTGTGACTCAGGTCGTTTCATCTAGGATGATAGTGAGATGTAGCAACCCGAGGTGACTTTTTAGCCATGGTGGGTGTTGCACATTTGCAGTCACAGCCACCTGGGAGGTTGAGGCAGGTGGATCCGAAGTTTGAGGCAATAGAATGAGACCCTGTCTCTGAAACAAGCTGGGGACATAGTGCAGTGGTAGAGTAGAGCCCTCTCAGCCTGTACAACTCTGAGTGTTCCATTCCCCGTCTGCAAAAATAAAGAAATAAAAAAGCTGGGCCTAGCAGGTGTAAAACCCTAGTGCCACCCCACAAAAAAACTTGCTGTTTTAGATGGAGCCCCTGATCATCCTAGACTTGTTCTTGAGTCTTTTTTTTTTTTGGCCTGCTTCAGTCTTTGAAAACAGTTTTGTTGTACTATGCTTTAAGTATCACACAATTTGCTGTGTTATGCTCACACAAAGGTCATTGCTCTTGTGAACAGCAGGGAGGTTATGTTATAGCTGCCATGGCCTCTCATGGGCTGAGCAGGCAGCTGCTACCTTGGGGTTGAGCTGAGCCCCAGGCGGTGTCCATGGGCCTCTATGCTTGCTAATGTGCCTGGGTGACCCTGCTTCCAGTGCTCAGGGTACTTCTATACCTCTGTGCTTGCTAATGTGCCTGGGTGACACTGCTTCCAGTGCTTAGGGTACTTCTGTGTCCAGGCAGTGTGACCCTGTCCTGTTTGCTACCTCTGAATCCTGGCAGGACCTGGAAGTGTCCACGCAGTGGGTGGGTATAGTGAAGGCCATGGCACTGCCAGCTGCCGGTCAGAACCCAGCTGCTCCTAGAACCTTGAAGGAGCAGCTCTTTCCCTGGAGCTGTAATTCTGTGGCTTTGGGTATCACCCAGAAGAAGCTTCCAGGGAGAAAGCTCCCCTTCTTTTCACTGTTGTCTTCCCAGTGACAGCTTGGGCTTTGTCTGACCACCGGGTGCTCCAGCTACTCCTTTCCACCAGGGTGGTTGGTGTGTGGATTCTGATTGTGGCTGGGCAGGAAGTCCTAAGCACAGACAGGCATGGACATTAAGGACCAGAAAGGAAAACCCAGATAGTGGAGTTGGGACTGGGGATTTAGCTCAGCAGCACAAGCACCTGCCTTACAAGTGTGCAGTCATGAGTTCGATCCCTGGTACCGATAAAAATGAAAAAGACAAAAAAAAAAAAAAAAAAAAAAAAAAACCCAGATAGTGCCTGGGGCCTGTGCTGGGTGCTGTCTGCTGGGTTTTCTCACTGCTACCTTTGCAGAGAGGGTAAGAGCTTTACCCAGATGCCACACAAAGGTTACTCATCTTCTCTGTCACCCTGCCCCTCCTGTGGAGGAGTGAGGGAGGAGGAACGCAGTGGAAACTGTCCCTAGGGTTGGGGCCCAGGCCGGCAGAGGAGTTGACATTAGGGGAAGGGGTTGGGAGCTGGTGGTGACTTGGGGAGGTGAATGCCTGGCAGGGAGGTAGGCACTGAGAGGTAACTTGGTCAGGAGAGTGCAGGACACGGGGCTGGGTAGTCAGCCTGTGTCCAGGGCTGGGTGGGGAGTAGAGCCGAGGACTGAGGGTGAGGAGAGCCTGGCTTCCATCTCTAGGTCTGTGCCTGGCTCTGGCCTGGATGCTGATCCTTCTTCCAGTCTCTGCTCCAAACAGGCCAGGGGCACACAAGTGTGAGGATGACTGTTGCATGCACATGCATGCATGGGACAACTTCTGGTAAGAGCAGAGTGGGTGGCAATGGAGCAGGGATGCCACTGGGAGGGAGCCCTGCAGTGTGAACCCTGTGTTTCCTCTGGAAGAGAAATGGGGCTGGGAAAACCCTGAGGGCAGCAGGGAGGTCAGCGGGAGTGCAGTGCAAGCAGAAGTACTGAAAGACACCCAGATTTGGAGGCAGATTTATTTATATCAACACGCACTGATGAGGCTCAGTCCCAGAACATCAGGCCCGGATCTCTGGTGGTCTAGGGTTTTTGTGTGATGCACAAGCAGGAGGCACAAGGGTGAGACAAATGGCCTGGTGGTTCTAATTAGCTAGCAGGGTGAGCTCTTCGGTTGCCAGGGTAGTTTAAGGATCATCTGTTTGGGAAACTTGGTACAGTGATACAGTCGGGCACCCAGCATGTTGAGTTACATTCTCAGAGGTCACAGGGGTCAAGAAAGTAATAACAGGGGCTGGGGGTTTAGCTCAGCGGCATAAGCGCCTGCCTTGAAAGCAGGCAGTCGTGAGTTCGATCCCCGGTACCGATAAAAAGGAAAAAGGAAAAAGACAAAAAAAAAAAAAAAAAAAAAAGAAAGTAATAACAAAGCCATGAAGCAACTTCAGAACTAGGCAGTTTCAAAAGAACCAAGTTTTAAAAAGAACGATTTTTCCTCTACAGTTTTTCCCTTTCAGGAGCAGTGACTTGGTCATACATCTGGGTGATGTTTATAAAGTGTTGGGGTCCTGACTGAGCCCTGCCATGACACAGGTAGTGGTGGTCAGACACAAGTGCGCGTGTGTGCGCGCACACACACACACACACACACACACACAGAAGTGCTGCAGGGAGGCACCCTGCTGTGTGGTGAGTGGGTGCTGGGGAATGGGATACTGTGTCACAACTAAACCTTTTCCTGTTGGTAACCCTGGCTGGTTTGTTTGTTTGCTGTGCTGGGAACTGAACCCAAGCACAGTGAGCTTGTTAGGGTCCAGCATTAACCGGGCATGATGGTGTACAAGTGCTGTAATCCTAGCACTTGGGAGGCTGAGGCAGGAGGATTACCACAAATGTGAGGTCAGCCTGGGCTAACCAGTGAGTTCAAGGCCAGCCTAAACTACATATCGAGACTCGGCCTCAAAAACGAAACAAAGTAATCCCCATATTGTATTTATTTATTTATTTATGGTGGGGTAGAGATGGAAACTAAGGGTGCTGTACCTCTGAGTTACATCCTCAGTATTGTTTGATTTTTTAAAAATCTTTGTTTGTTTGTTTGTTTTGATACTGCGAGTCAAACTTAGGACTTTGTGCTTACCAGGCAGTTGCTGTGTCACTGAGCTATATCCCCAGTCCTGATCTTTTTAAATCTTAAAACAGGGTCTCACTAAGTTGCCAGGCTGGCCTTGAACTTGTGATCCTCACGACTCAGCCTCCTAAGTACTAAGGATTACAGGTGTATGCCGTGCCACTGCACCAGGCTGTGCATATAGCTTTTTCTATTTAAAACTATCCATACTGACTTCATGAATAAGCATAAACAGTAGCCCCTTATAAGAACAATCCTCTCCTACATCTGCTTTCAGTCCTTTTGTAGAAGCAGTTTTGGGATGTCCGAGTTGAAATGAGCTTGGTTTGGTGCTGTGTGAACCTGAGAAATGATGAGTGTGCCCGTCAACTCGTAACTCTAAAGCAGATTTCTCGTGCTCAAGGGCCTCGTGCTGGAGGCTGCACATGGATTAAAACTCTTCACTGTTAGGTGGGCTTGTTATGCCCATGAGTCAACCAAGCACAGGTGGGTCAGTGCTCAAGTGAAAACCCAGTATTGTATGTAGAATCTTAGTGGCTCTGGGTGGCAACTTGGATTTGGGGGATTTGGAATCACAGCATTTGGGGTATCCTTGAGTCTGTCGGGAGTGAGTCCCTGGGCCAAATTCAAGTGATTGTCCTTGGCGAGGCACTCCTCCCCCAGAGTGTACCTCATGAGAATTTGGTGACATGGTTGGGATCACATTTGGTTTTTGTAACTACCTGCCTGGTGCTGCTCCACTCAACTCCAGATAGGAGTGTTAGCTGCCCAGTGCCCCCTGCTGACGTTAGTTTCAGAGCTCTTTGCCCTTGGCCTGCTCCTCCTTCCTTGGTGCCCAGCTCCCTGGGAGGGCTATTTTGCAGGCTTCAGGTGTTGCTTTGAGAAGTGGACATGGGCTTGTGGCCATTTGGCCTTTGTTGTCCTCTGGCTTTTTGGGAGACGAGACTGAGGCTGTTTCTGTGAACGGAGCCTGGTGTGCCCCAGGGAGCTTCTGTCTGGAGGTGGCCCTTGGCCTCACGATTCCACTCATAGTTGGACTTTACCTGTCCTCGAAGGCTGTGTCGATGGCAGTGTGGCCTGAGCACCATGGTGTCTGAGAGATAGGCCTCTCATGGGAAGTGGCATTCCATTTTGGGAATGGTTTGTGAGACCACACACTTGTACAGAGCCATCCTGTGAGTGGCGCTGGTTTTGTTCTTAACCAAGCAACCTGTCAGAATTTTACGGTGAGAACTGGTCTAGAGCCCAAAAGGACCACAGTGGTTATCGGGCTCCTGATCAGGTGCTGATCACACACACTGTCCACCATCCTCAGTGTGAGTCCAGGCAGCAGCAGCCCCGACGTCAGACCCCACTGTCCATTGTGTGACCGAAGCTGTGGCTGCAGACCCTCCTCGCAGATGGCATGTGGCAGCCAGGCCCTGGCGAAAGTGCTGGTTGCACTGCCGGCAGCAGGTCTGGTGGAGCGGGAAAGTCATGAGCAGTTTTGACACCATGCTGCCCAGTGTTTGTGATGATGGCACAGGTCTAAGAAAGACAGTGTCTTTGTGAATGAGACTCAGATCTACACGTAAGGAAGCCCACATGCCCCAAGAGCCCTGAGGTGCAGGTGGGTGCCAGGCTATAATGCGCTGGCTGCGTGGCGTGACGCCAGCTGACAGCTGCACTGTGAGGCTGTCGGGGTAGCAGTCTCTGAGCTCTGAGCCACTGAGCCAGTCCCCCGTCTTGAGGGCGAATGTGAGGGGCCTGACATGAAGCTTGAGGCCCTGCTGTCTGCTGTGACCTTTTTCCTTCTAATCACAAGGACAAAGAAGGCTGGGAGGCAGGCGGGGTCCTGCACAGCGGAAGCAGGGGACTGGGAGGAGGGGCCACATCTTACATCTAGCAGATGTCTCAGGAGATAGAGAGGAAAGACAGCCCATCCTCCTGTCCCCCTGCAGCCGATTTCAGTTTGTGTTATGCTCTTGCTTTGTCCATGCAAGACATGGAATTCCATTGTATCTGATAACGTACCTAAAGTGGAGTTTTCACTTTTGAGATGGTGTCTGTGTAGTGCAGGCCGGCCTTGAACTCACAGTGATCGATCTGCCTGCCTCAGCCTCCCAAGTGTGGGAATTACAGGCATGTGCCCCCACACCCAGTAAGAGTGTGGCTTTTTTTTTTTTTCTTTTTACTGGTACCGGGGATCGAACTCACGACCGTCTGCTTGCAAGGCAGGTGCTTATGCCGCTGAGCTAAATCCCCAGCCCAAGAGTGTGGCTTTTAAAACGTGATATTTAAAAATGGGAAATCCTATCTGAAGTGACTCTGAGCAGTGCCTTTTGCCATTAGTGGTTCATGAGGTCAGTTTATCAACTTTCTGGGTGTTTTGTTTTTCTTTTTGAGACAGGGTGCAGTACAGGCTGGCCCTGATCGCACTTTGTAGCCCAGGCTGGTCTCAAACTCGAAACAGTCCTCCTGTCTCAGCTTCCAAAGTGCTGGGATAACAGGTATGAGGCACCACACCTAGCCTTTCTGAGGCTTTGTGTTGTTGTTTTTGGGACAGGGTCTTGTGCAGTCTAGGTTCACCCTGAACTCTTTGTAGCCCAGCCTGGCCTGGAACTCATGACTGTCCCCCTGCCTCAGTCTCCCGAGTGCCAAGATTACAGGTGTGTGCCACTATGCCAGGCTCAATTTATGTTTTTGACCAGAGAAAAAGAAATGCCCAAGGAAACCCGGACACCTCACATATTGGGCACCCCGGGCTGCTGTTCCATGCATGGGTGCAGTGAGTTGTTTGGACACAGGTGGGGGTCCAGTGCTGTAGGCAGCCGAGCCTTGCGTTGGTATGGCATAGGCTTTTGGGGACAAGGTCTCACTGTCTTTTTTTTTTTTTTTTTTTTTTTATCGGTTCCGGGGATCGAACTCACAACTGCCTGCTTGCAAGCCAGGTGCTTATGCCGCTGAGCTAAATCCCCAGCCCCTTTTTTTTTTTTTTTTTTTTTTAAATTTAAGGAGAAAAAGGGAAAAAAAAGGATACAAGTTATACAGAATTTCAGAAAATAAACAGTAGGAAATCACTAGTTAATAGATTACAAGGTCTCACTGTCTTACCTGGGCTGGCATCACCTTGGCTCAGACCATCCTGCCTCAGCCTCCCGAGTACTGGAATCCAGGTGTGCACTACCATGCCTGGTTCACATGTGGCACCCAGAACATCTGGGTAGGTTGCTGTCAGGGAAGCAGGCCCACACATGGTGCAAGGAGATTATGTCCCCCTCTGAGAGGGGCAGAGTGACTGCTCAGTGCTGGCCCATGTGCAGAGCCCCGTCCTCCCTCCTCCAGGTATAGGTGCCCGTATGTTCTGGAGTGCTACTCTAATGGCACTGTCGTGACATGACTCGTTTGTTCTTGTTGCCTGGTTCTGGACAGTTCCATCCCATGCCCAAAAGGAAGAATGGGTCCCCACAGTCCTGAGCGGATCACCAGCGCTAGATTGACTCTGGGCAGTGAGGGCTTCGGCTGTGGCCCTGTGAGGGGCTCCTTGGGGCCTCCTTGCCAGCCAGCGGCCTGAAAGCGTGTGCTCCTGTGCAGAGGGTGCTGTGCCACCAGAGGACAGCTTGTGTAGGGCCAACATGTTTTCTTAGGGGCTCAGGTTTTCCGAATTGTTCAGGGCCATTTGGTAGGCGCCCTGCTTTGGGGCTCACAGATAGCACCTTTTGGCCGCTTTGAGGTCTGGACATCACATGGATACAAGGTCCCCAAAGGTTGCTGGGTTGTCACTCACCCCCAGACTTGCCTCCTTTAGAATCACCACACAGTGGCCCATGGGGTCAGCCCTGCTGGCGCCTGGGGTCTGAAAGCATTCGTGGAATGGGGACAGTGGCATGTGACAGCTGTCGGGTGTGGTGGGGTGATCTCACCACGTGGAACTGAAATCGAGATGGTTCGCAGGGATGGTGCTGTCAGCCAGGTGCTGCTTCTTGGAGTCAGTCTGCCTCAGAAGGGCCACAGTCGTGGCTATGGTCATGTCACGGGTGACCCCCAGGTCATGGCACAAGGAGGAGACTTGAGTGTTCTAAGTGGGCAGGAGTTGGATGTGCAGAGGAGCAGCCCTGGCTGGTGTCCTGGGCAGCCTTCAGGAGGCTGTGGGTTAGACGTGCGCCCCCTGCACCGCGTGGGTGTGTGGAGCAGATGGCAGGGGAGGGACAAAATAGCCACTGCTGCTGGCCTGGTTGTGAGGTGGGTGTGGGCGTGGCCTCCTGGCTTGGTGGATGTCCCTAAGACAGAGAGTGTGGGTCCTGGCACTGCATGTGAGCAGGGGCAGGGAGAGAAAGCTGAAGCCAAGACAGTGGCAGGGCTCCAGGGGTCCCTGGGGTTCCCTGGGGCTCCTGGTGTCCTGCAGAGGAGGGGGCATCTCTGATGCAAGTTGGAGTGTTCCAAGGGGTGACTGACAGCATGACTGAAGGGGGAGACTCAGCGGGGGGCTCCTGGTGGCTGTACCGCTGCTGCCTGCCTCCCCACTGTGCCCTGGGACTCCGAAACCCCAGTCCTGCCTTCCTGCTGGGCTGCTCACACTGCACCGTGGCCCAGAGTCCCTGCTGGATGCCCCGTGTCTTCTGGGGTACAGTGTCATTCACATGAGAGGGCCAACCCCATTCTTGCCTCCAACAGGCTCGGAGATGTGGCCAGGCAGAGCACAGCCTGGTACCAGCTCCTGCCTTCCAGCTGCTCTCAGGAGGGGGCTGTGGCACATAATCTGCCAAAAAGGAGTAAGGAGCCCTGGCCTTGGGCAGATCCTGGTACCAGGTGTGGCAGCAGCCCACTTGGCTCTGGGTATGATGTGCAACTCAGGGAGCCAGGTCCCCCTTGTCCTGGTTCATCTGCGTGTCAGTGGGTACTTGAGGTCAGGGTCTTCTCAGACCCTGGGCGAGGAACCACTCTTACAAACCAGCGGAGGGAGGCCCAAGCCATGGATGGGAGCTGGTCATGAGCTGGGTCTTCTTCCTTCTCACCTCAGGAGTTCTGGGTTCCCAAGAGCCCTGCCGGTGTTGCTGCCAGGGCCTTCTAGTGTGCGCTATGCTGTGTCTTCACCAGCCTGGCCCTGAGCAGTGCTCTTGGGAGACCTGTGGTGCACACCTTCCTGGGTGAGGGTGGTGGCTACTCTGCAGGCGCAGCTGACAATGGTAGAGATGGGCGGGCACCAGGCCTGGGAATGGACACACACACAGAGGGGCTCTGCAGCCCCTGAGATTGGTCTGGACTGTGAGTGGCACTGATAGAAATGGGGAGCACTATGGCCAGTGCCAGGTTGGCTGTGTCCTCTCCTTGGGTGTCATTGGCTTTAGGCATATCTAGGACCTGGGGAACCAGCAGGTATGTCTTAGAAGCCATCAGCAAGCTGGGTGCAGTGATGTACACAAGTATCCCAGCACTCTGGGAGGCCAAGGCAGGAGGATTGCAAGTTCAAATCCAGCCCAGGCAACTAAGCTTCAAAAAAAAAAAAAAAAAAAAAAAAACAGGGCTGAGTATGTACCTTGTACACGTGTCCTGGATTCAGTTCCCAGGACTGTACACAGAGTCCCGGGGCCATAGGCACAGATGGAGGTGCTCGCGGGAAGCAGGCTCTGCCAGGCAGGACTCTGGCTAGCAGGATGCCCTTGAGTTGGTGCCCAGCATGGGGCTCCCGCGCTCAGATCCTGCTTTGTGGATCTTCTCAGGACTCCACGCAATCGTTCCTCTCCCATACTGTCCTGGGCTGAGCATCATGTGGTCTGTTCCTTCTCAGGGCTGCGTGGCTGTGGGGGTTCCAGGTCTCATGGCTGCAGCCAGTGTGACCCCACCGGGCTCCCTGGACCTTCTGCAGCCTGGCTTTTCCAAGACCCTCCTGGGGACCAAGCTCGAGGCCAAGTACCTGTGCTCCGCCTGTAGAAACGTCCTGCGGAGGCCCTTCCAGGCCCAGTGTGGACACCGCTACTGCTCCTTCTGCCTGAACAGCATCCTCAGGTGTGTGGGCTGCTGGCCAGGTGGCACTGGGCTTGGACTTGCACTGTAGGTTTGGTGGCTGTGGTCAGAATCCTCCCCAGATGCTACAGGCTGGAATGCAGTGGGCTGAGCTGTCCAGGTACCCGTCACTGTTGCAGTACTGCAGGGGCACAAGAGGCTGAGTGCGGTATAGCGCCAGGGCTGACAGAGCAGGCTGTCTTCACTGTGGGCCTCACAGGCTGAGAATCTCACCACTTGAGGCTGCTCTAGGGGCAGGTGAGGAGCTTATCACAAAAGCCTCGGCCAGAAGGCCCTGCCCCTCACCGTCCCTCTCAGGCTGTGATCTTTAGTGTCACTGAGGAACTTGAGGGTGTGTGGCATGGAGTCAGTTTGTAGTCTGGGCCGACAATGGTCATTTCTTCTTCGTAACAGGTCTCCCACGAATTTTGTTTCTCTCTGTCCCCCAGCTCCGGGCCTCAGAACTGCGCTGCCTGTGTTCAGGAGGGCATCTATGAGGAAGGAGTTTCCATTTTAGAAACCAGCTCAGTGAGTACAATTTCTTGAAGCTGTGAATGGTGAACAAAAAGCATTTTAGACTTCCTTTGTAACGCTAGGGGCAGAGCGAGACCGTAGAGGCTCAAAATACTTAAGCACACAGGCGAGTAACCAGGCTTTGTGAGGCTGTGCTAGGAGGGTCCTCTGGGTCACCATGTGCCCTCCATAGCCAGGAGGGTGGCAGTAACTGGTCAGGCAGGGGCTGCACTCCCGAGTCACTTGTTCCACATAGGACACTGGAGGAGGTTTAACTGAAGGCTGTGCTCTTCCTAGGCCTTTCCTGACAACGCTGCCCGCAGGGAGGTGGAGAGCCTGCCAGCCATTTGTCCCAACGAGGGGTGTACCTGGAAGGGGACCTTGAAGGAATATGAGGTAAAGAGGGGCATCCCCTCAGGCTACTCTGAGGCACCCACAGGTGGTTTGGTACCTGAAGCTTCACAGGTTGAGATGCCACATCCCAGAGCAGTGGTCCGCAGAGCTTCCAGTGCCCCTGCTTGGGCGGAGCAGGTCTGTGTGTGTGGGCCGAGATATAGCTGCCCCTCAGTGTCCATTTAGAGACTCAGTTGTCCAAAAAACAGTGCTGCATCGCCGAGCCAGGTACTTCCCCTCTGTGACTCAGTTTCCTCATCTGTCCACGGAGGTGTGGTTCTCCTGCTGCTGGGATGTGGGAGCTGCAGGTGCCTGTGTGTGAGGACCTGGCCTCTGCTGGCCCTGGAAGTGCTGTGTTTGCCCTGACAGCAAATTTCCCAGCGGTGGAGGGTGGGTCTTCCTGTATGGGCACCTGCAGCCTTGAAGCTATGTGGGGTTTTGTGTAGTGTTTCTTGTGTCCACAAGGGATTTCTTGTTTTGAGGGTTTTTTTTTTTGTTTTGTTTTGTCTTTTTCTTTTTTATTGGTGTCGGGGATCGAACTCATGACTGCCTGCTTGCAAGGCAGGCACTTATGCCGCTGAGCTAAATCCTCAGCCCCTTTGAGGGATTTTTTTGAGATGCTGTCTCTCCATGCACCCTGCTGGCCTTGAACTCCCAGTCTTCCCATTGCAGCCTCCCGGGTAGCTGGATTGCAGGTGTGAGCTGCTTTGGATTGTGTGGACACTGGAAGTCACCCAATTTGTGGGCACATTTATTCTGTGCTCACAGAAAGACTTGTGGCCAGTGACAGAGGTGACCCTAAGCTGGTGCCTGACATCACAGTGATTTGTCTTCCTGTGCCAGCAGAGGCCGGTGTACTAGGGACCTCAATGTGATCCTCTCGTCTCCCTTAGGTTCTGTGGTGTGCATCCAACCCCTTAGCTGTTCCCGCCTATCCTCTTAGCCCAAGCCCTTCATACTGTTTCACCCCAGAGCCTTGCACAGGAGAAGCATCCGCAGTGGCGGTGCTGCCCACCTAGGCTGAGGCAGAAGCACCTCCGTGTCACCTACCAGGTGGGCCATGCTGGTGATGAGACAGTGGTACATGCTGTGGCAGGGACCAGCCTGAGGACCTGCTGCTCAGCAAGTGAGCCAGTCACAGGAGAGTGGCCCCTGCAGGACCCCTCCTGGAGTCCTGAGTCGTCAGGTCCTGCGGATGGACCGGCGAGTGGGGGTTTGGCGGGCTCACTGCCGGCTGAAGGAGTTAGATGTTGGGGTCTCCAATGGGGAAGTTTCCTGAGGACAGCTCTTCTGGCCCAGGTTAGGGGCTGCGGGAATGGTTTGTTCACACCCTGCTTTCCTACACTTGAGGGTCAGGGCAGGGGATGCCAGGAAGCCTTGCACAGAGGGCAGAGGGTCTGGGGGCCTCTGACTAGGCCAGGACCCAGGGATGTTAGGTTCTTCTCTTCCTCCCTCTTTTATGGCCACAGTTCCCACATTCTTTTGTTTTCTTGGTGCTGGGAATGGCTCAGCCTTCCCATGTACTAAATCCATGTCAGCCTCTGAGCTACCCCGGCTGCTCCTTGACTTCGGATTGGCTCCAGATTGAGTTATGCTTTGGTGACAAAGGAGCTCTGGCGACACCTGGGTGAAGGAGGAGCAGCACTGTCCTCCCTAGCATGGGATGTCCTGTCCAGGTCCCAGAGCCCCAGCCCCAGGTGCTGCTCTGCTGCTGCTCATGAGGGAGGTGGCAGGGCTCTGAGCTCCCTGTGAGGATGAAAATGTGGTATGGGCAGTGGGGACCCTGAGGGGGCTTGTGGGATCACCAACTTCCAGCTCCTTGCAGGGCCCTGGATTCTCCTGAGGTCCCTGCTACTCCCAGGCCTGTGGTGTCCATGAGGCCACAGGCTGTGTGGGCTTGGCCCAGGGCCAGGGACTCCAGTGCTACACCACCCCACAGGCATGCAGGCTGGAAAGTCCCTGGCCACGAGTCCTGTGAGCAATGGAAAGTCCCTGTGAGGAGCCAGGCTGTCTGTCTTGGGGCGGGACGGCCCTGCCTGCGACAGCCCTCCAGGCCTGACGGATTGATAAAACCTCCCCCCCACCCCAGCAGGTGTCCAGGTGGCCAGCTGGACCTCACCTCTGCCCAGCTGCCTGCTCAGCTGCCTCCGGTGGCACTGAGAGAAGAGCCCTGAGGCCAAAGCTCTTTCTTCCTTGATGGTCTGAAATACTTGGAATGTTTGGAAAAATGGGAAAGATCCTATCTAGCCCTTGGTTGTAGTTTTTCTTTTTGGCATTGCCTTTGCTTCTGGGAGCGCAGTGGTTTCAGAGCCCAGTCCAGCATCCTGTATCCGAGTCACCCCCTCTGGGCCGGAGGGGCAGGCAAACAGCATGTGTAGCCTCAGCGCAGCTTTTCTGGAGATTCAGTACAGAATTAAATTTGAATTCTGGTTGAATAAATGTTGATTTCTTTGGCTTGTGCTTGTGGGTCAGGGACTCCTGAGAGTGCCATCTCCCCTCACTATGTGGAGCTCCTGGCCCCGGTCGTTGGCTTCTCCCGCTGGTCTGTGCACCCTTGTGCCAGATGGGAAGGCGCAAGCCTCAGTGTCTGGGCCCTCTGACTGGGTGGGACAGGGTAGGCCCTCGCCCTGGCCCTTGGCCTGCTTTCCTCGGCGTGCGTCTCTGAGATGCACACGTGGGCATCAGGACAGCCTGTGCTGTCCTGTCCTCGGCTCTGGCTGGCTGTCTCATGCCTGGCCCTTTACTGGTGCCCACACCAGGGCTCCAGTGTTGCAGGCAGGGGCAACCACCTCTGCATCTCCTGTGGGTCTCCTGCTTCTCTTGCTCCTGTCTAATAGTGTCAGGGCTAGGTTGGCAGGAGCCTGAGCCGCTTTCTGGGCTGGAGCTGTTGGCACTGGGGCACAGCTGTTCCAGAGGCTAGAGCAGAGTCCTGTCTGGAACATGGTCCAGGTCCCTAGGCTGGGAGTAGCAAGGAGGACACAGCCTGGGGAGGCCTATGAGTCACGTGGATCGCAGTGTCCAGGGCAGGAGGAGGGGCACACAGACACTGAGCCATTTGTACATGCCACGGCTGGCCACGGGTCTACATGTGTCCTCTCATGTCTCCTCCTTCTGTTACCAGAACTGCCATGAGGGGCTCTGCCCATTCCTGCTGACCGAGTGCCCTGCGTGTAAAGGCCGGGTCCGCCTCGGGGAGAAGGAGCGCCATGCCGAGCAGGAGTGCCCAGAGAGGAGCCTGGCCTGCCGCCACTGCCGGGCACCCTGCTGCCGATCGGATCTAGAGGTGCGATGAGCACTGTGGCCTGCGAGGCAGGTGCCGCCCCATGGGCATTGGACTTGAGTGTGGTGCTGGCATTGCTGTTGTTTTGGGCCCTTGGTCCCATGTTTGGTGATCGGCATTCCCTAAGGGGCAGGTCAGGGGCTCTGGGCGGTGCTGGGTTTGAGTGTGAAGTCCCTGCCAAGCTGGGCTGGAAGGCTTCAAAGGAGCTTGCACTTACCAGCGGAGGCATGGCAGTGTTTCCAGGCCAGGCGGGTATGTCCTCCCCAGACTGTTGGAGAGCCAGCCTGACCTCATGTCGTTTCATCCAAAGCAGCCAGGAATGTGTTTCTAAAGTGCACAGAGCTTTAGACAGCGCATGGCGCTGTCACCACTGTGCCAGTCAGCTCTGTCCCGAAACTAGTGCTAAGGTCACGTTGGCTCCACTTCGTGGCTGGGAATAAAGAGGAAGTAGCGAAGTCCCATGTCCTCCACGAGGCTGTGCCCCCAGTAAACTGCTCTGCCCACTCAGCCACGGCTCCTGGTGGCCACTCAGTGACCGTCCCGTTACACTTGACCTGTGGGGGACTTGGTGCTGTAGTTGTGGTCACGCCACTGCTGGTATTGTTGGCTCTGCCCACAGCAGCAGCACCTCAGGTCAGCTTCCCATGTGGGTGCTTCTTAGCACCACTTGTTACCTGGCTGCTGGGTTTACTGCCATGCCCACCTCAGCCCCGGAGACAAGTCTGAGCAGAGCCAGCTGGGCACGGGCGTCTGTAGCAGCACACTGGGGTCTCAGAGCTGGGCTGGCCGACTGGCCCAGTGGCCAGCATATGCTGTCTACCTCACACCTTCCAGCCGGCACTGCTGTCTCTGTCCTCATGGGGACCCCTTATTTTTGATAGGTGGCCAAGTGTCCCCTTCCCCGCCCTCTGCATTGGCTTCCTCTTGTGTGCTCTGGAAGTGTGCAGCAGGTGCTCACTCTGGTGCCACCTGTCGAGACACAGAGGGGCCATGCATGGGTCAGGGCTCTCCCTGTGCGCGACACCTCCTCCCCCATAGCCGTGCCCACCTAACCCTGGCTGCTCCTCCTCAGGCACACCATGAGGTCTGCCCCAAGTTCCCCTTGACCTGTGACGGCTGCGGCAAGAAGAAGGTCCCTCGGGAGAAGGTAACGGACCTGAGGATGGTGTGGGGTGGCAGTGGGGTCATGACCTGTGTCCAGAGGGCAGTGCAGTGACATACAGCTTCCCTGCCATGGGGTCACAGGCTCTGTGTGTGTGCTGGATGTGGCATCTACGGTTCCAGGCCAGCAGGTCTTTTCTTGCACTGTGCGCTGTTATCCTGGCACCACTGTGTGGGCAGTGCCAGGTATGAGCCCAGCGGGCGCTGTGCCTTGGAGCTTGTCCTCCTCCTCCTGCTGCCACTCATGAGGAGCTGGATCTTTCTGGAGGTGACATGCGTATGGAGAGGTCCCTGGGCCTGCAGTGGCAACAGTGCTGCCCCGGCTCAGGGTGTTGGATGTCCTCGCATACTTGTCTGTGCAGAGCTGGCCCCAGAGGCGAGCCCTGGACAGAGGTCGTTGGGATTCGGTGGCAGGTGTGTTCCCCAGCCTCCTCCCTGGTGGCCAGCTGGGGGAGGTACCACACAGAGGCCAGAGCTAGGAGCTGGTGTGGCTGCACTTCTTCCTGCCTGCCCAGTTTGCTTTTGTTCAGATCCGGATCACAGCCCAGGTCCTGGAGTCCGAGTCTGGGTGGAGCGGGGGAGGGCCTCTGCTGTCCTTTTCCAGTTGTCCTGTGTCCAGGACCTCCTGTGGTGTGGTCTGAGTGCTTCCTCATGTCATGTGACCTTCAGTGGTACCTCGGGCAGCCCCGTGCTCAGTGTGAAGGTTAGGCTCCAGCTCTGCTGTTGAGGGGGCTGAGGATTAAACCCAGGGCTTCACTCTGAGCCACATCCCCAGCCCTTTTCACTTGCAGTCTTCCTACTTCAGCCTCCTGAGTGCTGGGATTACAGATATGCACCAGCACGCCCAGCCAGGCTCCAGTTTTTGATGGAGTCTTGTGGTGGGACAACCTATGGGAGGCCAGGACACCGGGCCCTAGTGCCGTGGGGCTGTCTGCATGCCAGCTGGCACTGTCCCTGCCAGTTGTGGCTTTTGCTGCCCCTCTGTCCCCTCCTGGCCTGTGCTCATCCCAGAATGGCTGGAACTGGGAAGCCAAGACTAGCCTCTCCCTGTGGTTTTCCACGTGGTTTTTGTGTTTCTGTTGTGCTGGGGCTTGAACCTAGGGCCTTGTGCTGCCCAGCCCTCCTATGCATTTCTGCTATGGGCTGAGGTCTGGGTCCAGGCACCCAGTGGGCCTGCTGGGCACCACTCCTCCTCTTCTTCCTCTTTGCGTGTGTGGCTTCCTGTAGCTCCATGGCTCACCCATCTCCGGCCTGGCTGTCCTGGTCTTCAGGGCTGCACCCTGGCAGTGGGAAGTAGCCATAGGGCCTGAGTCTCCGTGCACCTCCTGTGGGGTCTATGCCCCAGGCCTGTTGGGGAAGGTGACAAGTGGGTTTGCACCTATACTTTAACGAGTGCTGGGATTACAGAAGTGTGCCAGTGTGCCATTATACCCTATTGGACTTGTTTGTTTGTTTATTTATTTATTAATTTATTTATTGGTACCAGGGATTGAACTCACAACTGTGAGCTTGCAAGGCAGGTGCTTATGCCTGCTGAGCTAAATTCCTGATTGTTTTATTTATTTTTTGATATCCGGGATCAAACTCACAGCCTGATGCTTGCCGGGCAGGTGCTTATGCTGCTGAGCTAAATTCCTGGCCCTTGGATTTGTTCTCTTAGATCTTAGTTTATCTCTGGTGAAAATCTCACTGCCTCAGCCTCCCAGGTCCTGGGATGACAGATGTGTGTCATCAGGCCCAGGCTGTTCCAGTTTCTTTTCCTTTTTTTTTTTTTTTTTAGTTTGCTGGAGTTTTTGCCTCTTTGAACCCTTTGTTTTTTAGTACTATAGAACACTTACATAATTCTGAGGTCAAAGCTGTGCATGGCCCCTCAACAATGTTGCCTTGGCCCCCAGGCGCATCCCTGCAGTTTCGGGGAAGCCTCCTCCTGGGACCTCTCTTGCTCCTAGCCAGGGCAGGCTGAATCCTGTAGGCTGTAGGACTTTGGGTCTGGACGCCAGTGGGTAGCGGCTGTGCCACTGTCCTTGTGTACCTACCACTTGCCATGGTAGTGGTAGGACCCCAGCAGGGGCTGTGCCAGGGGCTCTGGAGATCCAAGCGAGGTGGCCACCTCACGTCCCTCTGTACCTCATCCCAGCCCCGCTGGGCTTCCTCCTGTGGAAATTCCAGCCCGAACAGGGTGGGGGCCCCCTCTGCCTGTCTCCTTGTTGACAGAGCCACTGGCAGCGCCTCAGTGATAGCAGCAGGGGCCACATTCCCAGCCCTGCTGACATCTGTGTTCCATCTCTTCTTTCCAAGGGAAGCTCTGATGCTTGTGACATTGATGGGGTGCCCTCTTTTAGCCTGCCGGGCACATTGACTTCACACCAGTGACATCTGTGTGTGTGTGTGTGTGTGTGTGTGTGTGCGCTGTGCACGTGACACCTGTGTGTGTGTGTGCTGGGCACTCAATTGGGAGCCTTGGGTTTTTTGAGTTCCCATTGTGCTCGGCATGCTCATTGGTCCCAGGTTCCCCGGGTGGCTTCGCTGAGCCAGAGAGCTGTGGCATGGTGTCCTCTGCAGGGACCTAGGTTTGACTTTAGTGTTTTCTTGGTGTGGGGTTGCACCAGGGTTCAGGTGTGCTGGGCAGGCCCTTACACCACAGTCCTCATTTGGCTTTTGAGTTTAAAAGGTTGTGTTTTATGGAAGGAAGGTTCTAGAGTCTCCCAAAAGCGCTGTGTGTCCACCAGTGAGGACACAGGGTGTTGGGTGTGTGGCAGATGCTAGCTGGCTCCCCGAGCTCTACTGCTGCTGTAGTGTTGTCTTCCCAACCACCACAAACCTAGGGTTGAGGTGTTACAGTGTGACAGCCGGGGACATCACAGTGGCTTCGTGTTCATTTCCTAAACAGGAGGTGGTTGGTTGGGCACTTCCTTGCCTGCAGTGCATCTGCATTTTGCCTGCAGGAAGGTGGTTGTGGCTCTTGGGCTTCTGTCGTGCTTCTTGTACTTACTTTTTTGTACTATTTTGGACTCAATGCCAGGCATGTGACCTGGCCTACTGGCGTTTGTGGGTTTCTGTTTGTCGGTGGGCATGGGTCACAGTTTTCTGCTTGCTTCTCCTGGGTTGTGGTCCAGGCTTAGGGCCCATTCCCCTCTGGATACAGGTGAACCCTGGCTGCCTTCTGGATTTGCAGGTGCACAACATATCCTCCTGTGAAAGCCGCCCATCCGCCTGTGCTCCTGGCCCAAGGTGGGAGGGGAAGGGTTTGTGTCGCACACTCCAGTCATCCCAGTGTCAGTGATTGGCCGTGCTGTCCTGTCCCTGGCCTGGCCTCTCCTCACGGACTTCTGGGTTATGAGCCTCTGTATACCACACATGCCACATGTCCCTGAGGCTGACGGCAGTGGTGGCACAGTTGTTTTCCAGGACCTCCCTGAAAAGCTGCTGTCTGGGGCAGCCCAAGACAGCTCCCTCCTGTGGTCAGCACACAGGCTGTTGGCTCAATCCTGTTGTGAGAGCAGAGGCTCAGGGAGACCATGGCTCTGTGGTCAGTGTGCGAGGGCTGAGGTGGAGCGGGCCTGGGAAGAATGGCCTTGGGACTTCATCCCCTGCCCCTGCAGTTTCAGGACCACGTCAGGACGTGTGGCAAGTACCGGGTCCCCTGCAGGTTCCACGCTGTGGGCTGCCCTGAGCTGGTGAGTGTCCCACACAGCACCCCTTTCACTGCCCCAGCTGCCATCAGTGCTTGTTCCCTGCCCCACCCAGTTCCGGATCACCTGCACCTGAGCCTCCCGGTAGACTCTGAGACTTGGTGTGGCCGGTGCTCTCATCCTGCTCTCCTTTGCTCCTGTGCCACCCTCTCATCTTTCCCAGGAGAGGAAAGGAAAGGGCACCGCCACTGCCCAGGTGTTCAGTCAGCGTCCCTGAGCCCAGCACTCACACATGTCCCCCTCGGGTCCACACTCACATCCAGGCTGACGGTTCCCCTAACTGGCGGCAGAAGGGTTCCACTACCACCACCCCCCAGGTGCTGTCCCATCCACCTGTCCTCTCTGCTGCTTGGACACACAGTGCTTGACAGGTGCCTGCTATGTGTTTACATGGGAAATCAAACAAGGCACAGCCCTCCCGAGCCCTTGGCGCCCCATCTTCACATCTTCACAGTGCCCCTACTGCCCCTAGCTTTTGCCCTACCTGCTTTGTTTGAGGTAGGATCTCACTATAGTTCAGATTGGCCCTGAACCCACTACATAGCTCAGGCTGGTCTCGAGCTCATGGTGATCCTCCTGCTTCAGCCTCCTGAGTGCTAGGAGTACAGATGTGTGCCACCATACCTGGCTTATGCCTTTTGATTTTTGAGTGTCTTTAATTTTTTTATTTGGTTGCAGAATGTTGGAAAAGTACCTAACTGAAGTTAGACGTCTTTAGGAAAGCTAAAGCTGTTTGCCCCCTTCCCTGAGAACAGCTTTTTAGGTGGTGGTTTTTCTTTGTCTGTTCCATCTATCCATTGGTGACGTCTTGCTGCGTTGCCAAGCTGGCCTCAACACTCCTGAGTGCTGGGATTACAGACACATCACAATGCCCAGCTTTTCATTTCTGAAGCAAAAAAGTTACACAGGACACTTTACAATTTTGAAGCATACTTGATTGTTAGATGGTGACAGATTAAATGCTGTCATGCAGATGAGGACAAAAATGAGCCATTTCCAGGTGTCCTGGACCCCTGCACCCCACCAGCCCCTGCCCCTGAGTGCAGCAAGGTCTAGTGTGCAAGTGCCAGCAGCTGACTGCCTTTGTCCACAGGTGGAAGCCGAGGAGCTGCAGGGGCACGAGGGGCAGCAGTTGCGAGAGCACCTGGCCCTGCTGCTGAGCTCCCTGCTAGATGCCCAGACCCTTCCAGGAGGCCAGAGCCAGGCAGCATCCGAACTATTGCAGCAGTGCCAGGCCCTGGAGCGGAAGACAGCCACCTTCGAGAACATTGTCTGTGTGCTGAACCGGGAGGTGGAGAGGGTGGCCGTGACTGCGGAGGCCTGTAGCCGGCAGCACCGGCTAGACCAGGACAAGATCGAGGCCCTGAGCAACAAGGTTGGTGCCCACGGAGCTGGTGGCTGCATCCCCAGGGAGCAGTGTAGAGCCCTCTGCACCTCGGCCCACATGCTGCCTCCTTGGGCTTTGGCTCTTGCACTTCTGAGCTGGGGTATGGGCTGTTACTGGGGTTCATGGGACCTGAGAGGTGGCTCATCCTTCCTCAGGCCTGCAAGGGTGTCAGCAGCATGTGTGCCCTGTGTTATATATGCAAGGAAGGTTTGCACAGCAGGGGTGGCTGTCCTCCGGTGGCTGGGGGCAGGTGACTATCACTGTCCTCCTGTAAGGTGCTCCTGCCCACAGGTGCAGCAGCTGGAGAGGAGCATTGGGCTGAAGGACCTGGCCATGGCTGACCTGGAGCAGAAGGTCCTGGAGTTGGAGGCTGCCACATATGATGGGGTCTTCATCTGGAAGATCTCGGATTTCAGCAGGAAGCGCCAGGAGGCTGTGGCTGGCCGCACACCAGCCATCTTCTCCCCAGGTGCTGCTTGAGTATTCCCACGTACCCTGCCTGTGTCCCCATGGCCTTGTGGAACAGCTCTCCAAGTGTGGGTGGGGCCACCATCCTCGGGAGGAGTTTGGGCAGCTGGGTATGGTGTGGGCCTGCCGGCCCCCACGGAGGCTATGGCTGGTGGTGTTGGGCAGAGCCAGTCTGGCCACTCCTCAGGTACGTGTTTCTCCCTCACCCCACTGTAGGGTCTCTAGAGGCAGGTACCTGGCCATCCTTAGGCTGTGGTTTGTTACTGGGGCATACTTCCCAACATGCTACCCAGCTGCCTCCTGGGGTGCTCCAGCTCACCCGTGAGCACACTTCCTGCTTACTCCTGACAGCTGCTGCCAAAGCAGTGGGGTCCGTGGCTGAGCAAAGACGGCATCGGCTCCTCCTGCCGCAGGCCCCCTGGCACTGTGGGGCTCTGCCTGGTGCCACTGTCGTCTTCCACAAGGCACATCTTGACAGCGCCTCTGGGGGCCTGGAGAGGAACAGACACATGCTGTGACCTAGGCTTGTGCTGGGAGAACTCCCAGGATGCAGCGCTGTCCTCAGGGCTGCAGTGCCGTCCTTGGCTGCAGTGCCAGCCATGTCCTCTGGTGAGAGGGCAGCTCATGCAGAGACTGTAGAGGGTGGGAATAGTTCAAGTGCCATAGCCAGAGCCTGGCACAATACATAGGCCCCTTTGCCACTCCAGGGTGCTGGTGCCTCTCTGGGGACCCTGATAGCCATTTCTTGGGGCCTGATCACTGGCTCAGCAGGCCAGTTTCAGCACCACTTTGGAGGAGCCATTAGTGGGGGCCCCATTGCTTTTGGGGCTTAGAGTACTCTGGGGCACAGGGTGGAACAAGCCAAGGTCTTCATAGAGAGGAATGAAAGCAGAAGGGGTACAGGAAGCCCTGCCCAGGGACTCCCAGTAGGCTACAGCTCATTAAGCTTCCACATCCAGCTAGATGGAAGCAGGCTGGGTGTTTCGGGGGACTTCCAGACCCACATGCAGATCCCACACGGGAGGGATCTGTTAGTGAGCTGGCCACCTGAGCTGGATGCTGGGACACAAGAGGCCATCTGGTGGTCTGAAACCCTTGATGGACAGGGAGGTTCGATCCAAGTGCAGAGATCTCAGGGCTGGTGAGGTCCTGGGTCTACAGACACAGAGCTGGAGCTCTGGTGGCCACAGGCAGGGAAGAGGGTGTCCCTGGCCTATGGCAGGGAGACCAATGTGCACGTCCTCTGCTGTTGTCCTCTCTGGGTAGTTACCCACAGGGAAGTGGACAGCTCATGTCCTGCTCCTTGGGCATGCCCAGCACAAGGCCTCAGCTGTTGTAGGTGTCCCTACCCGGGTGAGCTGCCATCCGATAGAGGCAGTGAGTCCTTATCCCTCAGCCCAGTCCTGTCATAGCAGTGCCCCTGGGTGAGGCTCCTCATGTGGGAGCCGCACCCTGCCTGCCCTCATGGCCCTCTCCCCCGCCAGCCTTCTACACAAGCCGGTATGGCTATAAGATGTGCCTGCGAGTCTACCTGAATGGCGACGGCACCGGGCGGGGGACACATCTGTCTCTCTTCTTCGTGGTGATGAAAGGCCCTAATGATGCCCTCCTGCGCTGGCCCTTCAACCAGAAGGTGTGGCGCTGTCCTGGGGGCAGGAGGGGTACCAGGGACCTTCAGGGTGTGGTGAGATGGCCCAGGGTGGGTGGCATGAGGTGGTGCTCCCCAGGGGACCTGGTGTGCACTGCAGCTTCTGATCACTGGCTGTGACACTGGTGCCAGGCTTCAGAGTCTGCTCTGGATGTGAGGCTGCCTGTTGTGACTATCCTCAAGCTAGGGTCCACCTTGGCTGAAGAGTCGGGGATCTAGAGACTAGACTGGGAAAAGAAGGGGGCAGCTCTGTTCACCCCTGCAGCCCAAGGAGGGCATGGATGCCCACAGACTCCATGATTCCCTGTGATTCATGGGTGCACCCAGAGAATGGCCCTTCTGCCCTGCGGGAAGCTCTGCTTCCCTACCCAAGATGGAGCAGGTGCTGCATCTGGGCTTGGCCTGAGGCCCTGGTGTCAGTGCAGGTGGCCTGGGCCCACATGTAGAAGTCTGTATGGGCACTTAGCTCATGGAGTTTGATCCTCCCCGGGCCTCCTAGGTGACACTGATGCTGCTCGACCAGAACAACAGAGAGCATGTGATTGACGCCTTCAGGCCTGACGTGACCTCCTCATCCTTCCAAAGGCCGGTCAGCGACATGAATATTGCCAGCGGCTGCCCCCTCTTCTGTCCTGTGTCCAAGATGGAGGCCAAGAACTCCTATGTGCGGGACGATGCCATCTTCATCAAGGCCATCGTGGACTTGACTGGGCTGTAGTCACGTCTCCAGGCGCAGTGCTAGGGGAGAAGTCACCACGCTGGGCCAGGATCCTGCACGCGGGTGGGCGGGCGGGCGGGAAGGAGCCGTTACCATCCCAGTGCCAGAGACTGGGGAGCCGGTGGCGAGCCTCTGTCCTTTCTAGATGGACCCTGCAGGGGCACTCAGGAGAGCCGTGTTAGCCAGGGCTCCTGGCCAGCTCTTGTGGCAGGTGTGTCCATGGCCACTGGAAGAAGGGCTGCTGCCAGCAGAATGACCCTGGAGTTCAGAGGCGGAGACTCCACAACTTGCACAGGAGTGCAGGCCTGAGGGGCTGCACTCGGGCTGTGGAGCCATCGGTATTAAATTTTGAGATTCCATGGTAAGTGGTGTCCATCTAGCTCCAGCCTGGACAGTGACGACTCTCAGGGCTCTTGCTCTTTCCTCCCGTGGGCTGTGAGCTCCTGGGGTCTCTGAGGCCGGGATGAGTACAGGGAGGTGCAGCAGAGCCAGTCCTCAGCCGTAGGTGGGCGGGTTCTTTGTGCCCTGTACCTAAGTGTTGGTGCCTGGGTATCAGCAGGTGGTCTGCTGCAGTGCTACAGCACAGGTGGGGTCAGCTTTCAGGCTCCCTGACACGGGTCAGGCATCACACTGCTGTCACCCTGCAGCTCGCCATGTGCACTTTGCAGGGGGTCGAAGCTTCTGTCCCACCTGGCTGTGTGACCTTTGCGCCTGTGTTTCTGTCTGGAAACAGTGTTGAAAGTGTGTAGCAACCATCCCTTGTATCCCCAGCAGATGCTGGGTGAGCCTGGTAACCCTGCCCCGGTGGCCATTAGGAGGCAACCCCCATCCTCCTGAGACTCTGTGGCGACAGGCTCTTGGTGACATCAACAGCGGCATGGATCTTGCTGACCTGGAAGTGGAGTTGGAGCCCAGGGCTCTTTGGCCATTGTGAGCCTGGTCTCAGGGAGCTGGGCCTGAGGTTTCCAAGTCCCAGTCCTGTCGGCAGAGCACCTGCCTGGGGCTGGCAGGCTGCTGTGGGAGGAGTGGCCCTGGTCACTCATGACTTCCCTGGGGATGACTTGACTTCCCTAGGGATGCAGCCACTCCAGTGTCTGCAGGGCTCGGCACCTTGGGGATCTTTCCCATGGGACCGCAGTGTAAGCTTTGGCAGATTTCCCACTGGGACATCAGACTTGGTTCCTCCTGATTGAGGTCTCCCAGTGTCCTCACCTTTGGTTGCATCTTTGAACTATCTATTCTGTTGATGTAAAAAAATTTTAACGTAGACATGACTTCCTGAGTAATGGTTTTAAAGTTTTGTTTTTAATATACTGAGATTCTATGTTGGGAATTTGCATATGACGTGTTTTTAAATTAGGTTCAGCTTAAAACTGTAGATCAATGAGTCCCTTTTCTTCTCTTGAAATGGAGCTGGGAAGCTGAGACAGGAGGATTGCTGTGAGTTTGAGGCCCATCTGGGCTACATAAGTTAGTTCAAGAATAGTCTGGACTACAGAGTGAGATCCTGGCTCAACAGAAAGGAAACAGAGGGTGTGGTTCAGTGGTAGGAAACGTGTTTAGCATCTATGAAGTCCTGGGATCAATCCCCAGTCCCAAGGATAACAGAAGCAAAGCTCGCAGGTGGATCTGTTGGCTGAGGTATGGGAAGACGCTTACTCAGAGGCTATAGTCTGGAAAGAGGGACTTGGGTATGGCCCATGGTGCAGGACTGGTAGCAGTTGCCCAGTGGAAGAGGCTGAGCTGGAACTGCCCACTTGCTGGGGCCCTGGGCAGGTCATGGCTGGGAGCCAGAGGGGGTCACTGCAGTGGCTCTGCTGCCTGAGGGGGCATCCTGACCTCATCTCGAGGAGGAGGCCAGGCAGGGACCATGGAGGAACTCAGGGCTATGAGGCTTAGGGCTGCCGTTCATCTCTTTCTGCTAAGACCCCAGTTTGTGCTTTCCCCAGGCACCATCAGTGATGTCGCTCCAGGGTGATCATCTCCACGAGGCCCCCGTCAGCAGCCACTGCCTCCCCCAAGCCCAACAGTGCGTGCAGGCTGCAGGTAGCTGTGCTGCCACGCTGCCGCTTTGTTAGGGCTGGGAGAACAAAGTCCTTGGATGTGGTGACTTACTGCTGGAGGGACATTGGGCGGTGGTTCCTACCAGGCGAGCTGCTGGGGAAAGCCTGCCGTGGACATCAGCTCCTGGCTGGCCTGCGGCCGGGCCCCCCTCACCAGAGCCCTGCACCAGAGCCTCATGCTCACCTCTGAGCAGCTGCCAGGCTTCCCGCACGGCAGCCCTCTTCACTTTCCATCTAGGAGCGCTTTGTACTGGGTATCCCCATTTGGCTGAGCAGTGTCTACTGGAATGGGTTGGGGGGTGGGGTTCCAGAGTCTCTGAGCTGCAACAGAGCTGCTGGAGACCTTTATGTACAGGTTGCTTTTGAGCTAGGATCATTTCTCTAAGGGAAACTCTGAGACTGGGCTTTCTGGGTCACCTTGGGAGCATTCTGTGTTATTTCGTGTGTGTGTGTGTGTGTGTGTGTGTGTGTGTGTGTGTGTGTGTTGAGAAGGGGTCTATCTATATAGTACAGGCTGGCTTTGAACCTACTTTGTGGCCCAGGGTGGCCCCGAACTTGTTGCAATCCTCCTGACTCAGCCTCCCATGTAGCTGGAACTACGGGTGTGGTCCACAGGTCAGAGTCACTGTAGTTGTGGTGGTACCTGAGCAGTGAGCTCTGTCGATGGCTTTAATTTCCATTTTGCAAGTGTCAGGTGAGGTGGCTTCTTCCCTGGTACTGCACCAGGCACGCCTCCTATTTGTGTTGTGGTTGAGCAGTGTTTTCTCACTATGGTACGTGAGGGTCGGTCACACTCTGGACAGGTCAGGTGCACGATTTGCAGCTGTGTTCTTTCTGCTGTCCGGTGTCTCTCCCTCCTGGCAGCACCTGTTGGAGGAAAGCACTGAGTCTTGGGGACGTCCTGCCTGTAGGGTCGCTCTCCATGGCTGCGCTCAGGGCCCTGTTTGGAGGGCTCCCTGGCTCAGATCGGCAGTTCCCCTGTGAGTTCGTCCCAGGTTCGCTCTGCATTGAGCCTGCAGTTTCTCCAAGTCAGCATGGAGAAAGATGTGAGAGCTCTTGAGTTTTGTGTCTGTTTTTCACTGCTGGTGGCCACAACCATGGGACCGAGGCACAGTGCCTGTGGGCTGGCCACTGCCTCTCCCCGGCAGGCTCAGCTGGGGGAAGAGCTCTTGCCCCGAGTTCATGCTTCTGTCCAGGGCTAACCTGCTGCCCTAGTGTGATCTGCTGTCCTCTGATGACTGGTGTCTGCTCCTCCCCCAGCAGCTCCTGAATACAGTCTTGCTTCTCAAAGTTGCCACCATGTTTGTTACTCTGCCAATGCACATAAATTTCACTCTCTGTAAGAGATTGCTGGGGAGTCGGCACTGCCTCGGCCTGGGGTTCAGCCTGCGAGGAGGGGTGGCCTGCCCTGTTCTGTCCACAGCCTGTGGTTCTAGAGACCAGGCGTGTGTTTATTTCTGTGGATTCGAGGGGATTTGACTGTAGGCAGTCGTGTCGTCTGGTGCTGAGGTGCTTCCCAGCCATTATAAAAATACTGGCCAGGTGTGGTGGAGCACACCTGTTATCCCAGCACTCAAGAGGCTGAGACAGGGGACTTATCATGAGTTCAAGGCTAGCCGGGGCAATGTAGTGAGTTCAAGGTCAGCCTGAACTGCATAGCATGACGTTGTCTCAAAAAAACTAGATAAATAAAGTAAGTTTTATTTTATTTATTTATTTTTTTTTGGTCTTTTTCATTTTTATTGGTACCAGGGATTGAACTCACGACCGCCTGCTTGCAAGGCAGGTGCTTATGCCGCTGAGCTAAATGCCCAGCCCTAAAGTAAGTTTTTAAAAATTGTAGTATATTAAAATTTTACCACTGTCCCCAAGTTGCGTCAGCTAACCTGGAACTTGTGATTCTGCTGCCTCAGCCTCTTGGGAAGCTGGATGGCAGGCATGGGCCATGGCCTCTGCCTGACCTGGTGTTTCATCAAGTGTTCCTCTGCGTCCAGCAGTGTTTTATGGCCATTGCTCCTGACTGGCGGTGGCAGACCTGCAGCGCATGTGGCTCTGTGGGCTGTTCCTGTCATTGAGAGCTCTGAGAGGTTCACTGTCCCTGCTCCTGTCCCTGTGATATGCTGGCTCGCAGTCCTCAGTGTCTGGCTGATCTAGTGTGCTGTCCAGGGCTAGGCTGCCTTGGGCACGCAGCGTGGGTTAAGGGTGCTATGTGTTTGTGAGGCATACCCGTCCGTCTGTGCACGGGAGCCCTCTTACCCACACTGTCACTTTGTCCGGCTCTGGTTAGCCTTGGTCAGCGGTGGTTGCCCATGGTGTTTTCAGAACTACACCCTCAGTGGTTCTAATCACACCCGCCATGTGGTGCAGTCCTGGGACAGGCTTCCAGGCTCCACATGGGTTCCCTGACCACCATCGGCGGCTCGGGGCCACCTTGCTCTGGTGACTCAGGCAGCAGAGAGCAGCTCTGGGTGCTTCCTAGGGCAAAGGGTGTGTGGCAGTGTGACATTTGAGAGACCACATGTCATCACGGTGGTCTGTGCTGTTTATGAAATAAGCCCTAGGCCTGTGCGTTCTTGAAGGCCGGGCTCAACCCTGTCCGCCAGCACCCCCTGGGCATCTTGAGCCTGTGTCTTGCAGAGTAGGGCACACTGTATTGTCTTTCGTTTGGGTACTAAGGCTCACCATGAGGATGCTGGATGGAAGTGAGGGTGTTGCCGTGACCAGGATGCATGGGACTGGGAAGCGCATTGGGCATGCTGAAAAGCTGGTGCTGTTAGGGTACCTGCTGATTCCGAGGAGGGTGCAGCAGAGTTGGCGGACCAGGGGTCAGGTGTCTGCAGAAAGGCCCAGTGGCTAGGTCTCAGAGGGAAGTGAGGCACAGGGTTGTGGAAACTGGGGAGCAGAAGCTTTCTGCAGAGCCCAGGGGTCCTTGCTGCATCCTATGTGTACCGAGGTCTCCAGAAAGGTGGTATTTAAGAGGGCTGAACTCAGGGGTCTGGCAAAGAAACCTCTAAGCAGCAGAGCATTGCTGGCGCTATGTGGTTGCTTTTTTGGTTTGACTTGTGTTTTTAATTTTTCTTTTTTTTTGTCTTTTTCCTTTTTATCGGTACCGGGGATCGAACTCACAACTGCCTGCTTCCAAGGCAGGCGCTTATGCCACTGAGCTAAATCCTCAGCCCCATGTTTTTAATTTTTCTACAGCAAGGTACAGGGGGTAAGATTTTTAAAGCACGGGCTTTACCACCAGAAAGGTTGAGAGAAAGTAGGGAATTGAGAGCATCTCAGCTTGCTCCATGGAGAGAGAGAGCATCGTGAGGACAGGAATCTAAGGTTTGCGGAATGCCCATGTCTGTACCCTGGGGAGCTGGCAGCTGGGGAGTGCAGCCTGCACTGCCAGGGCTGCCGCATGTCTATGGGGTGCACTGGGCCCAGAGGTGGTAAAGCTGACTCTGCCTGCAAAGAGTGTGAACTCAGGACAGTGGTAGCCTCACTCACATCTCCAAGGGCGCTGCAGAGGTAGGAAAGCATTGCAGGCTGGAGCCACTGAATAAGCCCTAGGGTATGCCTGGTGTCACCTAGGAGCTTAGTCCCCAGGACCCAGAACTGAGGACCCTGGGGTACAGCCCCAACCAAGAGCTGCACCCACAGTGCTGTGGGATGGATGGGACCCAGGTCTCACTGGTGTCAGGAGGGTGGCCGTGACAGAGGCTCACCTCAGCCAGGGGCGTCTTCCCCGCTGGGCCTGTGACTGGCTTTTATCCACCTGTTGCCCTCTGACCCGCCTGTCCTGTGCCCATATCGCCAAAACTCACGGGCTCTTAGGGGAGTCAGCCATGGCCACATGCTGGGAAGTGACCATCCGATGGCCTTGGCTATGTTCGCAGGTGAGCAGCACAGCAGTTTGGGGGCCCAGGACATGATGCTGTGGTTTGAGTGTCCCTGCCAATGTCACGGTGAAATTTAACTGCCATGCAGCCGTGCAGAGGCGGCTGGCACATAGCCATGGCAGCCCAAGTGACACTGGAGCAGTTGGAAAACATGGGTGTCCCCTCTCCTGCTACGTTGACCTCCACCAAGGGAGGACACAGCATGAAGTCCCCACCAGATGTGCCCCAGATGTTGGACCTCCCACCCTCCACCCATGAGCCAATAAATCTCTGACCATTATCAGTCACCCCGTGTCAGGTGTCTGTGATCGAAGCAGAAAGGGACGAGACCGTGTCCCTGGAGTGGAGGGCACCTCAGCCCTGCTCAGTCTCCTGACCCTATGACCATTTACGCGGAAATGTCCCTACAAGGTAGGAAGCAAAGACCAGGTCATGAGGGGTTCTCACCCAGCATGGCTGTCCCTGTTGTTAGGAAAAGGGGCGGAGTGGACACTGGCTCACAGGGAGGGACAGTGATGTGGAGGTCACAGGTTGAAGATGGCCATGTGGCCTCCTCAGGCCACGGAGCCCTGAGATTGCTCTGCACTCGACCCTAGCAGCCAGGAGAGATGAGACTCTCTGGGGACAGGGCAGCCCACCCCTGCCCGCCTGAGTGCCCTCGGGCTGCAATAGCTGCAGCTTGGGAGAGCTCATCTGGGGTTCTCACTTGCAATCCCCTGCATCTGCCTTGGCTAGCAGCCTCTTCTCCAAAGAATGGCAATGAGTCCAGGTGGCAGTATGGGGAGCTGTCTGCCCCCACTGGTGAGTCATGTCCCATGTGAGAGGATCCGTGCTGGTAGCCCTTCCTCCCCGTGCTGTGGAGACCCCATGGTCTCCTAGGGTTACCATTCTCAGGTCTTAGCCCTTGGGCCATGAGGCACACATCCTGTGTGGGTTTCCTTGGGCTTATTCTTTCTTGGGTGTGCTTGGCTCCCAGACTGGCAGGCCCACACTTAGACCATCTTTGGGGAGCTTTCAACCTGGATTCTTACAAATTGCCCTCCAGCCAGGCAAGTAGTCAGCCTGTCTTCATGCCTTTCCATGATTGGCTAGGTGGGGTCCACGTGTTGGCAGGGCACAGGAAGTAACGGGCTGCCCACTACTGCCCCCTCTCAAGCTGCAGCCTCACTGAGGATGAGGACAGGCCCCAGCCCAGTGTGGCTCCTGTGGGCTCCCAAGGCCACCGCAGCCCACCTTGGGTGCCTGGCACGAAGAAGGCCCAGGGCACTTGCACTGTGTACCGGGGTGGTGCTGGGCTCCCCCAGGCTCACTTCCAGCTTCTGGCTGCGTGGACTCGCAGGCCTCACATCTCAGAGCTCTACAGCGCTCCACTCTGGGAGATGGCACACAAGCCTCACAGAGCCCTGTGGGCTCTGCGTTCTGAGCTGCAGGGCCATGTGGTCCCACCTCTCTTAGGCCAGCCTGTCTCCTGAAGGTCAGCTGGGCAGGCAGAGTAAGCCCTTCTCTGCTGCTGTCCCTGTAGCTTAGCCCCGATTCCACTGCCCACAGCTTCCCAATCTCCACCCTTGTCGTGAACTTTCAGTTTAAGCACACTCACTGCCTGTTGCAGTTGTCTAAATGTGTATGTGTTCCTGATTTCCACTTTCCTGTTTTGTCTTATGGTCCATTGCTCTGTATCTTTTCATTTTTTTTTTTTACCGGGAATTGAACTCAGGGCTTGCACTTGCCAGGCAGCAACTCAGGCTGCTGAGCTCTATCCCTGGCTCTCCCCTTTAAATCCCACAGATCTCAGGTCCTCTTTCTGGAAGCTGCTGAGTTTTGCAGCTCAAGAGCGTGTGTGCCCTGCCACCTGTGGGCCCTCATGGTGGGAGCTCCACAGCTCTGGGCTGCAAGCTTCGCTTTGTCTGGCACAGGGTGATCTACTGCTGCTCCTAGGGCCGAGACCACGTTGGTAGCTGTGGGCAGCACCAGCTCCCTGGACCTCACCTGACCCTGTGGATGATTTGGCCACTATGCTCAGGCCTATGCTCCACCTCTGGGCCACAGAGCCCCCTCTTCCCCAGCTGGCAGCCTGGGAACCCCACAGGCTGAATGTGGTACTTAAGGACCCCCTTGGACATTGCTGCTACACACACAGTGGCCCTTGACTTCACCCCCATTCTGCCTCAGAGGCCCTGGTAGATGTTGCAGGGCAGTAGGGACAGGATGAGTGCGTGCTGTGGTCAGCTCTTTATTTAGGTCTGCGTAGCAGCAAGTGCGCACGCTCACGTTTCCGTGGCAGCCCACACCCGCTGGCACTGCTTGCTGGTGCTGAGCTGCATCCCAGGGCCCCAGTCTGCTGCTGCCAGCAGGCTGCCATCCCGTGCTCAGGACCCCAAGGTGCAGGTTGAGCTGACTGTGCCAAGTAGCTGGCCAACTGGCCCGGGGTTGTGTGACCCTCCAGCCAGGGGAGGGTAGGTGGGAGGTGAGACCTCAGTGTCCAGTGCACCCCAAGCCACCACGAGGCTGGCATGGGAGTGTGGTGCCGCACTCAGCGGCCACCAGGTGCTAAACCTGACGCGTGAACAGTTGCGTGCTTGGCGTGCAGGGGCTGGCACCCTGTTCTGAGGCTCTGCTGCTGTAAGCTGCTCTGCCCACTCAGGAAAGAACCATGGGCCCGTCGCCCTGTGAGTCCCAACAGCTCATGGGCACTGCCCTCAGCGCCTGTGGCTGGCGAACCAGGAAAAGAAGGGCCGGGGTCTGGGTCGTGGGGCCTGGAAGATACGCATGGTGCGGGGCGAGCGCCAGGCTTTGATGGTGGCGTCATCACTGGCAGTCAGCAGGAGCTCCTGCTCCTGGGGGCTGAAGGCCACCGAGTTGACCACATCCTCGTGCCGCAGCTTGGCTAGGCAGATGTTGTAGTGGCGGTCCCAGATGTAGCCGTGTCGGTCTTCTGCCCCACTGTGGGACAGGCCCTGGGGTCAGCTCTATGGCCACCAGTGGTGCCCCCGGCCCAGCCTTGCCACACCTTGTACCCGGTGCCCGCACCTGGCCACAAAGTCCCTGCTGACATCAAGGAAGATGAAGAAACACTCGTCGTTGGGCGTGTAGGCACGGTGTGCACGCAGGGCCCGCTTTACCTCCCGCATGGTCTTGAGGTCGAACACCAGGAGGTCAATCTCCTCTGCAATGGGTGGTGGCTGCATGGGGTCGGCCACCACAGAGCCAGGTGGCCAGGCTCGGCTGTTCACGTACAGGTACCTGAGCAAGGGGTGTGTGCTAGGAACAAGCATGCTGTGGGCTCTGGGTGCTTCGGCCACCCTCCCAGGACACAGGCTCACCTGTTGTCGGGGGACAGCCCCATACCAATGATGTGCCCGTGCACATCGATGACATGATCCAGTGCGTCAAAGAAGGCATCGGAGCCCCGGCCTTCCCCCAGCACGGGCCCTGCCGTGGTCATCTGGTGCGGCAGGATCTGTTTGATACCTGTGAGAAGCAAAGCCTGCAGGGTTGCCCCAGGGCACTCTGACCCCCTGGACCCACCCCACCCCTCTGCATCTTCTGCCCCTGAGCCCAGGGCTAGGAATGCAGGGCCTGCAGCTGAGGAGCAAAGGAATGATGGGGACTTCTTGGGACTGAGGAGGCCTAAGCAGCAGGGTGGTGGGTGCTGCAGGTCCTCCCGTGCTGGCCCCACCAGTGTTACCTATCTGGTGCGGTGAGTAGGTGAGGCAGCCAGTGGTGAAGATGAGGTACTTGTTCCTGGCAGCACTGCGCTCGGGGGGTTTGGTGTGGCCCTGGGCCAGCAGCTCAGCCACCCTGGTCTCCAGTGTGCGCTCCGACAGCTGCGTGTGCCCATCTAGCATGCCATCCAGTGCGCGCCGCAGGCCTTCCTTGGCATGGCCTGGGGCACGCAGCACAGGGCCAGCCGCCTCATCCTCACTGTTGCAGCCCAGGTCAAAGACACGGCAGGGGGGTGTGGCCTGGTCACCAGCATCCAGGAGGAGGTCGGGGCTGTCAAAGCGGCTGCAGTCTGCCACCATCACCGTGCGGATGGTGCTGGCATTGAGGTTCTGGATCTTGAAGAGCCGCTTTACCACATTGACGTTCTCCGACTCCACATCCTGTGGTGGGCACCGGGCTGCAGGTAAGGCCTGGGGAGCTCCACTGGCCCTGCCCTCCCTACTTATCTTGGCCCAGGCCCTGCCCTGCCACACCTGGAAGGCATTGTTGAGCCATAGCACAGAGCAGGAAGTGATGTCGCCAATGCGGTGCAGGTTCCCCGAGATGAGGCTGGTTTCCGTGAGCCAGCAGCCAAACACATCGTAAGGCTTATTTCGCACCCGGGACAGCAGAGCGAAGGAGTCTGTGGGGAGGCCAGGGCTGGGCATGCTGTTGGTAGAGGGTGGCAGTGCAGCCCAGCCCAGAGCCCCTGCTCACCTAGGCTGATGACAGCAATCTCACCGGACGAGGAGTTGTGCGGCCCCAGGAACACACCTGAGGCCAGCAGCAGCGAGTCGTCTTGGTTGAACTGGGAGAACTGGGTGTAGCTCCAGTTGTAGGGCCTCATATCCGCACTGTGCAGCAAGGAGATGGTCAGGTCGTTGTTCCAGATCTGTGTGGGAGGCACAAGTGGGTGGTGCAGGGATACTCTGAGCCCGGGGATCCAGCCACACAGGAAATCCTAGCCCCTCCATGGAGGACCCAGAGCACCTTGGGTCCTGTCCAACTCTGTCCTCCTGCACAGTCCCCCTCCCATCTCAGAGCTGTGCACTGCACCCCTCACCTTCACCGTGCAGTCCTTGGAGCAGGAGGCAAACTGGTACCCTGAGTGGGAGAAGCTGAGGTGCAGGACCTGGTCTGTGTGCTCCTGCAGCGTCTGCACCTCCACACAGGGCACTGAGTCATAGAGCCGCCGGAACTCCTCGTACCAGGACGTGGCCGCTGCAGGCAGGACAGTGTCACCCTGCACCCAAGTCTCCCTCCCCATGGGCAAGGCCTAGAGCTGCAGGCATGGCCACCAGAACTTGGACCACAGCCTCCAGGGCCCTCTAGTTACAAACCAAGCCTCAACCGCGGCTGCACCCTTATGCTCAGCAAGACCCCTGCCCCCAGAGTGGCCCTGCCTCCCATAATGGTGCTCACCTGGGTGTCGGGGAACGTCTCGGGCCACTTGATAGTAGCGGTAGAACTGCTCCCTCCACAGGAACTCATCACGCGATACGGCCTGCCACTGGCGGCACACCAGCCCGGCGGCCAGCACATCTGCGGGTCCCAGGCTCAGGAAGATCTGGTAGATGAGGCTGTCGGGGAGCAGGGGCGTGCCCCCCTCGTCCATCGTGACATTCTGCCCGGGCGGCCCTGGAACCACCAGCAGCTTTCCTGACCTCAGGCCCGCGCAGCCCCTCGAGAAAAAGCTGAAGCCCACCGGATGGGTCTATGCACCGGGCACGTCACAGCCGCGCTCCACCAAACTGCACCCCAGCTCCGGACTCGCGCTCCCGGCGCCGCGGGGCTCCGGACCCTTCCTCACCCCGGGCGGCTGGGGCCTTCTGACCTTCCCATGGCTCGGGGCCAGGATGAAATTACTGGCCCAGCCGGGCCGGGCCGGGCCGGCCCCACCACGGCTGCCCGAGACTTCCAGCTGGGGGCTGCCCGCCTCCTGGTGACCTTCCCCCCCACCCCGGCAGGCCGGGGACCCCTAGTTGGCGGCAGGTGCAGACAAGCGGGACGGCACGACCCGGGCCTGCCAGACAGTGGCGACCGGAAAGAGAATAGGTCGAGGGCGGGCAGCGAAGCGCGTGCGGCCGGTGTGCCGGCGGGGGAAGGCTGGCCAGGGACAAGCAGGACGAGGTCGCTAGCGACCCCAACGACTCACCGAGGCACCTCCGCCCGCCCACAGCCCTGGGAGGACCAGCTTCCAACGCCTCCGCTCCGGCCGACGCCCCTGTGTCTCTATGGTAGAGTCCGCCAGGCTCGATGCTACGAGCCCCGAGGCATCGATGGACGGGCGGTCGGAGCGCTTGCGCCCCCTCCCTCCGCGCTCGATCCGTGGTGGTTTCTATGCTTGAGCACCTAAAGCCTCGTTTGAAAGAGCGCCTCCGGCGGCGAGGAGTAGCAGCGGCCCTGCACCGGTCGTCAGGAAGGCTGTAAGGCCTAGGGTTCAAGACCTTTCTCAGCGCTTTCACAGGTCGGGTCTGGAGCAAGCAGTGTGTTTTTGTTGTTATTGTTGTTGTTTTTGGTACTGGAAATCGAATTTACTACATTGCACTTGCCAGGCTGGTGCTGGCCACTGATCTATATCCCTGGCCCTCAAGCAAGCAATTTTATAAGCCCAGCTTTGGCTGTGGGACTCAGGCCAACTGTTGGTGGTACAAAGACCATGAATGTGCAAAGGACTGAGCCCAGAGCCTCATGGAGGGTGTACAGGGATGTGAACCAGAAGCCAGAGGTCAGCACCAACACTGGATGCCCATGGCAGGAAAGGTCAGGGGCAGACATAGACTTCCTGGGCTGGGCTTCCAGGGACACTGGTTGGTGGACTCTGACCCAGGACAGTGGTGCCCTCAGCCACCCACGCTGCCCTTGCCACCATGCTGACCTCCAGGACTGGGCTGCTCCTAGCCCTGCTTCTCGTAGCTGGCTCTCTGGGCCAGAGGGTTCGGAAGCCCCCTGGGCCTGCGTCCTCCATCAGGGCTATCCAGCCCCAGGGTAACTTTGACTCTGAACAGGTGAGGTGAGGAGGGGGTGGTGTCTTGGCCACCCTGGCCTCAGGTCCCCAGCCCCTCCTGCTCCTTCCCTAGTTTTCAGGGAAGTGGCTCCTCGTGGCTGTGGCTTCCACCTGCCGCTACCTGCAGGAGCAGGGCCACCAGGCAGAGGCCACTGCAATACAGGTGGCTCCCCAGGGTGCAGCCTTGGCTGTCAGCACCTTTCGAAAGCTGTAAGTCCCAACAGAGTCCCCTAGCCTCATTCCTGACCCAAACCCACCGGGTCCCTGCCCCACCCCTGCTGTGACCTGGACTAGTTTCCCACGGGACTCCTTGGTTGGGATACTCCCGCCCCCGCCCAGGGACGGGATCTGTTGGCAGGTACGCCAGCTCTACAGAGACACTGGCGTCCCTGGCCGATTCCTGGTCCAAGGTAAGGCAGGTGTGCTGGCAGGGGGCGGGGGGTGCGGGTGAGGTAGAGGCTGAGCGCTGCCCAATTCTGCCTTAGCTCGGGGCGCCCGAGGGTCTGTGCATGTGGTCATCGCTGAGACGGACTACCGGGATTTCGCCATCCTGTACCTGGAGTGGGCAAAGCAGCGGTCCATGAAGCTATATGGTGCGTGGCATCCCACACACAGGCATCCCTAGACCCCTCCTTATAGAAGGGGCCTGATGGGAGATAGGACCCACCCATGGGTTCCAGGAGGGCCAGGGACCAACAGTTGTCCCTGT